TTTGGCTACATGTTGTTCTTCGATAAGCATTCAGAAATGCACAAAGTGAAGTGAAATCGGTTGACCGCGCACAATAGTTGCGAGAGACAGTGCAGAACAGGCGTGTGACTGCATGGCGAAGCAGGTTAGGAGACGATTCACTACTAATGTTTCTTGTATATGAACATCTTGAGAGCTTATTTCCTCGTGATGTCATGTGAACAGATCGCGGCATCAGTAATTGTGCCGACAAGATGAAAATTGTCAGGAGGGAATAAGGCGCTAGTTCTCAGCATCGTCAAAGGTTATTTGGGAGTCCTTGAACGCAAATTTACTGTTTGTATATGTATTGCATTTACAATATGCCAGGACACCAGTATATAGGTGTGGACTAAAGCAGGCTGTAATTTGACTGTTTTTTAAAATTCTGAAAATTTCGACTCCTGTGAACTTCACTCTAATGTGTCCCCTAGCATGAATTATGAGGGTCTGCCTGAAACTATCAAATTTATGCTTCATTCCAAGCCAATTATTATTGTATTTCAATCAAGAAAATTATAAAATATGCCATTTTGTGCAAGTTTCATCAATGAACCGTAATTACGATGTGATCGATTATACTAATCTGTAATCAAATATGTTCCATTTTAGGGGCGAAGCTCCTTAAAGCGGCACCCGTTCGTCCCTCGTAGTCGTAGTGTGTAACCAGTGTTACATTTCCACCTGCAAGGTGGTGCCGGTGGGAGACTTCTCCTGTGCTTTGTTGAACAATAAAAAGTTCGCGGCGTGCGCGTTAACTAAAAGCCGAATGCGCCTGTCTCTCATTCCCCAGTAGCAGCCATTGGCATGTTCCAGTAGGAAACGTTAGTAGAAGTGTTAAAAGCCGACTTCTGCTGCCTCTCATTCCCAGTAGCAGCCATTGTTTACCTCCAAGGTATTTATTGCCTGGTGAGATTTCTCCTGTGCGTGATTAAACAATAAAAAATTTTTGTTCAAAACGCCGTTGATTGATGAAATAAACCAACGAAAGACGCCAGATGTTTTCTAAAAGCAAAACGAAAAGACGCCAGATGTTTCTAAAGCAAAACAAAAAGAAGACGCCAGCTGCTTAACAAAAGAAGCCTGGTGTTTTTTTTTTTTTGTTTTTTATCGGGCGAATTAACGGAAGATGGATGGATGGATGGTAAAACTTCATTTCATCAGAAAGCAACTGCGGATGATTCCGTGTTAGATGGCCATCAACCCAAGGTCGGTGGCGACCCGTGCGGCCCACTCCACGACCCTTAACTGGACGACTGGGTCTGAGCTGGTCAACACGGCCTCCCAGTGCTCAAGAGAGGGATCACGCATAATATCCACAGGCGGCGGCACTATGCTACATTCCCAAAGTATGCGATCATATGTTGCCACAGCCTGACACCATTTGCATTGCGGCTTTATCTCCTCCGGGTACATTTTGTTCAACACGTAAGGGTTGGGGAAAGATCGCGTCTGCAGTTTTCTCCAGACGCATTCCTGCGCCTTAGCCAACCGCTTGTGCGGGGGCGGATAAAACCTCCGCTCTAGTTTATAATGATTCGTTATGTCATCAAAGGACACCAGCCCATCTCTCGCGGACCACCCCGGAACTGGCGGCTCACCTACCCGGCTGACGAAACCTCGAGCATTCAGGTGGGCCGCCTCGTTCCCAGGGTTCCCAGAGTGTGCTGGTACCCAGACAATTTCTATTTCTCTAATTTCTCGTCCCGTGGCCCCATGCAGAAATCGTGCGGCGGTCGCCGATATTCTGCCCCTCGCCAGATTTGGGATGGCTGTCTTTGAATCACTGAAAATCAGATCCGACTGCGAATTAGTTATAGCACAGTCCCTTAATACCGTATTGAAGGACTCTGGTTATAGCTAGCGCTATTGCCGCTTCTTCTGCAGTTTCTGAGGAGCGGGTTTTGACCAATCCAGAGGCGACCAAGCGTCCCCGCCTGTCCACTACCACAATCACAAAAGCGTCTTTGTCCTTATATTCCGCAACATCTGTATAGACTGCCGCTTTGTACTCGCCGTACTCAACGTGTAAAGCTCTGGCTCTTACCTGCCTGCGCTGCGTATGGTGAATCGGATGCATATTTTTGGGCAAAGGTTTTATGTACAGGGCCTTATGTAACTCTCGCCGCACCTGAATTTTAGTGTCCCCAGTGGGAGCCTCTGCTCCGATGCCTATCCTTTCCAATATGATCCTGCCCGATTTGGTTGTCGAAAGGCTAGCGTGCTGCATCACCAGATGCGCCTCCCATAATTCATCCAGGGTGTTGTGTACCCCTAGTTTTGACAGCCTTTCTGTAGGCGCGTTATTAGGCAACCCAAGCGTTGCCTTGTAAGCTTGCCGGATCATAGCCTCGACCTTGCCTTTTTCTGCAGCATCCAACTTCATATAAGGTGTCGCGTAAGTAATCCTGCTGAGCACAAATGCCTGTACCAGCTTACAGAGTTCTTTTTCTTTAACCCCACTCTTATGGTTAGCAATTCTTCTGATAAGCCTGACAGTAGCATTAACCGTGGTCTTAAGTTTTTCAAGGGCCACCCTATTCTTCCTGTTAGTTTGCAGATATAGGCCAAGAATTCTAATCGTTTGAGCTTCAGCTACCGGCCTACCCCCTACCTTTACCTCTAATGGTGGTGGCGGAATATAGTGTCTTGCATGTAGCCCTCTGGGTTTGTCCCGAACCACAAAGAGCTCGGACTTGGGCTGAAAGCATGAAAGTCCCGCCTCCCCTGCCAACTCTTCGACAATATTAACTGCCTGTTGTAGTGTTTCTTCCAGATGCGCGTCACTACCCCTGGTTACCCATAGAGTAATATCATCTGCATAAAATGTGTGTGAGTCCCGGTATCTCCTCCAGCCTCGGCGGTATTTTAATTAAGGCGAGGTTAAACAGGAACGGCGACAAAACGGAACCCTGAGGCGTCCCTTTGCCTCCCAACGCGAATGAGTCCGATTTGATATCTCCTATTGAAATTTCTGTGGTTCGGCCCTCCAAGAATGATCTGATGTAGCGGAATGTCCTGACCCCTGGGCCAATTTCCGATAGGTCATTCAATATTGCCTCATGCGAAACACTGTCGAAAGCTTTATTCAGGTCAAGCCCAATACAGCTTTGGTGCCCGTGCCATGCCCGGGATCGACTACATCATGTTTTAACTGTATCATGACATCCTGTGTGGACACATTGGCCCTGAAACCTATCATAGTTGGGGGAAAATGACCTTGTCCTCTGCATGATTCTGAAGCCTGTTGAGAACCACGTGCTCCATCAATTTGCCCACGCATGATGTCAGCGATATAGGGCGCAGGTTTTCCAAGCAGAGTTTCTTCCCAGGTTTAGGAATAAATATAATCCTAGCATGCTTCCATTGTGCTGGGATCTCCCCGGCCACCCAATACTCATTTATCAAGTCAGCTATCGCCCCGACCGATTTGAAGTCTAGGTTTCTCAGCATTTTATTAGTAACCCCATCCGGACCTGCGGCAGACGTAGTACGCAGCTGCCCCATGGCAAACTAGGTCAACAACGCGGCCCAGGCTTGGCCTAGGAGATAGGCCTAGCCTTGCCACCACGGGGTAGATAGGAAAATCTCGGAAACTCCGAAAACGGGGACAAACTTGCCTATACGAGTGGCGTCCGCAGGTACAGGGCAACCTCCTGCAGACGAGCCCACTGACAGCAAGTCCAGAAAAAAGCGCGTCCGCCGATAGTCGGCCACCGGGCCGGAGCTCATGCGAGGCACGTCCGCACAGCTTCTCCTCCAGTGCCAAGCTCCAATTAACGGAAGAAAATTTCACGGTATTACTTCCAGGAGCTTCGCCAAATCTTATCATCACTCACGTCGTGGATCTGCCGTCAATTTTTTTTTTTTTTGCATAGAAAGAACCAAAGCGTAGTTTCAAAATGCATGTACATTTTGTTTTTGGTTGTATATAGCTTCAAACAAAACAAAATTATACTTTCAATGTTGCTCCTGGAAGACGGAGCTTCGAATGGTCTGTCGAATATTGTGTCTTCGCCAATGTGATCGGCTTCAATCGTATATATGCAGTATACTAATGTGAAGTGAATGCATACAGACTATATGCAGGAGGTATTTTGCTCTGTCCTGGCCACTTAGTCATCCTAACTGGCAAAAACGAGTTGCATCTCCATACGCGAACATAGTGCCTCACGACTTTTTCAAAATGGGTGTCTTGTAACTCAAGGCTTCCATTATAATGAGCACAAGAATGATCCTCAGTCAATAAATATTAAACAATGCTTGACGACATTGCGCTACAAGTGCACGGGCAAGTCGACTGAGCATGAAAGCTGCCCTAAGGGTGTGTGCAATTGTTTTCTGGGAGCTAGGTGACACATGTAATGGTATATAGAGCATCAACACCTTTGTGGTGCTAACCATTAGCATGAATGAGTCTTGTACGGTTATTGGTGCCTACGAATGATCAACCTATAGCGACCCTTCCTTTCGGTGACCAGTCACAAATTAGACTATGTATGGATGGATGTATAAACGGACGGACGGATGAACTTTATTGAGCACCGACGGAGAGGAGCTGGCTTTTACCCCGAATCTCTTGCGGGCCACTGCCACGTAGGAACAGGCAGGGAGTACCTGCCCGCCGCATCATGGGCCTCTTGGATTGCCCGAAGGCATCGGTGACGATGTGTGCTTTTGATGGCGGATTAAAGATCCTGTCTAGGAAGGATTAGCGCCTTTATTTCCGACCACTTTCAAGCAAGCTTGAGTCGATGCAGATCGAATGCTGCTTCCAGTCATTTTTAGAACGTTTCATTTTGAAGCTGTTGTGTCATGATTGGCATAATCTCGGAGGGAGCGGAGGATGTGGATTCTGTACGGTGCTGTGCGCAAAAATTTGGCGTCAAAAGCATCAAAAACGTCGTGTCAAAGGCGAAATGGCGGCATATGTAACCATTTGATTGCGAGAGGGCGCTACGGGCAATTCAACATGGCGGCGCCCATGTAACGCAGTGCAGCATATGCAGCACCGTCCGATGAATGGCACCGAATCGCGAAATCTCAAATGACGGCCTCGCTCGCCTATGTCCAAAGATTCTTTTCCTGCCCCCGAGCAGTTTTTAGTCGCGCCTACAGCAAGTCAAACGCGGATGCCACTGAGCGACTGCTCAAGATCATAGAAAGCATGCCGAAAGTGCCGACCGCTGCGATACAGCTGAGAGCGCAGCGCATCAACGCCAAGGCCAAGAATGCCAACAAGCCAAAACCTAGGCCGTCTGAAATATCGCTGTGGGTTCTGGGCAACGGGGGACCGGCAAACCCACAATCTCTATATGTCAGTACCGATCAAGGGAGGTAAGTCGCGGACGTTGCTCAAATCAAGGGCGCTGTGTGACCCAACTTCGCAACGTTTTTCATCGCTTCAAGAAAATCGACTACTTTGTTCAGCTAGTTCACCTTTTGTGCTTCATGTGCGCTTAATCGGTGGCTCAACGGACAACTAAAACTGAACAAAAGATTGTGCACTTTGATGTTAAATGAAATGTGCAGCAATCGGCCGCTCGCGCTCTGTTTTATGGAGTTTATTTATTTAAAAATACCTTACAGGCTCTATTACTGAGCATAGAGTAAGGGGGGTACATAGGAAAGAATGCTATAGTGGGTGATACCTCTGTCACAATACAAAGCAACTACAAAGCAAAGCAACTACGGAGCAACTAATAACTAATAAAAATACAAAGCAAGTATGAACATTGGAACTAATAACAGTGGTTGCACAAATGACAAAGAGGGGCTTCAAGCAACAACAAGAATTTCCCAGCCGCAAAAATGAACAAAGAACAAAAACAGAATTCAAGGAGGTTATACAATGCTATTGAGATAGATGTATCATTCATTGCTCGCGAAAATTTTCATGATTAGTTAAATTGACAATGACGTCGGGTAGTTCATTCCAGAGTGCTATGGCACGAGGCAAAGCTGATGAATTGAATGATTTTGTTTTTCCAAAGATGCGTGTGATGCTTCGCTGATTGTGAAGTCGTTTAGACATGCGCAATGGTGCTGTTAGTGGGAAAGGTGGTGGCCTGGACGCGTGAATATATTTTGTTAGTGGAAAGGGTGGTGGCCTGGACGCGTGAGGGCCACATTCAATCAGCTATCGGTAATTATTCGTTTCGTTGTCCTCGCATGCAGTATGAGGGTGCCGCTTGCCTTTCGTGGCTGGCGATGGTTAGAGCCCGGAATAACGCGACCAGACGGCGAAGTGTAGATGCACGTCGAAGTGCTGAAAGCGAATGAGACTGGGGCACATTTTATCGTTACAGATACCTTTTCAACTGTGGAGAGGGTACGCAGAGGCTGGCGACCGAACACAAGTAAGTGTGACGCCGGCTGTCGTGAGCGCTTGCGTTGTCGTGTGGGCTGTCGTGAGCGTTTTTCAACAACAACAACATGCTTTAATTTGCTCAGAATGAAGCTGTCCAAATTGGAGCACCTCTTCTTCACCCACAATAAATGGAAAAACATCGGAGGGCTCCCTGGTAAGTGTTCTTTTTTTTCTTAACCTCCCCCATCAAAACGTTCACGACTAAAACCAGCTAACGGTATGTTACGCAAGTTTGTTACTTTCCTTCATCTGGAAACATTTGCAGCATATTGCATTGTAGCTTGCATACATTTGTCACCGCAGGGCTGGCTCTGACGGTGCAAGACATCGGTATACCAGAATTCTTCATCCACGGCCCAGCCAACATGGTAACAGCTAATGCTCTTTGTTACTCGTCTGTTAAATTGTTCCGGCTTGCCTAAAGATGGCCTTCAATAAGCAGGTTCCCTAGAGTTACTGGTTATATGCTACCTTTAGGGCATATACAGTAACTCTTAAGTTCCCTGCAGTTATCTAGCAGCACACATTGCCCCCATAACATTGCAGCAACATTTGGAACTTGACATTCAGGCAACATTTGAAATTTTGCATCAACAATTAGTGCTACTAGTGTGTACTGTATAGTGATTGGAATGTCGATTTAGTTGTAGAAAACACTTTAGCAGGATGCAGGGTTTAGTTTGATCTCATACAATAACTTACTGCATTACTAAAGATGGCAGCATAATTTGATGGTGAAAGCTTTTCTTTTATTTAAGCCTGGTGTTAGGGAGCCACCTTAGATAACAATTAAATTATTGTGTTCATTCTTGCCTTGGTGATTCTTGCTGAATTGAGCTAAAAAGGCAGTGGCAAAGCGAATTATATTTGCTCTGCCATGGTGCGAAATTAATTTATTGCAATATAACAAGGCTAAGGAATGATGCACATACAAAAGATGGTGTGCCAACATACTTACTGACCCAGGTTAGTACGATTCCTCTGTCCCACTTGTCTAGTTTGACTTTGTTCTTTCAGTTATACCGTTTTGAGGTGCAATTCAATCCTCTTTTTGAAACTTCAGCGTTATCTTGTTTCTTGCATCTTCAGAATTATGAAACACACACACTGTGGAATGAAGTGTTAGTCATATTGCTATGTTTACAGATTGTGAGGCCCCGAAATGGCGAGCGAGAGCACCACGCTCCTGGAGTGAACGGACGTAGCAGACGCACTCGGAATGAACCAAACAACAGAAATTTGTTTGATTATCGACCCCGGCTCTAGCAAAGGTTTTACCGAACCGCAAAAACTTCGTCCGATGCTCCAAGAGCTCCACGTTGGGCATCCAGTGTGGGGTCTTGAAATGACGAGCAAGCGCCATCACGCTCTTAGAGTGAACGGAGACAGCAGACACGGTCGGGATAAACCAAGCCAAACACACATTTAACTAATTTAGAAAGACGATATTGTCCGCCGAGTTATTATAACATCAATCGTGATCAAGACGCTAAGACATCCTTGCACATTGTGACAAACAAGGTGGTGTCGCTAATGCCTGACTGTGGGCCCGCCGCAGGCGGCCCGCGGTGCTGTCCACGGCAGACCCACCGCGAGAGACAACCGTTCACGCCAAACGCCACCAGCCGAAGAGATTCGCTCAACTCTCTCTGCCCCACCAAGGCTTGCCTGCCGCCAGGGGTCACCGCCGGCGCTACCGCTCTAACAACCATGATGATGACAGCGGTGATCTACGCTCGCGAACACAACGCCACCTACCGCTAAATAGTTGTGACTCCAAAATATGGCTTCTGTGCGAAACACATGTGCCACGCGGCGCTAACAACTTTACAAGGGGTATCAGCACCCCCACAAGATATATACAATGAAGTGAGCTTGTGACATAAGATCATACTGACAACTGGTATCAAACATCTTTCCTGCTTTCCTATTTGTTTTCTTAAAGCACTTTACACGTATTATTCAAACTATAAAGACAGTTCTGGTGTTTTCAAACTGCATGCTAAATATCATTGCTCTCAGCAACCCTTTGATCAGCTAAATTGACTTGCCCGGTTGTGCCTCAAGGTGATAAATCTGCATACAAAGTCAAGAGTTCAGCATAAACCTGTTTATTGGAAATGTACATCAACACAATTAAAAGGCCTTGATCCTCACTGTGAACAAGACTTTCATTCAGCGACGAAAGCATCGTCAATGTTTGTCTGTTTTTAATTGTCGCTGAAACAGTGTATATGCACATATATTTCTCCCTGAATCTTCATATCTTATGTTTGCAGGAGCAGCTATTTGAAATGACCAAAGGATTCATGATGCTGCAGAATATAACGATAAGTACGTTTCAAAACTTCTTACATTCTTATGATCAAAGTCTCATGTTTTAGACCTCTGCTGCAACCCTTTGCTTCATTCGATGAATTCAAGGAGGTTTCTCGCTTGCGTGCTTTTTATGTGGACAAAGTGCAATTTGTGCTTACAGTTACGTCCATAAACTGTTAGCTTTGATGACACATTTTGTGTGCGAGAGCATGTGTTAGTTACCACCTTTGATGATTCGTTATCAGTGGTGTCCTGGCCTAACGTATGCCCTAGCGTAATGCTGAGGCTGGTTTGGATTGGTTTACGTTGGCTAAACTATTGCTAATATTGGCCATTGCTTCTTTTTACTGTTCATCAACGTCAGTCACTGTTGGCTTATGATGTTCATCCACTATCATAACAAAAACATTCACTTGATTTAGTCTGAGTTTGTTATTTCTGTCATAGCTCTTGCATATGCATCGAAAACAACACGGTTTTGTTCTGCCTGAAGTTGCCACTAAAAAAAATATTGTCTCGTTTCGTTTCTGCATGCAGCCAAGCGAAACCCTTCGGACAAGGTGTTTTCGGACAACTGCATGGAGGTTGTCTACGTTCCTTTGTTCCCAGACGAAGCCCTAGATTCGTCGGAATCTGATGAAAATGGTGGTGAGTTCATTTTCTGCTGTCGGGGCATTCCCCAACGCTCTTTTTCACTTTGCGCAAAATGCTCCACCACACCGTATTAATGAACCTCATTTATTTTACACTGTTTGAAAAATAAAAAATAAACACACAGGGGGATGCATAAATTTTGGAGGATGTCAAGATATGCATTATGCCATCTGACATGCATTTATTGCAATTATAGCTGCATTTTTACAAACTATTGTGTCCTGTGACATCATTGTCATAGAACTTAGAATGCAAAACTGTTTAAAGCTGACCACATGATATAAAAGCTGAGATATCCCCTTGCAACACAACGTCCATACATGTGGGCAAAATTTGATTCTCGCATCATGTTTTTGTAGGGTTTGCCAAGACACAGCAGGATACCGTCACGCATAGGATAAATAGAAACTTCTGCGTTACCACCATGTCCTTACTTGACCTCTACGTGCTGCATGTGATCGCAGCCAACAACTTCTGTGGTGGAACTGCTAGGTTCTACTTAGTTGTCGTGCCACATTCAAAGAACATTGTAGAAATTATTATTATTTTTATTTTCTCGAAATGAATACAACCAAAGGCATTTCACACTGCAATTTGAGCCTTCGATTAACATGATTGGCTGCAGAGTAATTTAAGTATTTAGTGAGATACTAACTAGAAATAATTAGTAAAGCTCACTTGAAGCAGTATATTGCTTTGTATAATTGCTTGAATTGTAGTATTTAGTACATCTAGAATAATGTGCAAACTTGACATGTTGCAGACAGTCGATCATAATTTAAAGCTGTAGGGGATTTAAGTTCATTATATTACCTGAAAGACCTCGTGAGGGGTATTACATAAGGGGTGATTAGCATGCAATTAGATCAGGTGCTAGGGTGTGGTACATGTTTACACAATGTCCAGAAATTCAGAATGACTTGTTACGACAGCAGCACATTGAGGCAGGTGGTTCCCATCTCTGGCAGCCCGAGGAAAATAGAGGCTTGAAATGTTACGGCTCGCTTTCGAGCACGGGTAACGTGACGTGCATGAGGATGATGGCGTGATGCAAGGTGGGCGGTTTAGTGAGCTCTAAAAGAATTTGGAAAAAGGAGATAGCGTGGCAACATGGTGACAGAAAGCGAGAAATGACAAACGTGATTCTTCAAGAGCAAAATTCTGACGTTATATAAATATGAAAAATGGATGAATCTTGTGGCATGATGCTGAACTGATTCAAGTGCATTGATCACATATGCTTGGTGAGGGTTACGAACATTTTGGTTCTTGCGCAGAGCTGAAACGGAGTGCTTTATTGCCCGGCAGGGACGAGAAGCGATTGAGCATTGACTTTTTTGTTGCATTACATCTTGGCATACCAAATCTGTTTAGGTAAATAGACATGTTTCGCTGTGTTTTCCTAGCGTAATTCAAAGCCGAAATGTTCAGCTCGACGGCTGTGCTAACCTTGTAACCTGGTGCAAGTTTTATGTGGATACTTTCATATACATTATCACCTTGTGTATAGAAATCTAGCAACAGTTTGTGACAAGTGTTCTGCAGGAACTTTCACCTGCCATCGTGGCTCAGTTACGACGGCAATCAGCTGCTGAGAACAAAGTTGTTGGTTCGACTCCCGGCAGCTGTGGCTTTATTCGAATAGGGCGTGCAGTGCAAGAACACTTTTGTAATTATATGTTGGGTGCATCTTAAGAATCCTAGGCGGCCAAACCTGTGCTTACTCCACTACTTCTTTGTCTTGCCCATAGCATTGTGTCAGATTAGAATATTAAACAGTACTATTCTATTAGAATTGGATCTCATTTTTTAACGTTGGGATCGAGGTAAATGCTCAAAGTGCTTCCTCTCTCTCTCTCACTTTTTTTTTTGCTGTTTGACAAAACTTCTGAAAATTTCTTGGTTGTGACTGTGACTGGTTTGCAGTCAAAAGGCCTCGAAGATGTTCGCAAGATGACCCTGACAGTGCTCCTGTGGTTGCCTTCATCTGTAAGGTAAGCTTGCCTGCTGCACACTTGGGGCATTTTGTAGGAAAGAGCAAGCAATGATTTTATTAGATAATTTCTGATTGATTAGTTTGAATATCACAAGTTATAAAGAAAAATGATCCTTTTCATTATGATCCAACTAAATGTCACCATGTTTTTAAGTATTAGAACTAGGCATATTCGAATGTTACACTTTTGGTCTGAAGTGAGGTGTAAGCAACATCGAACAGTAGAAAGAATAGGCCACGGTCTGGCAACACCGTTCACCAGCTACAAAGGGAAGGGCTGCAGAAATGACCATAATTCATCATCATTTACTGAACAGCAGCAGAGTACAAATTATAAGTGATAGAACATGTTGCATTTTAAATTTGACTATGCATAGTGCAAATAAGCCCGTATACCACGCTTTTAAATTTTATAAGGTTTGCAATGAACATAAGTGCATTTAACCTTGAACTGTGGCTTTGTGGCAGCGTAGATATCATTTGGATAACTGGTTTCACGGCGTAGCAACCCCACGCTGTAGTGAAAACATTTTTCCGGGTGTCTCAAACGTGGTGAAATATACATCTATTTGTTCACTCCAAAAGCTGCAAAGCTTCAAATAACCGAAATTCTTGTTGAAGTGAATGCTGTAATATTTGTTTGAATAGTCTGAGCACTCAAATATTTGCCTACGACTACCATTTTGATCTTGGTAATACATGTAGTTACTGGAATGACGCTCCACAGATATACCTTAAACCTAGATGTAATGAACCCAAATAAACAAAATATCGGTTATAACAAAGCAAATGAAGAATACTCTTGTACTAGATACAGTTTTAGGCATATACCTTTTTAACGAATATTTGGAGATAACGAACTTATTTTTGTGTAAGATGCAAAATCGTTGGACATTTGAGTGTATTGTGCTTTGGCTGTAACCTCAAAAAAAGCGCCATCTCTGGGTATGGGCAGCAAAGGCTGTAGATAACCAAAGAATTAGTGAAAGGTTAGGCAGAAGTTTATCTACTGCAGATGTTGCCAAGAACCTTTTGCCGAATTTAGTTTCTTTAACGCATGCCTGTCATGGTCGCCTAGCATCTGCAGCATTGGTGCATAAGGGCGCGGGCGTGATTCCCAGCCATGATGACTGCACGTCAGTGTGACGGAAATGCAAAAACACCTGTGTGTATTCACATTTAGGTGCACGTTAAAGAACTCCCAGACTGCTGTGATTAGCCTACTCGCCTGATTTTTCATTTCTTTTCAAAAAGGCAAAATTAATCCAGAGTCGCTGATGACAATGTGCCCCGTTATCATGTCATGATGTTGGTGTCTGAAACCCTAGAATTAAGTCAACCTGAGATTAAAATTCATTTTCTCACGTCTAGACAAGGTGGAGAGTAAAGAGTTAGTTGCCCGACAGAGGTCTCTGCCCCCGCACTTGTGGCTGCACGGGGTATGCAAACTTTTTTAACTTAAGTACTTAAATTCTGTAGGGCCTAAAGAGTTGTATGGTGTGCGCTAATGCATTTTTTTTGCATCTGCTGTCTGATTTAGGTTAGCCGTTCTGCCGAAAGTGTGACCGAAAGAATGTTGGTACTCAGTACAGCCAAATACCGCTTGAAGGAGAACCAGTTAAACAAACTATAGTATAGTTATCTAAGTGTACTACGCCGTAGAAAACACGGACGGGAAGAAGACAAGAACAGGCGCAGTCCTTGTCTTTTTCCTGTTCGGGTTTTTTATTGCGTAGTACACTTAGATCATGTATCACCAACTGGCCCAATCATCCACTTTGATATAGTATAGTTAGTTGGGTGAACTTATTTGAATTCCCCGCTGAAGTGTCATTAACCCAATGCTTGTGCAGTTCAGCAAAAATTAGCGCGTCTAATGCCTCTCACGTCAAAAGCACGGTCCAATGCCTATCACGTAATATTGATCAGATTCCTCTGAAATACTGGGTACGGACAGCAGTTTGCATTTTGAGGAATATGTCACCCGTGACTCTGGCATCGAGACATGGGCCACTCTGTCTACCGAAGAGACTGCATCGAGCGCGCTATCTCGGGAAGAAGCGGAGCAGGTGGACGTAACCTTTGTGGAGGAAGTACCGAGAATTTCAGTCTAAAGAAACGCCGGCGTACTTGAAAAAAGGTGAAATCTTTGCTGCCTAGCAGTGTAGTGCCGGAGAAGGTTTGTGAGAGCTTGGACACAATGACTCAGTGTGTAATCACTGCAGTTTTAAGTGTGCAAGTGCAGCAAAAGATTACTACGTTTTTTAGAACATGCTAAACAAGCAGAAATTCACATTCATATAAGCAGCATTGTAGATTAAAGGGTTCAAATTTAATTTGAGCAGCTGGGCTTTTCGTTAGCTTCTGATAACGAGTTTCAGCATGGCTATTTCAGTTCACCGAACTTCCTCCTTAACAGACTTTTTCCCCCAAAGTCTCTTGAAGTTTGCTCAAGTGAAGTTTCACTGCATGTAACTTATCAGTGTTGACTGATTGTAGCATGTGCTGTGAAAGACCAGAACACCATGCACAACAAGTTCACTGCTCCAACAGATTGAATCGGAGGAAGCGCATGGATTGAGGTTTATGCATTTATCACAGCAAGAAATGTTGTCTAAAATCAGCATTACCTAGCCTGCTGCTTGAGCCTGTTCCTCTTACATTGAATAATTGTCACTAGTGAGTACTTGTTCTAGATATCCAACTTCCTAATTTATTATTTGCTTAATTTTTGTAAATGACATTTTTGTTGTTGATATATTTGACTGAAGTTTAGGGTATGGCTATGCTAAAGGTGAGGGCGAGACAGAAAGTTAAGATGGCAGATGAGATTAGGAAGCTTGCGGGTATAAAATGGCAGCAGCAAGCACAGGACCGAGTTGACTGGCGGAACATGGGAGAGGCTTTTGTCCTGCAGTGGATGTAGCCAGGCTGATGATGATGATGATGATTCTAAGGGCAAGAAATGCACTCATCATGGTGTGCATGCCACAGTGGCGTAGTGCGCGCCTAGCGGCAGAAATGGGGAGTTTTGTTGCGTGCTGAATTAATTCGATGAAGACCCAATTCTACAGCAAATGATGCGTCCTGTGTGGCGAATGACCTATCAGTAATGATGAGGGCGACGTCGCGTAGCCGCGGTGACCAGACTGCCACCGCTCTGCACCAAGTTTTAAGCCCAGACATCTTGCAGCACAAGAAAAACTCGACTGGCCAACAGAAAACAGTGCTGTCTCTCGATGGCGCTTGCTCATGAAGCGTGTGGACTTGATGAGCGCATTTCTGCCGCTAGCATGGCTGTACCGTCAACCTCGTTTTTTCATTTCAGCCTCACAGCAGACCCGGCCAACTGAACCTGGAGAAGTGCGTGAGCTTCGGCGTTCCGCCGTAAGTCATTTACCGTAGATGTGTCCCTGTAAAGCCAATGCGAAAAACTTCGGGGTAACAGAATTTACGTAAATGAGCTTTTGTTACACAAGCAATAGTTTGATAGTAGAGGGAGATAGGCTGAAACTGACCAGTGGTGGAGGGTTCACCGTGGAAAAAAAAATTGTGTAAACAATTCAATTTTAGAAAGGTATGGGGCCTGAGCTTACTGGTAATGCTCCATGAGTGTGAAACAGTTGGAAAACTGGGGTCACGGAAAGAAACGGACCAGACTAAGCTCTGAACTACCGATCATACATTTGTTTGTGTGAACGCAAGTAACTAATGCTTTTCACATGGCAGGAGGGGCAGAAAATATTGAATATCCACGAAGTGAATGATGATGAGTGGGCAAAGCAGTGGCAGGATCATTCTGCTTTTCAGTAAATCACCTGCGACATTGACCGCTCACGCATGTAAATGAGTGACAAAGCGGTGCACAGTAACATACAATACTATTTATTGGTCGTAAATGGTATGTTGTGTTGAGTTGTGAATTTCGTTTTACCTGCGTTATTGCTGCATTCTGGTATCGTATATAGCCTGAAGTTGGCAAATATGGGGTCTGTGCACGTTCCTTTTGTTTCCAGTCATACGAAGTGCGTCGTAGAGTATAACGAGACTTCATATACCGCACAATACGGTCAGTGTTTCTGATGATCATCGTCGGCGTTATCGTCATGGCGTATAGCGGGTACTCTGCGTGTGCTCGACTGCGGCGAACGGCAACACTGCCAATGGACAACCCTCAACCTTAAGAAGCTTTGCTCATAAAAGTATATGGGCCCTAGTCTATGAGCATCAAATTAACGGTGCAGATAGCTAAGCTCTTCGTTGGTTAGTGCTATCGCAGGTGGAATGACAGGATTATTTTCAGCAGAGACACGTCGTTTCCTGATACCGGGATTTCTGAGCTTGAGAAGCCTATGAAGCCTTCATAATGCATAACGTTAAGTCAGCATGTGGCAGTCCACCTTCAATAGCGTTAACCAACGAAGAGATTAGCTATCTACATCGTTAAGCTGATGCTTTGTGTAAGGTAGGACGCATATGCTTTTAGGGGCGAAGCACCCTAAGATCCCGCAATGTCTGTCTGTAAACCGCTGTCTTCTAAAGCAGATGTAGCGTCATTTGTGCGATGCCGTGCTAAAAACAACCACTTCGATCGACTTCGTTACAGAATAATGCCGCCAGGAGTCACTGATGTAAGAGTGATTGCCTCCATGGAAGAAAGTGATTGGAAGATGCTCCATGCGGCGGTTCAGTGGCGGCTCAGCAGCAATGCCACCAGTCCGACCCCAAGCTGAGAGCTCGAGAAGCTGCAGCGATATAGCAATGTAGAAAAGCAGACCCGGAGCTGAAAGAGCGGAAGCATTTTATTTATTTATTTATTTATTTACAATTACTGCTGTCTCAATTATTGAGACATAGCAGGAGTGGATACATATGTTCAACACAAAAAAATATCATTTAACAAAATACTACATGATTACATAATGATTTTTTAAATTGCTGAGCATTGAGTCTGTGCAGAGACCTGTCAAGCTCATTTCATAGATCAACATTGAGCGGAAAAAAGGAAAACCTAAAATAATTAAGACTAGCTCTAAAGGGTGTAATATTTAAGGGATCGAATCATCGGATACCCCACGCAGAAGCTGCAACGAACATTCAAGCTCGTGTGAACTATTTTATGAAGGAGGATGGCATGATTTATCAAACATTGTCATTTCACGGCTGATTCACGGTATGTGGCATGGTGCTTCGTGCCATCGCCAGCATTCACTTCATGGATATGCGTGGATTTTTCAATACCCGTCCTCCTCCTCTCCTGTGAGAAGCTTATTTATTCATGTTTGCATGAGTTAATGCATCAGCACTTTTGTCCCTGACATTTCTTTTTGTGTACTCATTTTTCAAGCTGTCTGACGCTCATGACGACAGCTCAACTATTGGATTGAAGTTGCACGAAAAAAGTGTTGACGTTACAGCTGTAGGTAGTGAAAAGTAGCTGAGATTAAGCACGATTCCGCAGACCCTAGTATAGTAAGTAGCACTAGCAATAGTCGAGTTTGGTCAGAAATTATCAAAATTATCGATGCCGTGCCCCATTAAGGAAGATGGGTATAACTCTAAGAACAAGACATTGCCGTTGTCTTTATTAACAGCGACTTGAAACTAAGAATTAGGTGTTGTTAATGCCAGGCGATGGATCAAAATAGTGGAATGGTGGTGATAGGCTTCCCCGAAGACCAGCAGAGATAGGCTGGTGGTGATGCTTCTTGGCTAGCTTTGTTAGCATCATGCTGCCACCGCAACTCAAGGAAGTTACAAGCATGAAAATCATCACACGAGCGTGCATCGTGCACTCAAGGTGCATTGTGACCTCGATTATACGTCGCTAGTTTTTGCAACGACCCGTATTTTATAATGAATATGTTCGGTCTCGACAGTACGCCCATATATATAATGTATCAAAAACCTCAATTATACGTGAAAGTTTTCTGTTGACCACAAGCTGTACATCGACTCCTCGATACCAACCAGGAAAAAAAAAAATCTGTGTTTTAATTGATTCTAATTCCCAGAAAATATTTACGGATGCAAAAGAGAAACTTGGGTGTCCCTAGGTTGACGCTTAGAAAAAAAAGTGGGGGCGGGGGAAGGGGGATGAGTAAGACAGTTACATTGTGCCTTCTTAAAATGGAAAATTTATTCCCCTCGCAGTTCATTTTTTTGTGATCCAGCTTACCTTACCTTAAGATTGCTCTTAGATAGGCCTCGATTGCGGGTGTATCCCAGGGCTGTTATCTTGACAAGGTCATCTTTAAGGTCCGGATTTTTTTCATGTTTTCATCCATCGGAAACTTCTCCTAGTCAACATGCGGTGGAAGATCTCCCTTTCTTCACGGAACTGATCGTCACAAGCTTCAAGCACGCAAAAGGGACGCGAAGCCATTATCTGCAGCGTGTAAAATAACTTTTCCTTGACGTGAGTGTTCATAATAAAAGCGGCATAGCACAAATTTCACCTCACATTGGAATAAATATGACATGCGCAGCTCAGTCGCGTACAACATCATGTTACTAGAACGCGCAACGAAATGCACTCCATTGTTATATGCAATGGCGATGACACTGTATCGGACTCTTTTGACAAGAGACTGTTGCCAACACGATTTCGCCTTGTTTTTTTTGATGCGCGTGCAATTTTCGGACTAATTTTGGGAAGATGTGTGTTAGAGAATAAACATTCGCTCGTGCCGCCTCATAATAAATGCTTAGTTGTAGTTTCTAAATATAATGTAATTCATTTTTCTTGGAGAAATCTGGGGTCATTATAAAGGCTTATTCAGGCAGATTTTACTCGTATTATGCGCAAGACAGAACGCCAATGCCCTTATTCTTAGTTTGTTTAGTTTGTTTATTATGCAACCCGTGGATTATACAACTGTTTTGCGTGGTTCCTCAAAGTCGTATAATCAGAGTTTCACTTTATTAGGTTCACGACACGAAAAAAAAAAGTTGATACAAAATTTTCGTTACGTATCATCGCCTTTCTTGTGCCTCTATGTCACGAGTCAAAACCAACTTGGTCAATTTCACATCGCGCTGTATTACGATCAACACACCAAGTCGCCACTTGTTAAAGGACAATCTCTGGGATTCAATTTACTTTGCAAGATGACTATGTTCATGAGATGAAAAGAGAATAAAGAAAGCTGTGCACTGAAAGTAATTGCCAACTTTAATCAATCTGCAATTATGGGCAAGTTATGCATATATTTACTGCTAGTTTGATTTTTCCTTTGTCCCCAGTGGCCCTCTGCTAGGAGAACTGAAGTCTGGCCGAGATGTGACACTTCCCAATGGCACAGTCGTAAGTAGTTCCTAGTTTAATTCACACGGAGATAAATCTTGTTAGTGTCTGCAAAATCTGTTGTACTCTAGTTAAGCTTGCTCACTCATTGTATGGTCATGAAAAAAATTTTGATGTCACGTACATTGCAATGCGCCAAGTAAGCGTTTCCAATAGCAGTTATTCACTTACGGCTGTGTTGCGTTTCGAACATGTTTGTATAATGTGGTGATCTGTACTTACCGGGGAAAAGGAAAAGCACCACTAGATGTCACACTTTTATTGCAGCAGAAATGCTGTAGAAAAAAAAAACGAAAGCTGTAACTCGTTTGCATGGTGTCATACGGTCGAAGACGGCCCATTGTATATTTTGTGGTATTGCAGTATTGTTTATTGCACAGGAGCATGCGATGGAGTTCAACCATAATGTTAATAGTCACAGGAACGTTGTTTCTATGAGAATATTGTGTTCCAGGTTGAGCAGTCTTTCTTGAAAGCTCACAATAAAAGCAGCAGAAGCGACAGAGGATTGTCAAAAGTGCACTGACAACAGTGCTTCACGTAGCACAGTACTGTTCCTAGCAGTGTCCTTCCTTCCTTCTTTATCTGGTCGCCGGATCCTACCAACTTGGTCATTTGCAGAAACCTACCACCTCGCCCTATATGGCTGTGTTCTTCAGTTTTACTGGTTCTCTGTCGATTCTGGCATTCTTATTTCAAATACGTACTGGCTCATCCAAACATCCACTTCAGCTTTCTTGAAAGTTCACGGATGTTACTGTAGTGTAAACTGGTGGTCCTCTTTGTCTAACGCGTTTCGTCCATTCTACGCACTTGCTTTTTGCGCGCAGGTCAAGTCGCGTGACGTGGTGTCGCCCGAAGAAGCGGGCCCTGTCTTTATCGGTGAGTTCCCGCGAGAGTGTCGAGTACGTCTTCCGTTGCGAGTTTAACTTCGCATCTGACTGACTGATTCACTGTGCGTTGTTCCTAGTGGTCGAAGTCCCTTCCGAAGAGTACCTGCAGTCACTGCTGGAGGCCGAGCCGTTCAAAAGTCACCAAGTCACGGCTAGCCGAGAAGAGCACGCAGCCAAAGTGGTCGTCCACTTCACACCATCGTCTGTCATGAGGCACCCTTTGTACATGGAATGGATCAAAAGGTGCAGTTCAAGTCTCGTCTGGGTTGAATGACTTGCAGATGGTATTCATTGTCATCACCGCGAGCTTAGTGTACTCCTTTCGAGTTTAGAGTTCCAAATTTTCTTCATATACCTCTCCCATATATCATCTCCCATATACGTCTCCCAAATCATCTCCCATATACGTTAATGTATAAAAACATCTGAAATCTTGCATGAAAACACTTTCGGCGTTCGATTTCTTCGGAGTTGCGGCCGAAATTCCAGGTTAAAGAAAAGCGTTACTCTTAAGCCCTCACCTCTGCCACATCTATCATCTCCAGCGTTTTCTTGATAGAATTCATCTAAGACTGTAGCAGAGCTTGAAAGGCTGCTTTGCCGCAAGACGAGTGTATGATGGGGTGAAGCAAACTGAAAATTTGATGGGGCCACTGTTAATCGCACGTTGACTGTATTTGTCTTCGGAAAATTTCGGTGCGAATAGAATCGAATAGCAAGCACTATTTGAGAAACATTTGAAATTTCAAATATTTGCACACCCCTAGTAAAACGAAGAAGTGATAAAAAGAGAGAGGCAGCGAGAGATGAAAGAGAAAGAAGGATTGAACGAATGAGAAATGGAAGGGAATGTATATAGAAAGAAAGAAATAGAAGTAAACAGCAACGAAGAACACATCTAAATATAAAAAGAAAGAAAGAGGTGAATAGAGAAAGAGAAAACCGTAAGAAATAGGGCTGCCCAGCTCCCCACTTCTTTAAAGCATGACACTACTGGTGCAGAGGTGCCTTAAAGGGTCAGTAAACAACCTCGAGGTCCAAAAATTGTTATCAAGAAAAATATGTGCACTTTTGCAATGTGAATATGCTGCCGCAAGAATTTTAGTGATATGTGCTATATTAAGGAAGTTACAGGGTCTAGAACATCGGTGTCGGTTGGTTCGAAATTTTCGTGCGGCCTCACCACCCTTCTTCTTCAGAGGAAGAGAAAGGCTTAGCACGTCTTCGTGACTGGTTTAGACCAATCGATGAGCTGTGTGCTACGTCAAGGTGCCAATCTGCTACTTTGTGTCACTGTGTGCTAAAGGAAGGTCGATACGGCGTAGAAAAGGATTGCGGGAATCATTTTTCGAAATGGAGGCTCTGCGCGGCACAGAGCGCTGTGATATTCGGTAAAAGTGACTGCTGTGGTCTACTCTACGAATTGCCGAGCTTCTTTGAGGGGTGTAAATAAAAGTCGAAGCCTGTTGACTGGCCCTTTATAATTGTTTTTCCTTTAGTGTTCTTTTAAATGATGGAAAAGTGTTTGAATCTGTCCAAATTGTCAAGTTCACCGACTTCGCGTTCGAGACTTTGTGTTGAGGGATATGACATAAATTATTGACGGGATAAATTTAAAAACATGTTGTACTGTCTTCTGTAGAATAATTATTCCAATGTCGTATCGACATGATGTTATATTCGACCATTGCAAATCAAAGATGGTTATTAATACTGCTGAACAGCAGTACGAAAGAAAAATGAAGGGTTGTTGCACGAAACTGACCCCCATATTCACAAACGTTCCTCGACTCGAATTTCGTCCTTCACTTGACTGAGTTGAGCACTGCCCCACTGCTCGACTTAAACAGACACTGCGCTTCTCAAGAATGGCTACAGATTATTGCCGATATGCAGTGACTCAATCTGCCAAGAGACGGTACTCGCATCGACTTTTTCATGTCAAGGAGAAAAGCGTTGAGTGAAGGGACGCTCTAGAATACCGCTGTGGGACAGTGTTCTCATATCCTTGTAGACATGTTGCCGCTACATACTTTTTGTTGTTTATCAACCGTAGTCTTAAGCACAGGTGATGCACTTGCACATCGATGTTGCATGTTGATTGCAAGGTGAGGATACTACACAAGCTTTCTTGATGCTTTTGCATTTGCTGCTGCGTGGTATTGCGGTGTTGTTTGCGTGCATCTGGTGAATCACAGCTATCGCCAATCAGTGTGTAAATTTTAGTGGGCGTCTTTGCATCTTTTGCCTCCTCTTCTTTTCTTTTGTTGCTTGCATTTTGAGTCATGTCATTATCAGATAGTTACATAGGTGTGTCGATTCAGCAACATTGTTAGAAGCTGTGGCCTGTGGGTGTGTGTGTATTTTTTGTTGTTGTTGTTATCTACGCACCTTTTGCTTCAGACCATAAAGTCGCACGACACGCTAGTGGCTTCAGACAAGTGTAACATAATGCCCCTCCTATAGGGGGGGGGGGTCTTTAAGGAAACAAAAGTGAAGAAGCAGATCCACCTGAACACTATGCATAACTTGCTTTTAAAAGTAAACTGCAGCATTAACATTCCTGAAGGAATCCTTTTATTCTTGTGAAAGGTATTGTCTACTGCGAAGCTGTGGCACCATTTGTGCGTAGAATTTTGACCTAGAACAAGCAGTTTTGTAGCATAGTATTTGACATTGCAAATAAAGATATGATGCAGCAGCAGTTTTCAGTCATTTGATCACTGACTCAATCGATCAATGAATCAATTTATTTCACATTCATTACTGTCTCAGCGACATGATGAATGCAGGACAGGCACGAAAAGCTCCTATGTAGCAGCTTGACTCGGTTCTTGTTCCTATCCTTGGAAGCCAGAACAATGACACACGTATAAATATATCACGTGAGTTTTGAGTGTGTCGATCGAATGTTGTTGGTATGTCTTGAAGTAGCAACTGACATTTTTGTTGCGGTTGATCTGTTGCCTCCTCTTGAATCTGCCTTCTCCGTGGCTGTGCCTGATGCTTGAACTTGAGCACCTCGAACCGTGATTCACGATTTTTTATCACAGGTTCCCTGCAAGCACGACTCACCTGGTCTTGAATGAGAGCGCCAGCTCCCTGGGTAGTGTCGCACTACATCGAGCGCAGCATCGTCTCCATCTTTTGAGCTCATCCATATTCCCATTGTTGAACGTAGAGGTGAGACCTCGTTTCCTTTCAAAGGGGCCCTGCAACACCATTACAAGTAGCCGTGGAATGGATTCAGTAAAGGAACTCATTGCCTCACTACCAATAGATTGCCACAGAAATATTTAGAATCCGTCCTGTATTAGCGCAGTTAGGAAGATTTCTTGCACGCTGCAATTGCTTTTTCTTTTCTATCGTGCCAACAAAAGCGCTGGAATCTAAGCAGGGGAGGAATGGCATGTGGGAAGAAAATACATCACGCATGCCTTTTGACATTGAGAACTTTATCTCTCTTTTTTTATCTTTGAATGCGCAGCTTTAGAGACTGGTCGCGGCCCCAGTAACTCCCAAGTGTGCCATGCTCAAATCAGCCAATGACGACGCTTTGACCCGTGACGCAGCAACTTTTCAGCCTGCAGCGCCGTCTGTCGAGAGAAGAGAAAGTGATTTTTAGCCGGCGTTGAGAATTTATTGCGAATTCCAGGCCGGTGTGCCGTGATATTACATTTAGCTTGCGTGTTCTCGGGAGCCTCAACTACCGATAGGTAGCATTTCTTTGGGCATGCTGAAAAATTGTTGCAGGGCCCCTTTAACTGTTTGGGGAGCACAACTGGGAGTGGTGCCAGGTACTTGTTTTTGTTAAATGAAGTCAGAGCACTATGCTTCTGTTCAGTACATCAAAACGAAGCTGATGAAATAGTCTTTCTTACAAATTAAGATATTACCCATAATGTTTACACATAATAATAAAAATTGTCTCGTTAAAAATTTGCTGCAAGAACAACATAAAAAAGTCATAATAAGCATAGCTACTTGAGCAAAAATGCTGGGACTAAATATATTCCATATATACAAAACAGTGCCTCTTTTCTTACTGTTGAAAAGCTTGGTGCACATATCTACAACACTTATTTTGAGTGCTTCTAAATAATATAGTACCCATGCTTCATGGCGCTTGTGCCACTCGTTGGAACAGTTCTGTGCAGTAATAAAACACAAATTTATCTTACAGGTGCTGCAAAAAATGCTTGTTTCCAGCTCTGTTTTTTTGTGTGTGCTTATAACAGAGCTCTCAGTTGTTTCGCCTACTTTTCTAACTTGTGGAGTGCGTGCCACGTGGATGGGAGGGGAAGAGGCAGAGCATGCGAGCTGACCTGGCATCGTGAAGATTGTGCAGCTGATGAAAAAGCTCTTCCTTAAAGCCTTGTTGAGAGTACCGAACAAATGTAAAAAAACATGAAAAATTGGCCATGTAATTGTGTGCTTTTCGCTGCAGATGGCGTCAAAAGACAATACTAGTCTTCTGTCTGGGGGCACTGTGCGAGATGTGAACGCCATCTGGCAGTAATGTCGGGAAACAGGAGCTTGTGCAGAACCCAGAGCCACTGGCAGGTGGCAGCACCGTATTGTCGGCAGAGCACTTCTTTGTGCATAGCATTGCATTGTCAGCACTGTAAAAGAAACACTAGGATCTTTAGAATTACGCATCTCTAAATTTTCTAGTAAAGGAACACACCACCTAATACTTACGTATTGATGTTGTGCCTCAGATATGTGTCATATTTGCTTTTTGATTTGTAATGTTCACAAGTATGGACGCAGCCACCCGATCAAGATGGCTGGGCGTTGAGCAAGTTCTTAAACTTTTTCTGAGTGGCTGAGTCATGTGGCAGACAGACAGACAGATCAAAATTTATACATTCAAGCATTCCAAGAAAGACTATCATTTTTAAAACAGCAAGCTCCTTTGGCTACTGATGAGAGAAGCGTATGTGAAATTACACTCGTCGACTAGTACCGGCTGAAACCTGCAATTGACCTTTACACCGAATGGCTTTCGGATATAAAATCCGAGTTATAAATAATAAATAAAACCTACAAATATTCCTCACGTATTGCCGTAGTCTGCAAAAATCGCGAACTATGCCGAAACTGATGGTCTAGTGACGAAACTACATCCGAAATAGCAGTACATGTAAAAATGCATGAAAATTTTAACTGGGCAGCATGCAAAAAGTTGTCGTTCATATATGATCCCGCTCCGCAGGGTGGTCCCAAAAGAGTCAAGCGGGAGCGTTTACATGCCACTTCACAGAGATTCTAGATCGATATTTTGGAACTTGTCACGCGACTAGCTGTTTCAGTCACATGAGTGATTGCTGCTTAGTCAACGGCAGGAACGTGTCACTTGACTAGCTGTACATGATCATATGTGGCTTTGTGACCGACTGGGACGTGGTTTTGTGACGTGACTAGGAGAGTCTGGATGGATCTTTTTGTCTCGGTACCATGTGGCATGTGTGGGAACTCTGAGGGGTTGGCTACCTCACAAATCGTTTATTTTATTTTTAGGAGTCTTCTGGTCTCCCGAAGGAGCTTGCCGAACTCAATTGCGTTGTAGGTGAAACGTTGTCAAGGTACAAGCTTCGACCATTTCACGGACTTCAGAGGTAAGCCTCGCACGTATTTTAGGTACCGTGGTAACCAATTAGGATTGTACAAAACCAGTAAAAAGTGGATTACTAACCAAATTTGAGGTCACAGAGTGGTTCGAGAAAAACGGTAAATGCTTATTAGGGGAACGAAGCCTTGCTTCCTGCAATTCTCATTCATTTTTTGTTCAAGAATTGAAATGGAAGTGTAAATTCTTGTCACTGTGTGCTATTTTGATCTGTCGCTGCCTGCATCTTTGCACTACTGTTCCGAACAATGCACTACCAAATAGCTTGTCAGTTTGTTCTTATGAATTCTTGTCGTCTTGTAACCATCAAGTGCTTGTAGCTGACAAAGCCATTGTGTCTTTGTATGTCAAAGATTCTTTCTCCTGTTTCAACACTCTAGTTGTATTGTTCCTACTGCAATGACACTTTTTTTTTATTTCGACAATGCGTCATGAATTAATGTACTTACAGTCATCACATGCGGCCTGTGTTGTTTCACCTGCTCATTAGTGTTCCCTTGAACAATTACCCGATTTGTACAGTGCTTTTTTTGTTGCGATCCACATACATTGTTTGATTCATCCTTGGAGTAGGAGGCAAACTCGCTGGATTTTTTGTCACTGCTTTAAGATTGAGGCACTTCCGTAAAGGCGTACTTCTCTAATGCAATGTCCAGTGCGCAGTCATAACATAAATACAGGTGGAAGAGCATCATCATTTATTGTCCCTTAAAGAGCCCTTTCAGGGTACTTTTGCATAAGGGGGGAGGGCTAAGGCATGCTATGGTAATTATTAATGATAGTTGATGAATGCTAGGGTCATTATTACAAAATGGTAATTTCATTTTTATAAATACAATATACGTGATCTCGAAACTGAAACATGAAGGTTGTACAGGTGGCAGGCACGAAGTATCAGTGCAGTAATGCTAGATTAAGGGTTTGAAAAAACATGATCGCAAGTACTTAAATTTCCCGTGATATTTTTGGTGTAGTGTGTTTCATAATTCAGCAGCAGCAGGCATAAGCTGCTCATTCTGTTTTCGGTGCCTACATCTGTTGGAACGGCTTCTGTGTTCTTTGTTATTCATGACTTCAGGGACTCTGTCGTCTGCATCCACCCTGAGGCTTATGTGCAGGAAGCCCACTCCAGTTATGGCTTCACCGAGAAGCTAGAGGAGTTGAAGGCTGCTGCTGCATTGAAGAAAGACGAAGCAGCTGGTAAGCGTTATGTTATTAGCCGCAGCTCTAATTTTGCACATTGTGCGTGCCTGTTACCTCAAGCAAGTGACGGACGTTTCCTCGCAGTTCCTTTTATCGTTTTGTGAAACTAAACAGCTACACGTGCAGCGGCCTTATGTGCGTCGCGTTCGAATGCTGAACATTCCCGAATATTTTAAATTAGTTTGAGCTCGAGCGCACATTGTAAACGTTATTCCGGAGCTAGCGCGGCCACTGGTGATGAGGCTGAAATTTTCAAGGCTTCCTGTATGAATATCGACGCACCTTACCACTGATCAGATTACTCAACAGTCGACAAGTTGATGTCAGTATCAGTGCACGGCATGAATGGCTTGTACCTTTACTTGAGGCATAAGTTTGCTCACTAAATAGTTCCGCACTTCCCAGCCTGGCTGTAGATTTTTGCACCGTCCCAACCACCTAACAATATCTGTTGACGTTCTCTTATAAAGCATCATTTTTAGACAGTCTTATGGGTAGGTCATTCTCTTACTACAGTTGTAATCCATATGCCATTGTCTAATGACTGTCTGTTGGATTCAGGATGCTGTTTGTCGATATTTGATTCAATGCCAAGTCCAGGTTTTCGTGGGGTTTAGGAGTGGAAGTTTCCTTGCGAAAATTAATAGGAGTTCCAGTAGTTGCTGATTAGTTTTCCCACTGCGTCCATTACGCTTTCTGTTGGTAAACGTCGCTTTCACAAGTGTTAACCGACAACTAGCTATGACCGAACATCTTTTAAACACAACTGAAAATGTTGCTGCTTTTTTCGTAGGCAGGCCATCTCACCCGGAAATTCTTTTCCTCGGCACGGCGTCCGCGATTCCCGGAAAAGACCGCAACGTCAGTGCCATTCTCATCAATGTCAGGTGTGTCTGTGTTCTGGGATGAAGAATATTGTGCTCTGTTCGCGCAGATATGACTTGCCTAAATAGTGCTATGAAATGCATTACGGAAGCTCCTAGTGCATGGATGCACCTCGCACTATTAATCTGTTCATACAGTTACTGTTTTTTACAGTTAATGAACAGTTTTACGGTTATGCCATTTTTGCAGATGATCTGCAGCTTTTTTATAGTTAGGGTATGCAATGCTGTTCTCATGGTTAATCTATGTTAAATAAATTGAGTTGAATAACTTATACTACTGTGTTGAATAATCCTTGAACAACACGATGTTGCTGGTGCTCTTTCATCATGGAATCATCTTTTATTCAAGGCAGAAACCCCTGCTTGAAGAAAACGTGACTGCTTGTCGAAACGTTCTCTCCAGTGACATCTTGCATTTGACATTTTTTTCATTGCTTGACGCTTCCATCTTTGCCTGAACTTCTGCCTCATTTATCATGTTCTCTTTTGTTTGTGATTTCAGCGAAGACATGACCGTGCTACTCGACTGTGGCGAAGGCACATATAATCAGCTGGTTAGGTTTTACGGCCTCGAGCGGGCCAGGCACGTGCTGACTCGACTCAGCTGCGTCTTTGTCTCGCACCTCCACGCTGACCATCACTTGGTGAGTCAACCAACCGCCTTTTCATCCATAGTATAAAAGTGGAACGCCTTCTCTTTCTTGTCGCACCATTAGCACAGGCAGTACCACTTGGCACAGTTTCGTGCAAAAAAAAAAGAGCCAAAATTTCAAATGAAATTACGGTAATTAGCAGAGCCAGTTGGTTGGTGTTGACGAAATTTCCCGTAGTGCTCACGAGTCTGACAAAGTAGGAAAAACAGCAAGAACAGCTTGGGCTCTCAAGTGAAGTTTATTTTGTAAAACAAGATATAAAAAGTGCACTAATTTTGATGATAATCTGGTTTTTGTTCTTTCTTCTTGCTTTTTAAAATAATTTTTATTTGAAAGCGAAGGGGGTTCGCTCTATGCACGACTGATGCCGAAGCCTCGCTCCGGGTCCAGCTGCACACAGTCGCACCATTGAACGTAATCAACAGCCCCTTCCCGTAGCTCGAGTTATCGCAGTTACGATGGGTTTGGACGAATAAGGCAACAGGCTAGATAACAAAACAACACTTCATTGCTATGATGGCATGAACGCGTAAACGTTGCATAGAGGGATAGTCCGCTGAGAACAAACGGCATGGCTTACTCTTTTAGTTGATGGTCGTGGCTTACGGAGGTCTCGGACGTGAAGCGTCTGTGGCCGCTGTTTGGTACAAGAGAGACTGTCACCCTGTCCGCTCGTCAGTTTATTCCACACCTCCGGTTTCCCTCTCCCAATCGGGGGTTGTTTTCCATACCGAGGAAAAGTAACCTGTCCCATGAGCTGGGAAGGGGGGGGGGGGGGATATTGCATGCTAACAGCATAGTTAATATCCCTCTGAAAGAGGCTACAGGGCCTCTCCAGAGAGACTGGTTTGTCCTCGCTGCCAGACTGGCCGTGCTACTTTCAAGAAAAAGGAAGCATGGAGGCGCGTGCTCTACCACAAGGGCCGGTGTTTCGTCTGATTCCATACTTGTCTTACCTCCTGAGCGCTGAATGCAATTTATGGCACAAGCCCATGTGCCTTTCTTCTCTAGCGGTCCCATTCCAGCCAGAGAGCCATAACTGCACACACAGATGTTCTTATGCAGCTTATGCAAGATTTGATGCCTGCGATGTTGGCCGTGATTGCATGCGACCTTGGTGAATCTTCTCACGTAAAATGGGCAATAGTTCCACCATTAGGGTTGTGGTCTGCATAAGGACTGCAAACGGAAGAAGCAAAAAAATAGGTAGCAGGGGCTTCTTAGTCGTGACATTACATTATATGGTTTCTCAGCTGCGATGTGGTAGCTGTGGATGCCATGTTACCAAGGAAAGCTAGTTGAGGTAGACGATGAAAGCATTGACATTGAGGGAAGTGTGCCTCCTGGTGTCATGACAACATAACACTGTCTTCTATTCGAGAGATGTTTTCTAGGCTGTACCTTGCAAGTTACAGTGCATAACCGAAATTGAAGTGGGGCTTGGTGAGAGAGGCTCTTACTGTTACCCAGGGTTAAGCTACGATTGATTTCGATGCAAACTCAAAACCTATCAACCATAGTTTACTGTGTGCTATGCAACAATGTGTCATTGACAGTGCTGTTTGCTTGCATGCATTTGGCATGTCATACAGGGGCAGATCCAGCCCCTCATTTCAGTGGGGGCGGTCGCCTGGAGTAACATTGGAGAGGGGGGCGTGTTCATCACAGTGGCGGATCCAGAAGGGGGACGGTAGGGGTGATCCTCCCCGAGGTCTATGTCAGCACCCCCATTCCCTTCACTTCAGCACTTGTAGTCCACGTTGTGGGGTCTCGAAATGGCAAACAGAACGCCACGCTCTTGGAGTGAACAGACAAAGCAGACGTGGTCGGAACGAACCAAGCCAAACAATACACATTTATGTAACTACTTTTAGAACGACGATATCGTCAGCCGAATTATTTAACATGAGTTGTGATCACCACGCTAAAACATCCTTACACAATATTAAACAGCGCTCAACAACAACATGACAAACAAGGCGGTGTTGGTAATGCTTGACTCGCCACAGTGGCCCCCGGCAGATGGCCCGCGGTGCTGTGCACTGGGGACACACCGCCATAGACAAGAGTTCGCGCCAGACGCCACCAGAGAGAGAGACTCGCTCAACTCTCTCTGCCGCCACCAAGGCTTGACTGCCGGCACTACCGCTCTAACAACCTTGATGATGATAGCGGTGATCTACGCTCTCGAACACAACGCCACCTAGTGCGCGATAGTTGCGACCCTTGAATGCGGCTTCTGCGCGAGACACGTGCGCCACGAGGCACGAACAACTTTACAAGGGGTGTCACCACCCCCACAACGTACTATCACCAATTAGGACTAATGAGCGAAGCCACTGGGAGCACACATTGAGAGTATTGTAATGAGCGTGTTCATCGGAAAAGATTCAGCAAGAGACATGCGATGGCAAGTAAAACAGCTGCAGCAGGGAAAACAAGACGCCGAGCGCGCGACACATGAACATGGTCGTCTTTTCTCTCGCTGGCACAGAGCTGGCGCCGATGTGCACCGGTACAGTATTTATGCTTTGAGATGCTTTTTCTGCTAGCGAAAACAAAAGTCATCACCACACCCTCCTCTCCAATATTACTTCAGGCGACCCCCTACCCCCTCTTCTTGAAATGAGTGACTACAAGCGCGCAGAAGTAGGAAGGAGTGCTGACAGACTTTAGGGTGGAGGGGGGGGGGCAATTACACCTATCGCCTTCCCCTCTGAATTCGCCACTGACGTTATTCTCTGATCTAAGAGCCTGTTATTGTGACAAGAACATTTAGAGTTTTGCAACATTGTCACCATGAAGTATTAAACGCAAGTAGTGAGCTAACACTTTTCTTACAATCTTTTGCAGGGTTTGGTCAAGGTATTGAAAGAAAGACAATCTGCTTTTGAAATACTGGGCGTCCCGTACGAGCCTCTTCTCGTGGTGGCCCCTAGGTTCATGGTGCCATGGATGGGCCGTTGCAGCCGGGCTTTCGACACGGTGATGGAGCTCTTCAGGTGAGCTGCTTATTTTGGTTATTAGCTGGTTATTTTCGTAAACAACAATTGTAACAAGCACCTGTAGACATTAAAATAAACTCGTCTATTTTAGCACCATGCAATGATAGTGCAGCTACAAAATGGGCTGAATGCGAAATTTCACATGCTAAATGCGATTGTAAGCGTTCGGAGCAACTAGCAGCATGTAAGAAAACTGGGGAAAGCGCAGTTGGCTACACTGGCTGGGTCGGCGAGTGGCTATAGTATATGACAGGAGAAGTTCTAACGTGCTATGCTTTCAAGTTTGCTTCCTGGTACCCCAGTCTGTAGCAGGTTCACATTGCAAAGATCCAAGTTGAAGGACGCATGGTAGGAGCTGAGTAAACTTACCATGTGAGCTAGAAAATGGTTGTAGGGAATACGATGTATGAAAAGGCATATCAGCCAGTGCTGTTTGATGTATTATACAGTCGGACCCAGATATGTTAAGTCTGAAGGGGATCATAAAAAAGTTCTGTATAGTTAGGTAATTCAATGTATATTTTATGTATTAAAAGTATCTTCAACAGAATTTGACAACTGTGTAATAAAGACAGTATTGATTTATTATATGCGGGCTCAGTATATGCAGGTTTGATTGTAGCATCTTTCTTGTTGAAGATGATTTTGACCTGTGATGAGATTCTTCTTGAGGTGCTACAATGTACTGTGCATCATTATTTTTCATTCCTGTCCTTTTTCACGAAGGTATGTGGACAATGCGTCGCTGCTCTACGACCAAGAGTCACCGTCTCCTGAGAAGTTGGAGTTGCTGCAGAAATTAAAGCTTAAGGACGTGAGTTCCCCCCCCCCCCCTTTTTTTTTTCTTGCAGTGATGCAGGCAGTGTTTCCTTCCAAAGCAGCTTGTAGATTGCAAGAACTTTTGTTCTTCTTGTTCGGGCATGTGCATTGCTTTTGCGTGGTTTTTCGTGGAATGAATAGATTTGTGAACTTGTGATTAGTAAGGAATGTTTTTCACTGCTCTGCAAACCGCGTATAAGTTGTGTCGGGGAAAGTATTCATTATTTTCTGCCTTGAAATAGGACGAAAGATGGGGTGTACAGGGTCCTAATACATGCGAGGACGATTTTATTTGATACAAAATTATCAAATGAGCATACGTTGCATTTTACCTCGTGTATCGCCCTCAACCGAAGGGGCCTAGACAAGCTGCCGTCTGTCAAAGTGCTAAAAGCTAGGGCAGGCACCTTTCACATGCCTCTCACGTTTCTCCATTAGGGTTAAAATACCGCCGGCTTTTGGATTTTAAGCACTACTGTGAGATAAAAAATTTCTGTACACTCAAACCTCGATATAACAATCTGGAAACAAGAAAATATTAGTTATAACGAAGTAAATGAAGAATAACTTGTACTAGATGCTGTTTTAGAAATATACATTTAAACAAAATGTCAAATACAACGAACTTATTTTTGTGTAAGGTGCATCTTCGTTTCAACGAGGTATGAGCGTATTTTCCTGGATTTCATATAAATCTGTTATTTGAGTACAAACCAAGGTTCATGATTCATTTACGATTTTAAATGTCTAAAAATGATGTCTTGTTAGCGCTTACGGTGGCCAGTGGGGCTGCGTTGTCATTTTAGTAGTGCAAGAGTGCTAGGATTTCAAACGGGCGTTATTAACTATAGACGATTATTAAATATAGGTTAAATATTGTGCAGAAATATTTAGGACCTGACATACCCGATGCTTACTGAAACAGCAAAAATAATAACCAGGCAGCATCGTTTTCTCTTCATAACCCCTTTAAAACGGTGCCCCTTAGTACTTGTTTACATTGAACCTATTCTTGTGTCGGATGGATATTATTATGATGAGGTTTGCTAACTTTTGATTTTTACTATATTTTTTTTTGCCTCTTCTTTTGTTCACATGTGCAGTTCAGCACTGTGTTGGTTCTGCATTGCAAGAATGCCTACGGTGTCACAATCACTGCAGAGACGGGCTGGAAGTTGACCTACTCCGGCGACACCATGCCATGCGACGCCCTCATCGAAGCCGGTCAGTGGGCTCACTTTTTTTTGCGTTTTGAGAAAATCTGATGGTTACATTGAGTAACTGGGAAGCCCCGATCAACAGTGACGAAAACGAAGCATGAAGCTTAGCTTTCGACACTTGCTTTGGCCATGTTAGAGTCTCTAGTGATCGAATCTGATCTAAATGAAAATCAATGATCGGGGCTGGGTTCTGCAGTTTTTGGAATGTGTAGCCAACTGCTGATGCGAAATTGAACCGTGGGTGAGCAGGATGGCAATCAACAGAACTGTTTCCATCTCATGCGAGTGAGGTGGGACACCTTTAACAGCAGCATTGACATCATTCAGTAAATTTACGAAACAAGTGGTCTTCCACTTGGTCAAAACAGGTCGCGCTTGCTGGTTGATCAGGCAGGAGCCGGAACAGACAAATGAATAGAGACTTGGCGTCAGAAATAGGTAAATATAAATGGCCCATCTTGTATTGTCCTATCCCTCATGGATGCGATTTGCAGATGTCAACGTATTCAAACATATTGTCCCAAGAACTTAACTGTGTCGCCGGTGACTTCATGCAGCCCTCGCATGAGAGTAAAATACTTAATAATTAAAAATGGTTAGAAGTTGAGTACTGGTGTGGAATTACATTGGCACTATATTTTTTAGCGCACACAGCAGAGGTCTTGTGGCTTGCACGAGAATGCCTTTGAAGATAAGGCAAATCACGACGCATGGGGACGCATTTAGCATTTTTGCTGATGCGCAGTTTTCTTTCCGATGTTCTGAAAGCTTGCTTTATGTATGTGTTTATCATGTTTGTTTTGTGTCCTGGTTCTGCTCTTGCAGGGAAGGGAAGTGACATTCTCATTCACGAGGCAACGATGGAGGACGACTTGGCCGAGGAAGCTGTTATCAAGACTCACAGGTGAACTTACTGCGCAGATTTAAAAAGTGCGGTTTCGCTACAGGGAACTGACTCTCTTGCTGCCAATCCTAAGAAAGCTGAAGCGGCCACACACACTCCCTACAACTGCCGATCCGTGGTACACTGGCTTTGCCTCATTAAATTGCTTCTTGCCGCTCAAAGGGACACCTTTTGTTTGGACATGCAAGCATGATAGTAACTTGTAGTAAAACTATCACGAAAAACAGAACGCGTGTTTTTACAAGTGTGCCAGCATCTTAGCAGTGCAGCCATGGCAAGTCAGCGTATCACATTTGCACTATTCGATGGATGAAGAGATTCAGCAGCTCTCAATGAGTTTGGACTCCAAAAAAGGTGGATAATTGGTGACTCTGACACTCTGAATTTGTGGCTAACAATTTCGTTGATTGCTTGTAATTCTTGACTTGGTTGTAGTGAGCGCAACCTTTTATTTGATGAAGCAGTCCTTAATAAAAATGTTAACATGTCTCAAAGAGCGTTTCCTTGCATTGCTAGCACAGAAATTCCTCGTAACCCGAATCGGTTTCAGACGAGTTCTGACACCACGGTCATCTTTCAGTTAATGGGACTGGCGTTAAACGGAAGAATCACGGAGCATACTGTTCCATGACTAGACCTCTGACCACTAAGCTTCCTGTTCCGTTAAAAAAAAAAAAAAAACGGGTGCCATAAAAATTGGTAATGAATTCTTTTAAGAGAGTCCATGAATAATGGCAAAATAGCGAGGCAGGCAAAGGACACACTGTAAAGTGGCAAGCGCTGCGTTACGTGCAGTTCAGTGGGAAACAATTCGTTTTCTGGTTCTTTTTAACAAGATTGTACTGTAGTTTTCTTTCAGGGATAGCGATAAGCTATTGATCATGATGAGGCACAAACTTGGAGAGTAGCAAAGAAAGCTAAGAAGGCGCTAAGGACTACTCAGCAAATGATGCAAAGGAAAATAGTATGTATAACATTACGAGATGTTAAGACAGCAGTGGGGGGTCAGAGAGCACCCAGGAGTGGCTGACACTGTATTTGATGTGAAGAGAGAAAAAGAAAATGAAGCCTGCAGGTTAATTAGTGCATACAACAGATAACTGCTGGTTAGTTGGAGTGATGGGATGGGTTGCGAGACATAGTTAGTGGATCCGTAATATAATAATCGTTGGGATTTTACGTCCCAAAAGCACAATATGACGATGAGAGACTCCGTAATGTTGGGCTGCGAAAATTTCTCCTACCTGGGGCTCTTCAACACGCACCTAAATCGAAGCACACAGCTAGCATTTTCACTTCCATTGAAATCCGGCCACCGCAGCCGGCACTTGATCCTGTGATCTTTGGGTCCAAAGCTAGGCGCTATGACCACCACACCACCGTGGCAGAGATAAGGTAACGTGCGCACTGACGGAGAGCTTGCCACGGTGGCATCTCGCCCATCGTTGCCTCCGCACGGCAGGCAGCGGCGCGCTGTCCACATGGGCGGTTCCGCGAGAGTAGCAAGACAAGAGTGGACATGTCGAGGCACGCGTGGCACACGTGCTTTGAGTTTCTGCCCCTCCGAATAATATTTGTCGGAGAGGTCACCGTCTTGGAATGGACAAAGAGCAGGCTGTGGATGATGACGAGCGCAACTTATTACGAAACCTGACTGAACGTTGCTTTGTTCACGCAGCACAACGAGCCAGGCGATCGAGGTTGGTGAGCGGATGGGAGCCAAGTTCACCCTGCTGACCCACTTCAGCCAGCGCTACGCCAAGCTGCCCCTCATCTCAGACAAGTTCCACGGCACTGTGGGCTGCGCTTTTGACCATATGCTGGTGAGCACACCAATTTCTGCATTCCATAACGAAGTGAAGTGTCACATCATCTCCACAAGTGACAGAGCTCATTGTTTCAGAATGTCGGCTGCTCGTCCTTTTGCGTCTAGTTGTCTCCGCAAAATGCAGTGAAATCCACACCTGAATTCAAAACATCATTTCATCTTATAAAGTTAGAAAGGCTGCTCCACATATGTAAGTTGCAGTAGAATCTCGTTCAAGCATGTGGGGTCTCGAATTGGCGAGCGAGCGCCACGCTCTTGGAGTGAACGGACACAGAAGACGCGGTCGGTACAAACAAAATAGCATACATACATTTATTTAACTAATTTAGACAACGATATCGTCTGCCGAATCGGTACATAAAGCGTTATCAACAGGCTAAGTCATCATTACACAAAATTACCAAACACTCTAACAACATAACACAAGAGCACACAAAAGGCGGCGTCGCCAACGCTTGACTTACCACGCGGATCCCCTCGGCGCGCAGGCCCGCGGTGCCCCGCGCCGAGGACCCACGCTAGAGACAACCGTTCGCGGCAACCGCCATGCGCAGAAGAGACTCGCTCAACCCTCGCCCACCCCCAAAGCTCGCTTCCGCCAGGGGTCACCACCGGCGCTATCACTCTACCAACAGTGGTACTCAACGCGAACACAACGCCATCTATTGTCTGGCGATTTGTCATTCCCGAAATACGGCTTCTGTGCGAGACACATGCGCCACGCGGCGCAAACAACTTTACAGGGGGTGTCAGCACTCCCACAAGCGTTACTAGAGAAAAAAACAACAAAAAACGTATAGTAGCTTGACTACTGTGAAACCCGAGGAACTGCGTCGCACGGGCACACAGCAATTCTCGTTCGTCGAGTTTCCACTGCTCGCGTAACCAAAGTGCCAATGACGCTGATCTTTCCCTGGCACAAGTAGTATCTTGTTAGGCAGATTCACAAACTGGGAGTGCAACATGTGTGCAACTTTCTGCTGCGCTTCACCGACTTTCTGTTTGTTACGGCCGTTGAGATGAGCATTGTCTGCAGCATGTTCTATCCGGTTGCGTTCCTCTATCAAAAGTAGTCACAAAGAAACACAGGGGGAGCGCCATTCGCTCGCTTGGTTAGGCAGTGGCACCCTGTCTTGAGTCAGCCCCATGTTTCCGAAACATTCTAGCGATTTTAGGTTAATTAGTGCAATAACTTCTTGGCTATTCCTGTTAATTGTATTGTCTTAGACCTTGTTCGTTTCTTTTAACTCAGGTTTGAGCGTCGCTAGCTCTGTTATGGCCTGTTGAGCGCTTTATTGTGAGTTTGAGCACGCCACACGATATGAATGAACAAGCCAGGCCCCTTAAGGTACTGACACAAAAAATTTTGGCCTCGCGTTTTTTTTTTTTTTTTTGCTGCAATGTGTTCTTGGGAGCCTGTCAGTCATCACACAACACACCGTTTTCTGCAGCGCATGGCAGATCATTAATTACAGGCTCGTTATCACTGACCTGTGTCAGTTTTGGTTTCAAGAACGACAAGCTGCTGGGTGCAACTATCGCCACCTAGCGGGTGCAGCGCTCGACCATGTCAGCACACAGAACTGTGACACATTCCGCGCGGATCGCATCAAGAAGCGTTTACGGACAGGAAACTGGACTGGAAAGTCATCAAACACGAAACTTTCAACTCGTGCACCGCGGCCACGGACTCGCGAGCAGCTGCTGAGTAGTGGTCTGCTGGAACAAAGGCAACCAAAGAAAAATGGTGTTTACGACGTCATCATAACTTGATGTAGCGTGGTCACATGAGGGAAGTAGGGGATCTCCAAGGGTCCCCTTTGAGGCTGTCAACAAAGCGATGGACAAAATTGCTCCCGCAAACTTCAAAATTAATTTAAAATACTTTCCAAGCTATATTCACTGTTCATATTTCGCAGATTATACACGCATGTTCACAAAAATCGATCCCACGGGCAATCTCGGCCGCGAAATTTTGCATCAGTACACCTTGAAGTGATATCAGGAAACTTACTACCTGAACGAACGCAAAATGTGAGTTCACTAAAGCATCATGCCCTTTTGTTTGATAACGATACTGCGAATATCAGTACTGGGGAGTCGTACGAAATCATTGAGGCCCTTTCACACTTGAAAACACCCAACCGTTCTGGCAGTTTTAATCAATAAACCTTGTGAAATGTGGGGAAAAATTGACAGGAACACTCTACCGGAGAATGGTCATTCAAATAGCGTAGCATTGTTTTCAAATTTGTCACAATTTTAATGCATGTGCAGACAGGTCTACTGTTAAAGGAAACACTTGTGTGCTGGGCATGTCTGTATTTCACTCTCTTCCTGAATTGTAGTGGCTTAGGTTTGCATTAGACTAGACTTGGTTGACATTTTTGGTTCTTTTTAACTAGTAATTATAAATACCAACTTGTAATTAAGGAAACTATTGGGGATGTTAGTTATAGTAATTGTGACATAAATGTGAATAAATTATGGTGGATGAAAAGGCAACGTGCCGTCGGGGCAAGGATCAAAGCTGTAACCTGTCCAATGTTTTACCGATCGAGCTATGACGGCAGTCACGCTCCTGTTCACTTGATCGGGCATATTTGCGCATTTAAACTTGGGAATGCCGATCAGCGCTACACGTAGCCAATCTGGCAGGGAGACATTTCTGACTTCAGTACAAACCTTATTCCTAAGCAAAATATTGCTTGTTTTAATGTGGAAGCATAATTACATGTACCCATTGTCGTGAATAAGAGCCACACGACAAAAGATGATGACAAAGATGCCCAGAGAGTATTCAAAGTGACCCAACATCTGTGACAACACCACCAATATCGCAGATTTCTAGTCACACGCCCCAAGCCCCCAGAATCTTCCGTGTGTGTGTCTCTTCCAACGCTCCTCGTGCTTCTCCTGTTTTGTCTCTGTCTGGCTTTTTCTTGCGTCGCTCATCGCTGTGATTATAGGATGCCACATTGAAGGGTAAAGTTCTAGAACGGACGCAGCAAATGTTTCATGACGTGCTAACTGTTTCAGGTGCGGCCGAGCGATTTGCCCGTGCTTCCACTGCTTTTCCCAGCATTGAAAAGTCTATTCGCCGAACACTACGAAGAGATGCAAGAGAAGACAGCAAAGAAGCTACGCCAAAAGGCTCTGCTCAATGCCTCAACGAATTCCTCTGACGTTAAGCTCCAAACGTCTGCATAATAGCGATAATCAATTTAACTGTGTAGATAAAGTGTAGTGAATGCGTGATGTGTATGTGATGCGTTACCAGAATATTTGTTTTATTGACACATCGTATGTTGACAGTGTTTCTTATTTCGTCATCTTCACGTACAAGATGTAAAAAAAATGACGTTGACGAGGAAATGTTTGAACAAGTAAAATAAATGCCGATACAACCGACCTACAAACATGTGTAATGTCTTTTATTTCAATGGAAATTCAAACAAGGAAGTTCACGAGAAAATGAAGGCTAAATTAAGAGATGAAAAGTTCTTAAATAAGGCTGTTGCTGGAGCGAACATTTTGACTAGCGCTCCTGTTTTTTGCAAGACAGCAAGTAGCTGATACCTTTGAAAGAGACAAGAACAGTTGTCCAAATGTCGGCTTCAGCCACAGTTTCCTACAATACTTACTAAAGAGAATTCTGGCGCTGCAATCATAGAGCGGACGTGGAAATGACGGGTTGTAGACAGATTTGCCTAATCTTCGTGCTTACGACTTTGTTTGTGTTTTGGCATTTGTTTCAAATAAAAGACTAATGCATCACTGTGCACTTCGTGCGCGGATTTGCACCGTTGAGCCTAAAAAGGTTAAGGTGGCGAAATGGAATTGTTGAACGTTGCCTTGTGACGAATTGGCTCTAGGCCACGCGGAGTCGAGCAAACGAAGCTTGTACCAATGTCTGACGATGCACTGCCGATGCTAGTTAAGCCAAATCGGGATGAGACCTATGAACAAATGATCGGCTCCCATACGCATCTCACGTAAAGAAGCCGAATCGCGATCGGGCCCAATAGTGATCACAAAGGTGGCTGTGTGACAATGGTATCGGACAAATCCGTGCACTACCCATGATTTCTATGGCGACTGTAGCGCCATGCCGTGCAGATCCCATTGTCATATTTCCCTCTAGTGTATTATTGGGAAACTATGGCTCCAGGTACACACGTCATTCAAGAATTTTTCATGGACTCGCTCTCTCGATTTTAGTGCCGACCAGTTGTGCCCCCGCGATCTCCAACGACAGCGCAGCTCTGGCCAACTGACTCGCCCTACGCCATCTCCTGCCGCCGACAAGAGCTTTGCCGAGTGGTGCCCCGTCCTGGGACTCCTGTGACCGTGTCCATTTTTCCTATCTCTTGTTTACTTCCGTCATTCGCTGTCCCTGCGCTTCGCTCTCTCCTTCCTCTCCTAATCTATTTACCTTTTAATCCCTCCTTACCCCCATCCTTTGCGAGCTACTGTTGAGGTGTCGCACTCTGATGTAGACAGTTACGGGGCTCACTTTTCTCTTTAAGAATCACATAAGAATGTTTCATCTTTATGCAATGGGCACACAGCTACAAACGACTTCGCTACTCATGTGTTTAACTACAGGCTATTAGGCACAAAAAAAAAAAAGCGAAAGCAAGGTGTTTAACTTTCAGTTCGCTCATGTACGTACAATGGCCGAACCATGGCGTGTGACGAAGGTCGCGGGTTCGATGCCCGACGCTCCCAGGCCACGACGGAATACCAAAAAGACCAATAATTTAATGAGCACTGGGTGCACGCTAAAGAAACCCAGGGGGTCAAATATTAATCTAGAGCCAAGTTCACCCGACTACGACGTGCCTCACGTAATCGCGTCGTGGTTTTGGCAAGTCCGTAAAATTCGATTCTGTTCTTTTTTTTTTTAATTTTAGAAATGATGCAACAACATTTGATCCGTATCAGCAATGCGTCAGCGTTCAGACAATCTCGCGCAAGCTGACTGGATAAACAAAGCATAATCCACGGAAATTAAACTTGTAGCGGAAAGTGACAGGATTTTCGGAGGTCATGTTGAGAATTTGGAGTTGGCAAGATCATCGAACGGCAGCTGAACCGATGCGGATTACGAGGGAGTCAACACGAGAGTCTGTCTGCCTTGCCTTGTCAATTGGAGGGGCAAATAAAAAATAAAATAAAAGCGAAATATTCGGCACGCACTAGAAGCCCGGAGGGGTGGGGTGACATCGAGCCAAGATGCCACACGCTACCTGTTGCACAAAATCGGTCTCGGAAAGAAAAAGAGGATGGAAAACACGTACTTGTGTCCACAGCTCGTACGAGATGCATTCGCTACGACGCTACCGCGTTGTGCCCCCGTTTGGGACCACGTAAAAACGGCGGTAATGTATTTCGTATTGTACTTAAGCATCGTTACCAGACTCTCGCAGACTGCGAAGTCGATACGCGTCGCTCGATCTCGCGGACATTCGCACAGGTCGCTCGAGAGGAATTCCAGGATGGCGCACAAACATGCCGATGGGCCGGGCACTTGAAATCAGCTGGGCGACTTGACAGGTGACATGTCGGCCGCTGTTTGGCCATCGTCAGAGGTGAGGCACGCACGCCGCCTTCACATTTAGCGTGACGTGTCCTCACCAACGTGCCAATCCACTCCGTACGGGACGTGAGGGACTGGCATCGCAGGCAGTGCACTTTTTCCTCTGCGTGGGACAACGCGGAACACGGCGAAAAAACCACTGCCACCCAGTATGTGTGTAAATGCCATGCGAAACCAACCAAAAAATATCAATAAACGCGCCCACGTGACGCAATCTGACCAATGGCGGCACTTTCGAGCCTGACGTCACATGCGCAACCCGAGTGCGCGGGCTGGCAAGAGGCATCCAAAATGCCGTCGACTGCTGATCAGAAGGCTGCGCTGCCTACACAAACGGAGAAGCCAAACCATTACAAGTAAGTTCCGCGCCTTGTCAGGGCTCTGACGGAGTCCGCACGACCCCTGGAGCGCCGTGTGTTCACGCCGAGCCGTCTCTCTCGGGTGTTTTCAGCTACTTGAAGGAGTTCCGTGTCGAGCAGTGCCCGCTGTTCGTACAGCACAAGTGCACACAGCACAAGCCGTTCACATGCTTTCACTGGCACTTCAAGAACCAACGGCGCAGAAGACCGATACGGCTCGCGCGGGACGGCACCTTCAACTACAGCCCCGATGTGTACTGCACAAACTACGACGAGACGACGGGGATATGCCCCGACGGCGACGGGTGAGTTCTGACGTTTTTCGCGTGCGCGGCCATCTATGCAGCGTTCGCTCGGGCCGAGTTTGTTTTGACGGTTGCATTGCCGCGTGGACGCGGCCTCTCGCGGCACACGTTTTGCTTGCAGCGGCTCGGGCGGTTCTTCTGGGACACGTGGGCGTCAGTATCGGTCGCGCGCGTCGCTCGCGTGTCGCCCTAAAAACGCTCCAAAGTGTGGACATGTGCGTACTAAAAGCACTTGTAAACAATGTCGGCCATATTGTTTGACTACGCCATGTTGGCGCGAACGGTGACGTAACGTGGCGGCGGGCCAATCGAGTGCGCCCTAATCCGTGGGGGCCCTTCCCTCCCGTTTTTCGTGCTCCGGAAACATCCTTTTTTACTCTCTTACGCGAGAAAAAAAAAAAAAAAAGACGACTTCGTAAACGCTGGCTTACCCTGATATTACGCGAGAGTAATTACGATTTTGCCGCCTCGTCGTTAAGCCTGTGGGCTGGCGTTAAACGGTAGTCTCTTGGGTTTGCTGGAACCGACGCTCGATCGTGTGTTTTTTTTTCTAATTTTTTTGTTCAGATGTCGGTTGGCGGGCTGAGTGCTTCGTCGCCGCTGTGGCGTTGCTTTATGTATTCTTTGCGGGCGTTGCTTCATTTTGCTTCGCCTTCCGCACATTCGGCGGTGGTTCCATTCGCATGGCAACAACACCTGTTAGTTCCGCCTTAGCGGGTACGGAAAACCGTGCTTGTGCGACATGGGACGCGAATTTGTTCCGAAACAAATCCATTTCGCTACGCCACCGCGTTGGTTGTCGCTGGCGTTTTTTTTTTTTTTGTTGTTGTTGTTGCTAAGCGGGGCGGGCAGCGTAACGATTTCAGTCGAGCCGCGCGCGGAGGTCTGTCATTAAAAAGTGGCGACCGAGCCGTGTTACGTCGCTACTTCGCTATTACTATGCTGCGTTGCCAACTAACGTCCTGTCGCTTATCGTTCCCTTGGAACGCGCGCTGCGTGCTACACGAAAGAAACAAAAAGTTACAAAAAGTGGCGGCGTGCTTTGGATGTCTTGCCGATGAGACGAGGATGGGACCGGTTGCGTCACACATCCGGGCCTCCCGGAATGTTCGGTTAATCGTTCGCGGATTTAATCCGAGATTTAACTATCGTGAGATGCGTCATTCGAAATATCGGCGTGGAATTTGGTGATCTTATTCGAGCGCAAGCGCGCGATTGGACCGAAAGTAAGCGCTGTGGCAATACTACTTCCGGTTTCGTTTTCGCCCAGTTTTTTTTTTTTTTTTACTTACGGCGCGCGTGCTTGGGCCTACGTGGGTGTGGGGAGCCGCAAACGAGATTACGGTAGTTTTATTTAACGCTTTTATGCCGACGGCACCTCTAAAATTCTTCGTCGGCTTTCAAGTGCGAGCTTTTATTGTTCCTTCGTACAAAGCTTCATGAAATCGTCCATTTGTGGAAAAGGACGGTACGCGTTTTACATTGTAGTAATACGTAAAAGTAAGCAAAGTAGTTTTTGACGCACATTCAGAATAAGGTGGAAGATATTAAAACGTAATATAGGACACCTTTTTGTGCAGGAGTTGCTCATTGACATTGAACGGGAATATAATTTCACAGTTTATTCGTCCTGGATTTCACAATCCTTAAGTGAAATAGTGGTTATGGAATTTTGATGGCGCTCTTAACTAGCTACTGGGTTTTAAGCACATGTCCAACCTGTCACGGTTGGGCACCCACGAATGCATACTAAAAAACTCGGTGCCATAACCGCGAAGCCATCAGGTGTGGGCCGTCAGGAACCTGTAGATTCCTCAAGAAACGAAAGGAAACGAGCCTGTAGCTTTAAACTTTGCTTATTTCACTTAATTGTTCATACAATATAACTCTTACACTATAATAATAGTTGTTACTACGGTTTACAATAAGATTTATGTGTTCTAACTGTTAGTTGTTCAACCATTGTGACAACTTCTCTGGAATTACAGTGTATGTTGGTGCTCTTGTCCTGTGCACTTCATATTGGGTCAGTGCCCTAAATTAGGGATTGGTATGCAGAGATTTTAATGCAAGGAAATACGCAGTATTATGTCCAGCATATTATTATAGTTGTGACATTTTCCTAGGAAAGCGGCCGGCTGCACCAATGTGCGTGTGTCATGTGTTAAGTGTTAGGACTCCGGTGAAGCGATGTCGACAAAGACGACAATGCTGCTGAGCCACTGTGACACAGACACAAAAAAAAAAGGAAAGAAGATGAGAGACGCTGTAAACCCTCGTGGCACGAGCACCGGGGAGAGGAAAACGACGAGGGCGGTGGAGCAGCGCATTTCGGTGGAAGAAGCAGCAACGGGTAAAAGAGTTCTCGGGGTTCCTGTCCACGGCTGGTACCTCTGAGCTTGTGGCTCGACATCGCGAAGAAGTCCACAGTGCACCCCAGAGTCCACCCGAACGCGAGTCCCTGCAGGTGCCCCGATGACAACCGTTCGTGACCCATAGTTTGACTCCCAGCGGAGCATCGATCTTCACTCGACGCTGCGAGGCGTCACATCTGGAACGCTCCGTGTGTCTCCAGCCAATCTGCACGGTGAAGTGCGGTCCTTGCCTTTCTTGCTTCTTTCGATGTGAAGTGGTGATTAGTTTATAACTAGTGACACTGACCTCTTCTTGCATAGAACACGAGTAACATGTATAGTTGTGTTTTGTTTTCATGAATTGAGTGTTTGAATGTGTGTGTGTGCTACCGAGAACGCCCGCTTCATCCTTATTTCTTCGAACCTCAGGTGGTAATGGTGATAAAACTTGACAGTGTGCTACACATTTTCTTTTAAAGCCTTATTAGCATCACGAATGTTTGGAAAACACCCATTTCTTTGCTTTTCAAGCACAAACAAGCAGGTTGCATTATTCGTTTGGGCTCATTACAAAACACCTGGTGACTTATGATTGAGGTTGCGATATGCATGGCTGCAAACGATTGAGCTTGTTCGACGCATTGCTGCAAGCTTGTGACAGCCATAGCTACAAGTATTGGTGGTGTTGTAGTAACAAAAAACAAAATCATAAACTGTCTACTAGGCTACAGCATGCAATTTTTGTGTTGCAGTGAAAAGTCACTCAGAAAAGGAGGGCCAGTTTGCAATGCATGGACTAAGAAATAAACAGGACAAGTGCACATTCTATGTTATTTTGCACTATTTTTAATCATTAAGGAAAGGTTAATGTGAGTAATATCTGGGCTGAAAGAAATATATTTTTCAGCTTTGTGTATCTTGGTAGCTACAGAGGCAGTCAATTGACTCGCAGGATCAAGAGTGTATCTAAGCATTTGTAATTGTAAAATTGCCTGCATGGGTCTGAAAATTGATTTTAAGCACATGTCCAACCTGTCACGGTTGGGCACCCACGAATGCATACTAAAAAAACTCGGTGCCATAACCGCGAAGCCATCAGGTGTGGGCCGTCAGGAACCTGTAGATTCCTCAAGAAACGAAAGGAAACGAGCCTGTAGCTTTAAACTTTGCTTATTTCACTTAATTGTTCATACAATATAACTCTTACACTATAATAATAGTTGTTACTACGGTTTACAATAAGATTTATGTGTTCTAACTGTTAGTTGTTCAACCATTGTGACAACTTCTCTGGAATTACAGTGTATGTTGGTGCTCTTGTCCTGTGCACTTCATATTGGGTCAGTGCCCTAAATTAGGGATTGGTATGCAGAGATTTTAATGCAAGGAAATACGCAGTATTATGCCCAGCATATTATTATAGTTGTGACATTTTCCTAGGAAAGCGGCCGGCTGCACCAATGTGCGTGTGTCATGTGTTAAGTGTTAGGACTCCGGTGAAGCGATGTCGACAAAGACGACAATGCTGCTGAGCCACTGTGACACAGACACAAAAAAAAAAGGAAAGAAGATGAGAGACGCTGTAAACCCTCGTGGCACGAGCACCGGGGAGAGGAAAACGAGAGGGCGGTGGAGCAGCGCATTTCGGTGGAAGAAGCAGCAACGGGTAAAAGAGTTCTCGGGGTTCCTGTCCACGGCTGGTACCTCTGAGCTTGTGGCTCGACATCGCGAAGAAGTCCACAGTGCACCCCAGAGTCCACCCGAACGCGAGTCCCTGCAGGTGCCCCGATGACAACCGTTCGTGACCCATAGTTTGACTCCCAGCGGAGCATCGATCTTCACTCGACGCTGCGAGGCGTCACATCTGGAACGCTCCGTGTGTCTCCAGCCAATCTGCACGGTGAAGTGCGGTCCTTGCCTTTCTTGCTTCTTTCGATGTGAAGTGGTGATTAGTTTATAACTAGTGACACTGACCTCTTCTTGCATAGAACACGAGTAACATGTATAGTTGTGTTTTGTTTTTCATGAATTGAGTGTTTGAATGTGTGTGTGTGCTACCGAGAACGCCCGCTTCATCCTTATTTCTTCGAACCTCAGGTGGTAATGGTGATAAAACTTGACAGTGTGCTACACATTTTCTTTTAAAGCCTTATTAGCATCACGAATGTTTGGAAAACACCCATTTCTTTGCTTTTCAAGCACAAACAAGCAGGTTGCATTATTCGTTTGGGCTCATTACAAAACACCTGGTGACTTATGATTGAGGTTGCGATATGCATGGCTGCAAACGATTGAGCTTGTTCGACGCATTGCTGCAAGCTTGTGACAGCCATAGCTACAAGTATTGGTGGTGTTGTAGTAACAAAAAACAAAATCATAAACTGTCTACTAGGCTACAGCATGCAATTTTTGTGTTGCAGTGAAAAGTCACTCAGAAAAGGAGGGCCAGTTTGCAATGCATGGACTAAGAAATAAACAGGACAAGTGCACATTCTATGTTATTTTGCACTATTTTTAATCATTAAGGAAAGGTTAATGTGAGTAATATCTGGGCTGAAAGAAATATATTTTTCAGCTTTGTGTATCTTGGTAGCTACAGAGGCAGTCAATTGACTCGCAGGATCAAGAGTGTATCTAAGCATTTGTAATTGTAAAATTGCCTGCATGGGTCTGAAAATTGATTTTAACGGCAGGTTCCAAACGACTCAGTTCACATAACAGCTTAGCTTAAAAAAAAGTGTGTATATATATAGTGAGTGCCAGCTGTACATTATTATCGTTAGTGATTTAAACATATTTAAACAAACACGGTATCATTTTTTTTTTTTGCAACAAAGCTTTTTGTAACCACGATGGAATTGCAAATATTTGATAAGTAACAGCTAATTACTGGAAGCTCATTTTTACCTTCCAAGTTTGAAAATTATAATTGATCAGAGAAATAGCTGTTTTGACATATAATTAGCTTTAGCCTGTGGTGTGGACCTTTTGGAAAAACCCCATGGTTATTCTATTGTAAATTTTTTTCTGGTTTGTATTGTAAGTTATCACAACGACCCTTAAAAATGATCTAACTATATTACAATGTGGAAATTTGTAATTTCTTCTTTTCCAAGCGAGGTATTTGAAATCTCCATTCAGTGATACACATGCAAGGTCAATTTCGTTTAGGTAGGATAATAAACAAACACCTCTTTTTTTTTTTTTTTTTCAAGGCACTCGCCTCCCCTTAACTCTCGCTTGACCTGACTGCACGTGTCGTTGACAGGTGCCGGTTTCTGCACCGCACGGCGGGGGACACGGAGCGTCGCTACCACTTACGCTACTACAAGACGGGCATCTGCGTGTACGACACGGACGCACGGGGCAACTGCGTCAAGAACGGCCCACACTGCGCCTTTGCACATGGCCTGCACGACCTGCGCTCGCCGGTCTACGACGCCAAGGAGCAGCAGGCGTGCTTGGCCGGCGATGGTAGCTCGGCCAATGGCCCCGATGATGCCACCAATGGCGGACCCAACAGCTTGGACAAGGAGCGGAACGCGCTCAATGAGGACCCTCATTGGCAGGGTGAGCGTTCCGCTTCACTTGTCGAAAAGGCCAGTGGCCTCTATTAAACATTTCGAGAAATTGCGACAAAATCTAGTGCCCAGTCCAAGACTATACTGCAAGTGAATTTTTAGTCGTCGTAGTCTTCTGTTTATAATAAATCTATATTTAGTGATGCGTGAAAAGCATTTCTGAATTCGTGATAAGATCCTCCCTCAGATGATTCACAAATGGTGGCTCTTTGCTCCCTCCTGTTCTTTTGTGACAATGCGTTCCTTTCTATCACAGGATGTGTACAAGATTGCACCCTTGTTTGCCTTCGTTATCAAGGGGTGGCTTTCTTAGGCAATCGCTTTGAGGTGTTCTGATTTGCGCAATGTTACGCGTGATTATTCTTGGGCACAGCTCCACAAGTCCGAAGCATTTCTTTCTCGCAATTTCAGTATTTACACAAGCCTGCACTGTGCTCCGGACAAACGTCTTGAGCTGGGCAACTGTTGACTCCCCCCTTCTGAGATCATTGCGGAGTGCGCGAGATTGATTATTTTCTTAGTTGCGGAAACGATCCGCTGCCACGCTTCGGTTGTGGGGGCTGCGCCTTTTTAGACTTATTGTCAAGTTATATCGGACGTAACGCAATATGTGTCTGGCATCCAAGGGTCACAGTGATTAATACTCGGCCAATTGTGTTCATCATGACAATATCATCATTCCTAGGCGCTTGCGTTGATGATTGATTGATATGTGGGGTTTAACGTCCCAAAACCACTATATGATTATGAGAGACGCCGTAGTGGAGGGCTCCGGAAATTTAGACCACCTGGGGTTCTTTAATAGGCGCTTGCGTGCCTGGCGCCAAAACATTGAGAGTTTTCGTAAATATAAAACTGTCACCTAAAGTTATAGCCCGGTAGGGCCAGTTTTAAAATTTAGACATTAAAACTGGCTTCTGGCAAGGGGGCATCTGGTTAAAAATTGACAATTTTTAATGTTGAGCTTCGCTGTCATAAGTTGTTAAAAAAAAAAACTTTGTTCTAGCTTACTCAATTGTTTCGAAGTTCCGTTTTGTAGTATGCAAAGGTTTTGAACATTGTTCAAAACCTGTGTAGTTAAAACATTGTTATATTTGGTATCGCGCAGTTTTTTTCTAACCTCTGTCTCTCTGTTCAAGAGAATTTCCACATTCATTTGCATCATCAGTTCACAATGACTTTGCAAGTGTGCCTTCTTGTGCCGAGAAAAACAGTCTTAGTCAAATTCATAATGAAATAATTGGAAGTTTGTCTCTTCTCTTGTGTCCTGTTGGTTTGCGCTTCCAATTATTCCATTATGAATTTGTACCAACTAGCCCGCCTGTCAACCCTACTGCAGTCTTAGTCAACACTGAGAAAGTGGTATTTTCTTGAAAATAAAGAAAGATAAAAGCGTATGTATGAATGAACCGACAATAAGCACTTGCAGCCACAAGAATCAGTTAGTTGCGCAAACATTTTCGATTCACTTTGCTCTATAAAAATGTGTTGGGTAATGGAAACTTTTCCCTTCAATTGAGGGTTGCTTGAAATCAGGGCTTCGCTATTAAACTGAGATTTGTTTTTCTGAGAACTTCGCTGACCCATGCCTTCTTTCTTCTTCTTTTTTTTTTTCAGATACGAAATATGTTTTGACTAACTACAAGACAGAGCCATGCAAGCGGCCACCTCGACTCTGCCGTCAAGGTTACGCGTGCCCCCAGTACCACAACAGCCGAGATAAACGAAGAAGCCCAAAGAAATACAAATACAGGTACGATGGGTTCGTGACTCCTTGTGCATTGCCGAAAAAGAAAAGCTGGTTGAAATTTACTCTGCTTGGAATTTCGTTTATTGGGTGAATTGGTCGTACTTTGTCAATATGTGGGACGCTTCCGTCGACTTGTCGCTCGGCTACACAGGCTTCACTGTAAGCATATTCCTGCAATAGGGAGTTCTCGTTTGCCTGCGACATTCTTGCAGTAAGTGGAGTACAGCAAAAGCTCAGCTGCGGAAATACAGCGCAAGAAGGCAAGGACGAAGTAAATGCGGTACTTACAACTGAAGCGTCATTGCAACAACCACTCGTTTTCGCCACGTGCTATGCTGCACCATCTTTCCACTACAAACTGCCAGCACTTGTTCAGTCTCTGTCATTGTCTCGTGTCTTGTGATGTTTCCAGTTTCCTTCAATATGGCTCAAATATACTCTCGGAGCTCGTTATAACGGAGTTGCACCTTACAGCAAAATAAGTTCGTTATATCCAGGAACTTGTTATAAAGATATGTACACTGTATTTATTGCAAGACATTTATTAATTCACTTTGCCGTAAACAATATTTCGTTATATATGGGTTTGTTATATTTATTTATTTATATATTAAGATTTTTGTTTACACATACTCGCTCATTTTGAATACAATGAAATTTCAAATGATCAAAATTAGTGCCAAAGCAAATCAAACCACTGTAATATTTGTTCTAATATTCAAAGTGCCTGAACATTCGCCAATTTCATTGTTGACGGAACTAACGAAAGTGGTAAGTAAACGGCTGTGCATGACGACTCGAGGAGTGGTAGCATCTCTGCAACCATCGAGACCCACTTTCCTGGACAGGTCTACGCCGTGCCCCAACGTCAAGCAGGGGGACGAGTGGGGGGACCCGGCCAACTGTGAGAACGGCGACAGCTGCTCCTACTGCCACACGCGCACCGAGCAGCAGTTCCACCCAGAGATCTACAAGTCCACCAAGTGCAACGACATGCAGCAGGCCAACTACTGCCCCCGGGGGCCGTTCTGCGCGTTCGCGCACGTCGAGAAGGAGATTTCGGCCGTGCGGGACCTCGGGCCAGACTACTCCACCAACCTGGCGGCCATCCTGTCCAGCGCCCTGCCCTCCTCTTCGTCCTCGGCGAATCACCAGGTGAGAGCTACGCTGGTTTCACACCTTTTTTCTTTTATGTTTGTTTGAATGGCGAGAATACTAATTGAATGTGCTACTGTATGTCTGTAACTGGGTAGACAGGAGCTCTAGAAAGTTTTGATAACGTCATCCCGTAATGTGCATTGAGGGAAATTTCTTTGCTTATACCAAGCACTAGTTAGTCTAGAAACTCCGTATTTCTATGGAATACTTTTGATAATTCAAACTTGAGTACCCTTGGAATTTCGTTTGAATTGTGGGAAGTATGAATCATTGGATGCCGGCATAAGTATGTCTCTGTATAGCGTATGGGGAACTACAGAGACTGCCAATCATTGCATGTATTGCTGCCATGTCGGCTCCTGGTTTTAAGTGGTTTCACAAGTTCAGGCAGGCAATTAGTTTTATTTTTTTGGCTGTTATGATGGATATGTGGGTGAGATAAGAACACAAGCCAACTAGTCTGACTCTCTCTTTTGCTGCACGTGTGTGGGTACAAGTGTTATAAAAAAGGAACGAGGGTAGCTAACATTTCCGGTAAACATGAGCAAAAAATATTAGGAGTCGCTGATTGGTGCAGCTTAAATTAAGCAGCTATTAAGCACACTGCTCACGGATTGCAATGCATCATTCTTAAGCAAAGTAATGCTCGTACTTTTTTTTTTATCATATTCAGTTTGTGTCACATCAGCGCAGTTTTGACTCTTGCATCAGATCCAACATTGCCTTTAGCGTGTGGTAATCATTATACTAAAACTTCTCATGCTGTGTTACAGTCTGTGAGCCTTGCAAACCTGACAGGCCAACTGAAAATGTGAAGTTTGCTTAGATTAACCGAAAGTACCAAATATCGCACTCTGAATTATCCGGAATTTCCTGGTTCACAGTGCTCCGTAAGCCTGTGTCTCCATCCGAGCACTGAAGCAATGTCGTGCAAACCGAGTAGCGAAATGCAGCGCTTTGCGAAGCCCTTTTGCACTCGGCTGTTTCGCAGGGAAGCTCCGGTTCCCCAGCCTGCAACAATGACAACCCCTTCTCGCACGTGGGCTCTCATGACCACATGGCTGAGCAGCAGCAACAACACGCGGTGAGCGAGCGCCCCCCCCTCCTAGTCGTCCGGCCGTCTTTTGTCGTTGAACCGTGCATGCCCAGCGAGCGGAGAGCTCAGACCCGTTAAAAGTAACAGACTTCTCTTTTTGTTTCTTGCTCCTTCCCTGTAGCGTGCGTTCTCGGTGGCAAACCTCGTGAGAGTGCACCTTCCTTCAAGTCAATTTCCTAAGTGGGAGTAACGTGGAGCGGTACTTGGTAGGGAGGCTAAGCCTTGCTTACGTAATTGGTAACGTCACTAACGGAAACGGTGATGTTTCGTTTTACGTGTCTTGGTACGCTTTTATCTTTATCAAGTTACCCTGTTGAATCCGTGGGCTGTTCTACTGATCCTCATTGCACTTCATTGAACAAAAGAAGCTTGTTTGTTTAAATGTGATGCGTTCTTTGTTTTGTGTAGTAAACTGCAACAAGGCTAATGGCAACCTTGCGAATAATAATTGAAACATCACATTGTTATTTGATGTTGCAACAGAGGGATAAATGTTTATTTAATTGCCTCTGGCCCTAAAAAAAAAACATTAAGTTGAGGGAAGCTGATGGTCAGCTTGGATTTGAAAATGTGGGACAACCGCAACTTGTGCGTACCGCTGACAGTAGAAACGTTCAAGCCATGGGTGGCAAAAAAACATAGCCAATTTTATCGGGCTGCAAAGGGAAGCAGAACTGTTTGTAACAGTGGAGTTCTTGTAAGCCTATGAATAGGACCGAGGTTTCAAATATTCAAGGTACGTTAAGACAGCTTTTCTATTTTGACACGTCTAACTGTAATTACTCCATCATGGAAGCAACTGGGTTTATGGGGGCACAGGATGAAATGTCGTCCAACCTGACAGTGTTAACATTCTATAAGGGGTGGTAACATCATGATGAGAATGCGTGTTCTTTTCATGGTCAAGCTTTCTTGTGTTGGTTGGTCTGGGTAATGTTGCAGGAGCATATTTTGACCCTGCAAATGGTAACGGAATTCAGGCTGCACTAGACCATAATAAGTGTGCAAACACGTCAAGAATAGTATGTTAATGTGATTATATTTACATTAAGTAATTTGGGTAAGAAAGCCTGCAAATGATGCCTAATGCTCTTATTATAAAAATTAATTGTATGTTATAGCTCTACAGTTATATTCAAATGCACGATGCACCATATTACAGAAGAAATGCTGTGTAGAGTTATGTAGCTTTGTAAATGTGCCTTGATCACACACTTGGCCAGTAAGAGGTACCTTTGTAAAAGAAAGAGAAGTTGGACAACATTGTATGCCAATGGACTGGTCTGAGTGCTTAGCCAAGGACGTTTTCTTTCTTTCAGGCATCTTTAGGGGAAAAGGCTTGGTATGCCGCGCAAGCGAATGATTGTAGCAACCCATTGCCCAACCCGATTGGCCGGCCGCGCTCGTATAGTTCTTCCACTAACCACTCGTCCGAGTCGTTACCGCTGCACCAGAAGGCGCCGGGCTCCGAACGAGAGGACCGCGAGGTGAGTCCTCTCTTTGCTGATGAGGACGTTTGCCAGTGTCCTATTTATTCTGGATTAGCAGGACAAAGATGCTAGTCCATCACGGATTAGCACAACCTGTTAATATAGTGGGAATCAACAAAATGTACTTGATAATCCATTCTGTATTAGCAGGATATACTTGGTGTACATAGTGTAACTGTGCAAAAAGCAGGTGAGAACACGGTAGGAGAAAATCGCAAACAAGCACAAGTCCGTTTTTCATGCAGTTACACCGCAAACCAGTACCAACTGGCCCAATTTACACTCTCCTGCATATGCGGCAGTCTTATAAATTAGTAGGGCACACGTGCTAATCCATCGTGCATTAGCAGAGCATACTTGCCGATTCATTCTTGATTTGCAGGATGTACTTGTTAATCTATCATCTATTAGCAGGGCGCACACGCTAATCCATCGCTGGTTGAGAACACACTTCTTAATTTGTTAGGATTAGCAGATCATAATCTCTAATTAATTTAGGATTAGTAGTATGCACTTGGATATTTGTCATCAGTTATGGTGCATTCAGATGGCATACCAAATTCAGATTATCCAGGTTTTCGGGTATTTGACAGCATGGAGCCCAACAGAAATTTAACATTAGCTTTGTCGAGCTCTGACGAGGACTGTAATTAGTTTTGGCGAGATTGCTATTGATGGTGGAAGTCTTGTATGGAAAGAAAAGCCTACTGTAGAGGGAGCTGCTGAAGACTGACCTCGGAGCCCCGCATGCAAAGCAAGGATGCAGTGATGGGGAGCCTTTTTGTTTTGTGGGCTGTGGATACTAAGAGTGCACATTGCACCAATGTGCATTTCTAAATCCATCTCTTGGTTCACACCAGTGTTGGAATGCGGGCCATATTCTGAGTGGTGTGTCTTATTGCCTTCTAGGCGAGCATTCGGAAACAGCTCAAGGCCATTGACAACGAGCCTATGGCGGACCCCTTGGAAAAGGCGCGACTCAAACAGGACGTCTGGCTCGTGCACGGACTCACGCCGCCCCCGATGACGTCGACAGCCTCGTCCTCGTCCTCTTTCTACCACTCGACAAACACTGTAGAATCCGTTGTCGGTGAGTTGAATCGTTTTTTGGACAGCTGAACCGTTTCACTCGCGTGGCTTCACCCAAAAATGCAAGAATGTCTCTCTCGTTCTCGTTGCAGGTGTAGCACTTGACGACCTTAGTCTGGAAGACATCAACGTTGAGGCCTCTATAGACAAGGATTTAGAAAATGATTCCAACCCTGTGAGCACGTCGATAACGCAAGGACTTACAAGTTCAGGTGGGCAGATATTAAAGCACAATTAAAGCAGGCCCTTATCATAATTAAAAGTGAATTAAAAGTGCACCACTACACTCAGGCCTTGATATAATGAATCTGGATGTAACGAAATATTGGTTATATCGAAGTAAATGAAGAATATTCTTGCAATAGATTGGACTAGAAATATTTCAATAGTACGAATTCTTGGATATAACGAACTTATTTTCGCATCAGATGCAACTTTGTTATTATGAGGTCTAAGTGTATAACTATCGTTGGTGTTTGCTAAATGATGGTAAATGTTGGGGAGTGTTTAATGTTTTCCTGTGTTGGCAGTCCTATTGTTAGTACAGCACAGCAATGCTATTTTCATTCACACCCTAGACTGATTTTTTGTTTTCTTTCTGGATTTCTTTCAAAGCATTCACTTCAAGGAAACAATGGGCTCCTCATCTTATTTGTGCAGGTTTACTAGGAAGTTCAGCGCCTATGAACATTCCGGGGGCGAGCGGCATGCACTGCAATCGGAGATTGGGGAACTTGTCTCCCCCCGTGGGATCCCTTCCCCACAGCCTCGGCCTGCAGTCCAGTCACGACCACACGATGGACAAGGTGAGGTTGTAGTGTTCACGTATCCCAAATGAGTACGGCCACTCACGTGAGTTCGGTCTGAGCAATCCGCAGGGCTGCGTTCACCGTTGCATCGCGTGACGTAACTCCGCTATACACGAGTGTCCGAACAGCCAAGGCGCCGAGCGCAGCTAGCAAGTACACAGTACGCCTCTCAAACAAGTTGCAGCACCAAAATGCAGTACAGCGCCCATTGCAAAAGTCGGCGGGAAAGCAAACGAGGCTTATCCCCACCATGGGGGAAAAGTACAACACAAACGGTGACGCGAGCACGTCTCTGTGGGCCAAATAGATTCATGGTGACACGCCGCTGAGGGAAAACGGACCCTCGCGACTATGCTGCGTTGCTCTCAAGATCAGGGGCAACAGGGCCCGATCGCTCGAGCGAGGGTAAAATCCACTCGCACCGACTTCAAGAGGTATGGGTCAGCGTAGTAGGGCCACGCGGGGAGACACCGCACCGCTTTCCGGCCTAGTGTTTGAAACTGGCAACGAAAGGTAAGCATTCGCCACGAGTGCAAGGCGCCGTTGACGAGTCCGAATGAGCTCCAGACAAAGGAAACCAACGGACGGAAAGAAAACGTGTGCTCACTTTTCGATGTCCCGAAGAGATCTCTGACTCCCGACGCGCTCACGTGAAACGTCTCAAGAAATTTGAGCGCAGCGCCACAGTCGACATCCAGGCTAGAGGGGTCATTGTCACTCCCGCTCCCTGTGGAAACTGAAGATCAGGAAGGTCAGTGATGGAAGGTCGGCGAAGACGCTCGGGAAGTGGCTGTCGATCTCGGAAGACTCCAGTGAGGCTGCCTGGACTTGCCGCAACCTTTCACCGCAGTTCCTCGTGGGCCTACAGCTCTTCCACTTCGAGCCAGAACGGATGCAACCCGCACCACAGTCACGACGCCATTGATGAGTTAGGCAGAGCCTAACTGAGCGGAAGAAGACGACGAAGACCCCAACCATCCTGGCAATGAGGTCGAGCGGCTCGTTCGGCAGAAAAGGACACGACTCTAGGAACCAAAGGTGAACGTTTTCGAAGAACTCGACCAAGTGTCGACACAGCACAGGGCACTGAGTTGACGCGGAAATGTGGCGAACTCTAAGGACGTTCCATTGTTGAGCGACAACCCTGAGGACAGAGAGCACGTAACTGAAGCTCCGAGGAGTAAGGCAAGAGCACAGCAGTGATGTTTCCTGTGCAATCGACTAGGGCATGTAGCCATGAATTGCCGAACGAGTGGCAGTCGACAGGAAACAGCTGTAGTCTGCTAGCTATGCGAGAAAAGAGGACACAAAGCCAATTAATGCAAGTCGAGGTCCGGCAAAGAGAATAGTGCATGTGAGTAAGGTGGGAAGAGAAAGTAGAGGTCGTTAGCATAGCGAGGGGCATGTGGACAGATAGCAATGTGCCAATAGTAGAAGGGAAAGTAAATAGCCGACGAGCAATTGTGTCAAGAGAATATGATGCAGATACGATGATAGTCTGGAAGAGTGTATTGAAAGTGAGAGATTTTATGGGAAGAAGCGGATAGTAATGTTTGCAGATTGGTCAAAAAGGAGACTACCAAAGGCCAAGATAATGCTTGACACAGCCTATTTTGTAGGAGAGATCACGGCCAAGTGCACGAAAGATCCAATATGTGATGTTATTCTAGGAATTTTTAAAACAAATATTCTTTCTTAGTGCGAGGGAACGTTTTAGAAGGAAGAAAAAGCAGAGAGATAGGACAGAGCACATAGAAGTTACTAGAGATGTGTTTTGGCCGGGAATTCGCAAAGATTCACAAAACAGCTGGTGTGTGTTTTCTTAATTGTGGTCCGCTGTTGTGTACCTGCACTATTTATTCATCTATCTGAATATTATACCTTAGTCGCTATTGGTTGATCTATCTAGCCATTTATCTATGCTTCAATCTCAGCAAACCTGTCTAAACTGTTTGTCCATCTGTTTATACGTCTATCATTCAGTCTGTCTATCCACCAGTCAGTATCAGCCTTCTACATCTCATCAGTCAATTTCATTCTGTCTTTCTCTTGCTGTTTGTATACGTGTATCACGGTCGATCATGCAATCACACGGTCCAAACTTTCTTGCGCAGGCGGCTGCTGCGTTCTACAGCCACTCGGGTGGACCAGGCTCCTTTTCAGGACCTAAATACTCGGGCTTCCCGGGCATGTACGACTTCAGCCAGGGGGCGCTGTCCTCCCCATCGTCGTCACACTTGCTCTGGGATGACCGGATGGCCCCCAAGGCGCCACCGGGGCTGCACCAGCCCATGCCGGGGTCGTGGGAGGAAGGCCTGGTGCAGGCGCGAGCCGTGAGTGTATTTTGTGATCAAAGGCCGGCACGAAATAAGGTTCGTTCAGTTTGCCTGTGTCAATCGAACCACTTTGTGAGGTGCTGTGCCCCACTGTTCGCTTTAAAAGGGGTTTGGGTGGGTAAGTATTATACTAGCGGTTTCTTTCGAGATTAAGACGTCAATATCCTGAACTCAATGCTGCTGGGGGTAGATGTTTCAGTCTTGACGCAGTGTAACCTATTGCCCCTGCTTTGTTTTCTTGGCAGGTGTACGAGGCATGGAAGCGAGAAGTGGAAGAGGCCAAGCATAGGGAAAAGATGGCAGAGTGCCAGCGAGATGAGGTGCGTTTATTTCTTTGTGAAGTCGGTCAAACTGCTTCTAGCAAACTCTTTTACCTGTAAACATTTAGAATCTTTCAGATGTATGCTATTCAGAGGCTTAAGCATGGTTTTTATTAGTGTGACTGAGTGCTATGAGCTATTACTAGTGATAACTGCGTATTTTTCCTGCAAATCTGACTGCTATATGTGATGCTGGTCTGATGTAAGGTTTGTGCCAAAACTGATCAGTCTCAAGCTGTACATGCTGAAAACGAGTTGTGCTGATTACTTAGCCCTCAAGTTTTCACATTTCAATCATTGAGCACTGTACTACAGTCGACTCCCGGTAATTCGAAGTCGCTTAATTGGAAATTTCGGTTAATTAGAAATGAGCAAGTGGTCCCATCAGTTTTGCATGCAATCGTATAGAAAAAAATGCTCGATAATTCGAAGTTAAAAACCCATAATATTAGTTAATTAGAAGTTTTTTCAATCGACAGTCTCGTCGCGACCGTAATTTTACAGTAAAATGGGGAACTTTTCATATGCCAAAACATCTGCCGGACCGCGCTGGTGTCTTCGCCATCACTACTGTCCGCAGCGCCACAGATCTTGAAGCGGCAATCTTTTTAACGCTGGCGAATCGCATCGGCGACATCGACTGACTCTTTAGTTGACTTTTGTCGAGACTCTAGTGTGTCACCGCGTCACCCGCGCGCTGGGTTGATTCCACACGTGTTTCCGCGCTTCTGATTTTGAGTGTTGTGGTGGGGACGTACGTTTGATAATGGCAACTCGTGGCCCTTACCGAACGCTAGACCTAGCGACGAAAGTCGAAGTCTTGAAAGAAGTTGACCAGGGAGGCACCGCCAAACAAGACATTGCAAGAAAGTACGGCATTAAGCCTAACACGCTGTCGACTTTCATAAAGAATAAGCGCTCAATATTGGATGCGTTTGAAAGTGAAAAATTCAAGACATCGCGGAAGCAGATGCGCACCGGCGCCTACCCCGAGTTGGAGGAAGCACTGCTGATTTGGATCAGAGAGGTACGAAACAACAAACTTCCTCTCAGTGGTGAAGTCGTCACGGCAAAAGCGTCATCGCTTGCTGAAATGTTGGGCATCAACGACTTCGCTGCTTCAGATGGGTGGCTTACGCGTTTCAAACATCGCCACGACTTGATTTTTAAAAGCGTGTGTTGGGGAGAAGGCGTCAGTCGATGAGGAAACGTGCCTGACATGGAAAGTGGGCAAGCTTCGCGAGTACCTCGAAGAATACCAGCCGGCAGACATTTTTAATGCAGACTAGACTGCGCTTTTTTATCGGCTGCTACCGGAAGAGACCCTGACATTTAAAGACGACGACTGTTCTGGAGGCAAAAGAAGCAAAGAGAGAGTGTCAGTGCTAGTCGCGGCGAACATGACTGGCACAGAACGGTGTCGCCTGCTTGTGATCGGGAAGGCTGCCAAGCCTAGGTGCTTTAAAGGCGTGAAGACGCTTCCTGTGGATTATGCCTCGAACAGAAAGGCGTGGATGACATCCGATATATTTAAGGACTGGATCGCCAAACTCGACCGCAAGTTCGCGCAATCAAGCCGTAAGGTGTTGTTCCTTGTGGACCAATGTAGCGCTCACATGAACGTACCTGCCTTGAGTGCCATCCGTCTTGTGTACCTGCCTGCAAACACTACGTCCGTGTTGCAGCCCATGGACCAGGGCATAATAAAAAAATGTGAAGGTATTGTATAGGCAGCATCTCGTCGAGCGCATGCTTTTGTGCATGGACAACTCGTCGCAATACGAGGTGAGTTTGCTTAGTGCCATCAACATGCTAGCGCGAGCTTGGACCCGGGTGAAAGAAGAAACCATCGCCAATTGTTTCCGGGCCTGTGGTTTCATGGAAAACTCGGGGGATGCTTCTCCTTGTGCGCCAGTGGAAATGCAAACAAATGAGCTCGACGACGGTAGCTTTCGCGCCGCTCTCGGTGACGTCCGTTTTGACGAGTATGTCGTTGTTGACAGCAACGTCGAAACATGCTGTCCACTAACGGACAGCGAAATCGCGCAGATGGTTCGGCACCATGACTGCATTCCTGAAAATGACGATGATGACAACGACATCGGAAATGAGCCACCACCGAGGGCTGCCGATGTAGCTGCGGGTCTTGCTTTTGCGCAGCGGTTTTTTGTTGGAGAACACAACGCCGAAGAAGCACTTCGACACGTGTATTCCTTACAAAACTTGCTAGCCGCAGCCAGATTGGGCAAGCAGAAGAAGATGACAGACTATTTTTCCTCAAAACTGTCGCGCTTTTAAACTAATAAAAGTGTCATTTTTAGTGCTTTTTGCTTAATTCGAAGTTCGTTTAATTCGAAGTTTTTTGCGGTTCCCGTGAACTTCGTATTAACGGGAGTCGACTGTATTTTCAATGATAAACAAAAACACTCAGAGTGTGAAAGAACTATACAAGTAACATAATGCTTATGTTTGAACGCATGTTAACCCCTTCACTCTTTTGCTACTGCACCTATTCAAATTGTTCACATTGGAAGATGCATTTCAAGTTTAATTTTGCATGCTTGCGGAGTTTGGGGGTTCCTAGCGCCATCTAGGTAAGAAAGTACAAAACGCACGAGATTCGTCCCTGGCCGCTTAAAGTTTTGGGTTGTTGTGTGTGCGCCACGATCATGGCATCGTTTTCCCCTGTCGACGTTCCTAAAAAACAACGCATATTTCGAGAGTTAGGCGCATCAACAGCACATTTTGAAGATTAAATTGGCAGCAGGGAGCCGGGAGAAGATGTTGACACATCAAATTTCCGCGCAGATGACTAGGATGTGGCAAGTCGAACTGCAACTATGAGCGATTGAGTGACAACTGTACGTGTGGTGCCCATTTTGTTGTCTGATTAGTAGTTGTCTGATTAATAGGTGATGGAGCGTGTACTCGCAGCAATTTTACTCATTTTGGGGGTCTCGACGTCCTACGGACATCATTCCTTGCCGGCATCTATCAAGCGTGTGCAGTTTCTTTCGAGACGAAACACGGGGGTCAAAGTCGGAGGTGCGCTCCAGCGTAACGCACGGCGCTTTGTTCGGGTTGTTTATTTCTTCCAGCTGTCTTTTACTGCACAGTTGACTAGCATGATCTGCGACTACACCAACAAATATGTGTGGATGCGTATTTTTGAGAGGCAGGCATACACGGATAAAGATGGTTCGTGGAGGAGCTTCAGTTCCAATCAAGTGATGAAGTGCATTGGAACCCTCATCTCGCCTTGAATACTTATTTATTTATTTATTTATTTATTGGTACCTCAAGGGTCCCTAGGGACATTACACGAGGGGTGGGTATCATAAGTAAAGAGAAAATGATAAACAATATAACAATAAACATCAATAAGACTAAAGTACAAAATGTAGAATACCTTACTTCTCTGAAGATTATGCCCAGAAGCGATTTTTTTTTTCGTTCTTTATTTTTTCAAGTGTCATGGGCTCTGAGCTGACAGATCCCGTCTGTGATGGCGAGCTGCACAGGATTACCCATCTACTGCTGCACCCTCACTTTTGTTTTTTGTGGGAAGAACAGTTTTCGGCAATAATTTTTTTAACTTGTACTACGTTTTTCCAACATAAGAAGATACAAATTGTATGTCTGGAATTATTTTTAACTTCTCTATCTTTATGTTGACCTCCCTTTTAAAGGGTCCCTGAAACGTTTTTTTTCACATTCCGTTTTTGATTAGACCACTACTGGAACAAATTATTGGCACCAGAGTTCAATCGAAACACTCATTATTAACGGAGCTACAAGTACTAAAAAAGTACCCTCCTCCTCCGCTCCACCTTTCACCCTCAACTGCCCTCAACTCTTCCTCTGAGCGCTGGGGGCTAAGCTCCGCCCCTTCACGGTGCCTGCGTCACGATGTGGCGCGAGACCGCATACGTGCAAGTCCCGCCGCCGATCCGATACCGGCAGTCTGCTGCGTGTTCCACAGCCAATCGGATCAGCTGGAAACGATCACGTCAGTGGGGCAGAGCTTGTCGCTTGGTGTATGGGCGGTTGAAAATGTGTTTGGCCGAATCGCAGCAATCTGGAGCTATTCACAGCTTTGCAGGTTTGTAATAAATTGCACAGCTTCTGCAGAGAGCTCAAATCAGTCTCTAAACTGGCTTAATTTGTTTGTAAAAAAATTGTCAAAACTGTGTCAGGGTTCCATTAAAGTGTTAATTGTATAATTACTGCTTAAACTTTTCACTATAAACATTTTTTTCTTAATATGTGTAATAAATATATATGCAATGCTTATGTTTTTGGACAGAACATTCTTTTAGCTACAGTTTAGTATCCAAAATTCAAATAAAGCACTAGTATCAGCCTAAAAAAAATGTTTTTACACCTAGTAAAAACGTTTTTCTCACGGTAGCGAAAGAGTTAGATGCTTTAGATGAGCAGAACTCATCCTTGCAGAATAGGTACTCCTCCTAGAGGTCAGGCCGAAAAGCGCATGTTTACGGCTTACATTGCATGCCATCCACTAGATGGCAGCATTTGCTCATGGATTTAGTTTTCTCCTGTGGCAGGAACGCGGTTTTCGTCCGGAAGGACTGCATGCGATGGCAGCAACCTATGCATAGTTGGCCCGTGAACACTAGAAAGAAGCTTTTCGTTTTCGTCATACTGTTCGAGCAGCGAATACACGAATACAGATCTTGCGTCCGCAAGTAAACACAACGATGACGGTGAACTGAGCGGCTTCCTGGTGATGGAAGACAGCTGGGAAGTGAACATCACGAGTGTCCGCCAGTGAAGCCACTTCGTTATTCTACGTTGCGAAGTTTACCACACAGTTCCAAAGCTTCACGAGGGAAATAGCCCAAGGGTGCTTAGCCTACTCAAGGGAAAAGAGATGTGGTGCCTACAACATTTTTTGAATATGAGGTTTATATGTATTTAGTAGCATGTGGCTGGTTTTCTATGTATTGTTCAGAAATAAACTTCATTGTGTTGATTTGACCAAGTATTTGGGACAAGTATGTGGTACAAATATTTTTCCAACATCGCCTAGCTACATTTTAGTACAATCGGATACGAAATCGGCAATAAAAAAAATATGCCCTTTTGGTCGGGAAACTTTAAAAAAAATAGAGCAGTTAGGGGGCTAAGAAAGCTTTTTTTTCAAGTTTTTTTAATCGACCAGGTGATCATCTTGTACATCCTTCTTTACCATGCTATATATTCACACTTATATTCCCCTTGATGATCCAAGGTAATCACACTGAGTTTTTTTCTTATTAAAATACTTGATTATCATAATTCTGGGTGGTCAGGCTAAATAGTTCGCCTTGATCATGTTGAATGTTCTCATGGGATATTCCCCCAGACAGTCCAGGTAACAAAAACAGGATTTTTTTCGATAAAAATTGTGTATAATTGTAATATACCTTCCTCGCTTGTCTGCAATGTTCACATGGGATATTCTACCTAATTGTCTCGAATTTCACACTAATATTTCCCTTAGTCATACTAGATGCTTGCTTACGGTATTCCCCTAGATATTCAAGATAAAACGTGATTTTCTCGCTAATGATTATGGACAATGGCATTGTTTCCCTTAATTGTGCTGGAGGATCACACTGGATGTTCGTTCTCCTCAAGTGTGTTAGATGATTGCAGTTGTATTCGCCTAGACAGTCCCAGATAATCGAAATGAGGATTTCCCCCATAACTGTTGGGGATAGCCTCAGCGTAAACCCCTAAAGCGTCCTGGATGTTTACACTGGGTACTCCCCTCAATCGCGTGCTCCCAGGCCCTTGGTCAGATGGCTCTGCTGCAGAAGGAGCTGGAGGCCCTGGCGTCTGGGCGGGCGACTGGCTTCGGGCCCCTGCGGCTGCAGGAGCTCGAGAAGCTGCCGGCCTCCCAGCTGCGCCTGCTCCAGGAACAGCTGCGCGCCGACTTGGACGCCGTCGACAAGGTGTGCCTCTTCTCCTTGCTTGAACCACTCATTGCTTGATATCGGGAGTCTTTTAGCAAGTTATGGAGATGTGGTGTCATATCACCACAGAGCACCTCCTTGTCACTAGTTGTGCTTAAGCAACTCCCAATTCCAGTGACAATGCACCACCTGAATGACGGCCTCACTAACAGTGGCGAAAGCACAATCTGAGAGAAAAAAAAAGGAGCAGTACGGCAATACCGTATTGTCTTTTCTGTTATTTGCTAAAAGACTTTACCCACCTTTCACTCCTGCGTGTCTTTCACTTTCCGGTGCCATGTCGCGCCTTCTTTGCAGGTTCTGTACCAGCAGCAGTGCAAAAGCAAGTGCCTGGTATGCCAACAGCAAAACCGCAGTGTGGCGGTGCTTCCCTGCAATCACCTGGTGCTGTGCGGCACGTGTGCCACCGTTACGACCAAGTGCCCCTACTGCAGCTGTGACATCGCGCGCAACAGCCTGCCCATGTCCCTGTAGAATGCACAGGGTCTCTTCACGAGTAGTCGTTGGGGGAGGTGTGCAATCCGTTTTGGCTCCTTCCTCTCCTTTTTATAGAACTTTTTTTTTTTCCTTTCTCTCTTCTCTCCTTGTTCCCCATCGGGATGAGGGCTTTTCTGAAGAGTCGCGCCCCCTGGGCAGCCTGCAGGAGTCTGTAGCGGGACTGTCGACCGTGCCAAGCAGTTCGACAGTACATTTCTGGAGATGATGGAAGAACTCGACATTCGATGCACACTTCTGGCTGAGGTTTTGATACGCCCGCCCCTCGACTGCGACGATGTATGTGAACGGGCATTGTTTCGCATTGGGCGCAAACTGTAACTTCTCCCCGACCTTGTTTATTTCTACGTCCGCTGAGCTGTCGGTGGCGGTACCGTGCCTGCATTTGGTTAACCGACGTCGTTTAGGTTGTGCTGTAGGTGACGTGTTGACGAATTTGCGTTACAGTTGACTGCCCACAAAGTTGTGCAAACCGTCATGTACAGGACATTCTTGAGGGACTACTGCCACTGCTGTGCACTTTGGCTCGCTGCCTGCGTCACGTGCTTCTAGAATCTGAACTGCCATCGCAGCCGAAGTCTGGTCATTTGAAGCACAAAGCGAACTTTGTATGGGATGGTAACTTAAAAGGGAAAGACTGAAAAGCGTTCAGGGCCGGTGTCTGCGACTGGTGATGACTAGCAAGGAACGCTCTTTCAAAAGTGGACGGTTACATTCTAAAGACATGCCGGTTAGGGCACTGCAAGGAAAATGCTGTTCATTTGGCACTCCGTCACTGTCAGTCAATGCCTACCTGCATTCGTTGTCTCAGGTAGATGTCATCACACTTAACAACAGAAAAAACATTTGAACATCCACTGGTTTTAGCCTGATGGTAAAACTGTTATTATTGTTAACCAGTGTTAAAAGCACCAGAAGTTTTTCCCGCTGTTGAGTTGTTTCTGTAGAGTGCTGGTACCGTTGTGGTGAAATGTTGTGTTACCGCTTATTTATTTATTTTTTAGTTGTACGCTGCTGGCCGCATTAGGTAAGAAATTGTGTTATCATACAATGTTAAAATCAAGCAGCCGTTTATAGGTAAGAAATTGTGTTATCATTATACAATGTTAAAATCAAGCAGCCATTGGTGAAATATTGTGTTACCGCTTATTTATTTATTTTTTAGTTGTACGCTGCTTGCCGCATTAGGTAAGAAATTGTGTTATCGTTATACAATGTTAAAATCAAGCAGCCGTTTACTTATTGGAAGTATAGCGTTATGTCCATTGTTTTCCTTACATGCTAAATCATGGCAGCAAACTAAAGATAGTAGTCTGTTGTGCTGCTGGGTACGCTACTCTCAATTTTCAGTGAAATGACGGCCTTGACGTTTTCACTCCAGATCCTAGTGTTATATGCATATTGTGCAGTTCAAGAGTGGGTTCCTTACAAGTCTCAAGGCATGTCCCTGTCTCAATGTGTCTCTATAGATTTGGGTTGGAAACAGTATTGATACTGTTTGTGCATTTCGAGTGTTTTTATGGTGTGGCAACAGTCGAAAAAATCTGAATGCCAACTTGTTTGAAAACTTTCCAGGCCAAGTCCACGAGAAGTAGCTGTCCCAGACATTCAGATTGAGGAATAATGTTCGGCGTACAAAACGTCTGATGGACCCCGTTCTCCAGGAAGTGCGTGTTACAGGGTTGAAGTGACGTTGGTGCATTTTAAATTTTTTGTTATTATTTAAGATTTTCTGCACAAATGTGTTCATACTAACTGTGCAAGACTATGGTACGTCAAGGTAAAAATCGCTATATTATGTACTGACTGAAACTGTGCCGCTGCTGTGCAGGCAAGGTGTGTGGTAGGATGAGCAGAGCTCTCAAATAGCGAAACAGTCTCAGCAGGTCCTCTTCCAAATTTTTCTTTCTCCTCATTTCTTGGTAGCGTCTTGCTTCAGTAATTTGCGTGCTTGACAGTTTACAGTTGTCTAATAACTCGGGAGTGTAGCAACTTTTTCCGTTCTCCCCGTCCTCTTAGATTGTAATGAAAGTGTCAGCGTCTGTCTCGTGCATGTCAAGGTGTGATGGATGTTGAGATGTGAACGGTAGCGAGGCCGTTGGCCTAGTCGCTGTGGCGAGACCATTGTGTGAAAGACGGTGGAACTGTGGATTGCATTGCTGCGTACGTGCCGCAGCATGACGAAGTGAACCTTTTGAGTGTTGTGTACGTTAGACGGCAGATCGACGAGGTGTTCGTTGCAGCGTCGAGAAATGTCGCCTCTGTATGTTCGCTGGCATGAATAGGGACCCACTGGATATCGCAGCGCGGGCGTTATTTTTTCGTTTGATAGCTGTGAATTTTTTCAGCGGGGCTGCAGTATTTGAATGGGTGGCGTGTCTTTTCCGCAAGGCATTTCCTGTTATTATAATTTTTTTTGTACCACTACTTCTGCTCTTGTGAAGGGATTTCAGTGAGACAAGCAAGGCGAACGGAAACGCTTTGTAGGCACTGCGACTGAAGAGTCTTTTGGTGTGTCGCAATATGCGAGATGCAAAGAGACTGTTAGGAGGTTTTCAAATGGCTGTCATCTAGGCCTACATACGACCTGGTGGGACAGCAGGGGTGTTTGTGTTGTGTGTGTTGAGGTGTGCACTTGTGCATGGGGCAGAATGCTTAGTGCATTTGGTCCAGGTGGTGGTTGTTTTGAGAGGTTGAGGCAGGTACGGGATGAAACATACTACGGCTACCAGCTACTTGTACTACTTTTTGGTCATGGCATCCTCGGGACGCTGTAGAACTTCGTGTAGACACCGGTTTTTGTTTCCTTCTTCAGTAATGACGGGACAGCTCGGCCTCTTCCTGCCTAAATACCAAGACGTGTGCGACGCCGTCTCCCATCCTTACTCTGTCCTGCTCTCACCCTTTGCTTGGCAGGTGTGTCATGTACCTCGCCTCGCGCTATGAGTAGTTCATTGTATGCTGCAGTGCGACGTCCCTCCCATCGGCAACCAGCATTAGCGAAGGTTTCGTGCCGTCTTTTTGACGTATTGTCTATAGCTCTTGTTCTCGCTTCATAGGATTAGCGTTGCCTGGTTCCTGAAAACCTCTCGCCCTCTGGCTTTCATTGAAGCCTGTTCATCTGTGACGTCATGCTGACGGGTTGCATCGTGGCGGCACTTTTGCTCGGTTCTTTCCCCAGAGCGAGGCGGAAGTGAGGCTGTGGGGTGAGGCGCATTAGCCGGTTCCTTCAATCTTTCTTCCCTTATGTTTTTTTAGTCTTGTACACGTTTGCCACCTCCTTCCCTTACGTTTTTTTTTTAGTGGAGGTTGAATAGCGAAAAAATTCTTCCCGTTGTTGTGCTTGAGTGGGTAGAGGGTTTTTCTTCTTTGCAGCCGGGGGACTTAGCGCTGTAACCAGATATTCATAGTTTATATAGTAGTATGACGTATTTATGTATATCTATTGTATGTACTATCCACAGAAAGGAGAGCGGGCTGCCTTGGTGGGTGGGTTAATAGGTCGTTGTAGTTTTCTGTCGTGTTTTTTCTTCTTTCAAGGCCCTCTCTCTCTCTCTCTATATATATATATATATAATATCTCTGGTCTCCCGTAAACTGCGTCGGAGGCTTGCTGTTGTGGTCACTCTGTGGCTGCAGGAACAACTTTGTAATGCCTGGCGGGAAAAAAAAATAAATTTATAGGAATTTTCACAAGAGCTGAGAAAAAGGAAAAAAAAAAAAACAGGTAAGCTTAGGTGTAAATTTTAAACTAACAAATTGAATGCACAAATAGGTCATTTTCTCTATATATTTTTTTTCCTTTCATAATCAACAGTGTGCGTCTTATTCATGAAAGAGTCCAAAAGGCTATTTTCACATGCTACATGCTTGCACGTGTGTGTGCATACTCCGTTTATTGCCGATGGTCTCTTCCCTCTTTATTGGGGAGAATGGAGAACATTCGGTCGCGGAGGTCGACTGCTCGCGGTGGCGCGGAGTCGCACTTTCTAAACTTTTTTTTTTTTGTCGTAGTCATATAGAGTTCGTCTTTGTCTTTTGTTCTCCAAGCTATTTTTCTATTCCAGTTTTGCCCCTTGTGACTCCTGAAGAACTTTCGAAGGCTTCGACTTCGTACTACCAAACGCACAACTAACTACAAGAGGTTTCGCACTGCGTGTTCTCTTGCATGGCTTTCTCGAATTCTCTCTTGTCTGAATTTGTCCGGTTTTGTTCAGCATTGCCTGCCCTCTATGGATGTGGTAATGGCTCCGAGGCAAAAGTGATTGACGCTTCACTTTGTTCTTCTGCTGTACAAGGAGTGACTGGCTGGCTCCCAATTTCGGGGGGACGGCAAGGAAAGCAAGAAAGATCAAAGTTGAGGGTGTCGTGTGCATCGACTATACGAGGTGGTTCGAGAGATTTGCATACCGAAAGGAGCTGCCCCCGGAGTGTGTAGGTGGTGCCTTCGGTCTGAACGGAAGCAAAGGGGGGACAAGTTCATTCTTCCTGTTTTGCTCTTTCTTCATTGTCATTATTATTGTTATTGCTGTAAATAGGAGAGCAAGCGTGACGTTTCCTCTTGTGACAATGACGCAACACTGCTACATCCTTTCGTACAACAAACGCACTAAATTAACCTGTTGTTGCTAACATCAAGGCTTGAACGAATGCGCGACAACACGCGATGTTTGCGCGCATGTTCTCTGAAAAAAGCAACAACACTCGCACTGGCATTACGCACAAGCTAGGTCATTATTGTAATCTTGTAGGAACAAACGTATAAAAGGGGAAAAAAGTTTTTTTTTCAATTTTTTAAGAAAGGGGGCAGGCCTGTTGTGCATCGTAAAATGGGTGGGCGCGTTGCTTACAGCCAGTGCAGATCTAGCATTGGCTGTGTTAGTCTGGTGTTCGTTGGGGAGAAAAAAGAGGTGGGGATGATGTCCCTTCTCAACTAGGTGTCGGTGTTGACCGGTATTTTTCGCAGCATGGCCCTGCCGGTCGTGCCGTCAACATAGTCTCGTGCAGATTCTGACGTATTCTTGCGTTGCCGCATGTGATTGCTGAAAGTGTAAATAGAAACATGGTGCGTTCTTCGCCAACTGTTGCAGAGTTCAGTACGTCTTGGTCTCCTCATCGTTAACGATACCAAATGTTGTGTGAATGATGACGCTGGGTAAACGTTAACCTTTCCAGCCAAGTCTCGGGCTTACTTTAAATTTGGCGTAGATATTGCAGATTGCCACATCTGTCTTCTCCGACGCCATGTTTATTGTTCGTTGCTAGCCCTTTTCTTGCCGCAAGGGTTTATAGAAATGGAATGGTAGCGTTGTCCTGCACTCATATTAGTAGAACGAGTTGGAATCACTGCTGCATTGTGGGAAAATCGGCACTTTTTGTCCAAGCCATAATCGCAGAAGAGGCATGCTTCTGATCCACTTTTGATAAAACTGGCTTATTATGCATAGAAGCATGGTATCTGATATGCAAGTACCATGAATTTGTGTGTAAGCTAACAGCAGTGAATATTGTGTAAGTGAACTTCCATGCAAAGTTTTGGCGTAAACAGTGCCCCTAGTAAAATTTTTCTTTAAGCGAGCCAGTTGTCTAAATTCCCAAGTAAAAATCTGTAAGCGCGCTTGTGTGCCAGCTAAGATCTGTGTGAAATTTGTGTATAAACCGAAATTATTGTGTAAGCAAAACTACAAGCAAACTTTGGTTGCAAGTGAATCTCCCATGTGAAATTTATGTGCAATTGGGAGCTGCTGCAGAAATAGTATGCATACGGTCATTCACGAAAAATTTGTGTGAAAGCAAACCTCTATGCAGAACATGCATGTAGGCGAAGCTGTCGGGAAAATTTACGTGGAAACGATCCTCCGTGTGAAATTGACATAAGCAAACCTTCGTGTGAAATTTATGTTTTCTGATAACGCGGGGGGCTCCCCCTGCTCTGCAGGTAGAATCTCTCAGTGGAAACTCGAGGTTGTTCGTTTCACGCCAGTCATCGTCTCGACTTTGAGCCATGTGCCGTCAGAGTTGTTTTTCGGCTGTGCACAAGCATGTTGAGTAGTTCAACATTGTAGAACCAACCGCATCTTCTCCGCGACACCGCTGCCGAGACAGTATTGATAGCATCGCTGGCAGGCCTGTGTCGTGCCAAGCTGAGGTAGACGACAGGCCATTTTTTTCTTGTGCCGCTGTGTGGGCGGTTTTTTCGCACGCGCCAGTCTGGTTGTGCAACACCGGTTATCTGCAAATGCCGCATTTGTAGTCGTTTTTCTAGGCTTTTTCATATTTTTGTCCCCTGTCCCATTTTTTTTTTCTTTAGACCATCATTTTTTTTACATCACGCTTGATCACGTTTAGGTGGCGGTTGCTGCGTGTATGTGTTTTGTTGTGCATTATTGCGCCTCTGTTTGTGTATCAGTGTTTTTCTTTTATCTCCTTATCGGAGTTACCTGTGCAAGCTTTCTAAATGCATCGAGAGAGGAAACTTGAGATGGCTCGTTTCACGCCAGTCATCGTCCGGACTTTGAAATGTGTAAGCGGAACCATGTGCCGTCAAGAGTCTTATTTTGTTTTCTGACTCGTAGTTCTTAACTCGGAATGTGTCCTTTATGATGACTGCTTGGCACAATATGACAAAATGCTTTCTTAAAATGTGTGTTTACTAAAGAAAAGGATGAAAATAAGAACTGATCTTAACCTAAAAACGCTGCTTATGTCACATAACAGCTTTGTTTGTGCCGAGCCCAATTCAAGCTCATTTTAGCACGAATCGTTCTACAGGCTGCAAAGCGAACGTTTTCAGGTTTCCTCTTTACTGGTACTACACTTTATTTCATTAGTAGTTGACTAGGGTTTTTAATATAAAAATATGCTGCCATATTCAAGCAAATTAGAATCGCTCTAAAATGGGCAATCATTGGCAACTTGTAAATCCTTTGTGTGTGTGCGTATGTATAGTGCACGTGTGGTTAAACAAATATATTTTAATTTAGTTTTTTTCTTTTTGCTCGCATGGGCGTCCATCAACTCGCTCAGGAGTTCGCGTCCTGCAGTGAATGCAGTTCTCCGGGCATAAGAGAATATCAAAGGCCGAGTTGGCATCGTGATAAAATTCGTATAGGGTGCTACGTGTAAGATAATGCCTTTTTATTTTTTTTCTAGATCGCTCGCGTTGAGATCAATTGGCGCATAAGTTTTCGGAGCTCGAGATTGTGGCACTGTTTCTTTTTTAAAATCTTGTTAAGATTATCTGCCAAAGCTATAAATAGTTTTATTGCACCCTAGTGGGTTTTATTTGGCTGTGGCAGTCGCGAATGAACCGAGACGTACTTTCATTTTTCTGTACGTTTTGTTTACTTGTACCTGGACTATAGAAAGCTTATAATGCTTGTTTCGTTGCTTTAATGATTAGTATTTATAACCTGTTTACGACTAGCTGTTAGCTTTGTTTGTTGCATGTGGCAAATCCATTTGTAAGGGGGCAATCGTCTACAGACCATTGAATGTAGTCTGTCTAATGGCAGTCTTAAGTACCCCATTTGGTGGGGCACATGAAAAGAAAACAAGAAAAAAAGTAACTGGGAGATGCACAGATTGTATGCGTGTGCGTCTGAAATGTGTACGGAGCTGCGGCCTTGCACGGCAACGTGTCGTTTGTGCAGATGAAGCTTCACATGTCGGTGTTCTCTTGTGAAACATTTTTGGAGGAGCTTTATTGCAGAGTCTTCAGCCATAGGTTTTAAGGAATAATAATAATAATAAATACAAAAAACAGCCGTCGAGCAATTCAACTGTCGCGAGACCTTTTCGTGTGGCTGGGAAAAGGAAGTCGCTGGTTGTGTGGTCTTGTTTTCCAAGCCGGTCAACACACTGTGATGATGATTTGATTTGATACGGCCAATGCGACGTTCCCTGTAATACATAAGCTAACCAGTACCGCAACCTCCAGTGTTTTATGGACGTTTTTACATGTGTACATAAGAGTAGGCGTATTACCCTTGTGCTTAGGCTGTCTTGTGTGGCAAGTCAAATTTTTCTGGTGCGGGCGCGGAAAGATGCGTTGCCTCGTCATAGGTAGATATTTTTGCTGGGGCAGTACTATTTTTCTCATGAAATTGGGATTTCATAGTGTTTAGAGGGTCTATGCAAAGGGCTACGACATGTTTCGGTGGGGGCAGGTCGGTGAGATGTTGCAATTGGCTGCAGCTGCTGTTGCTATGGAGATGGACGATTGCACGCAATCATTAATGAGTGATGTTAGAGGGGAAAACAAAGGCTCGAGGGCTTAGAATTGCTGGACACAGTGCTACTGCTCGTCGTTGGCATTCTGTCCTTTATCACATTTTCAAGAAAAAAAAATTTTATGAGGTGATGACGAATGTTTCTACGAATCTCCCGTACCTTGTTTTTATGGTGTCCTGGGTTACGATGAACCTTAGTACAATTTTTTTTCTTTTAAACGAAGGTGTTCAACCATGCCACGTATCCAGTGCTTAATTAAAGCCCACAGTATGCTTCAGCTTTGTTGTGTTGCTGACCAAGTCGTGTTTCAAAATGTCGATTGTTTGTCTTTGGTGTATTGTTGTTACTTTTTTCTTGCACATGTGATGCCCACTCGTTTTCGTGCTTCTCGAGGCAAACAATGTTCTTTCTCTTTTGTGGTAACGTTTTCTTTCTGGTGTAACTTTCTCGCATCTGTGCAACTGTTCTTGAGTCGAGTCATTTTATTTTGTGCATACTCTGACATCAAAGTTGAACGAAAAATTAATACAGAGAAGGAAAAAAAAAAATGTGCACGACTCTTGTGTTCACCTAAAAATCATAGTCTAGATGTTTTTATTGTGGCTTTTATTTCTTCTGTGTTTTGTTTTCTGTTTCATTTCTCTTGTGATGAGAAATTCTTTGTGTAATTGAAATATTTCTTAAAATTTAGGCATAATTATGTAAATAAAATCAACTATAGGATTTTACATGCCTCAGTGTCAAGTTTTTCCTTTCTTTGTACACACTTCTGCGTGTACTTGTGAAGGCTACAGTTCCAACCCCGACACCTTGAGAGAAACATAGGCGGATGACATGCTTGTCGAGCGAGCGTGTGTCCTGACGTGGCTGCGATTTTCACAGGGAACATGTGAGCTTATAAATGCAGAGTGTTTTAATCTAATGCCTGCATTGTGTCACAGAAAATAATTGGCAGTAAAAAAAGTTGCAATGCTGTTGACATTCCCGTCTTGGCCCTTTCAATTACCTTGTACAGCAATGGTGCAGTGTCCCTTTTTTATATGATGATCTAGAAAAACTTCCACATGTGAAAGTTTTGTGTGAATTCCTGAAGTGTCTACTTTAGGCATTTTTTTTTTGAAGCTTAAACTTTGCAGCCGTGCCAAGCACGATGGAGGTACATATTGCTTTTCAGCCAAGTTCAAAACTTGCAAAATTTGTTGTTCTAGGTGAATTAATACAGAGAATAGAAAGAACTACCACATATTGTATATAAAAAAAATTCAAAAGCTTGATTTCTCTATTGCTGCATTTGAGAAATGCACGCTTCAGTCTTGGCTTCATCTTTAGCTATTGTAGTCTAGAGTATTGCAAAATATTGTCTGGTCAGGTAAATCATAAATGCATTATTGCGTTATGAAGCTGCAACAAAGCTGCATTTCGAACTCTGCTACGCAAAAATTCGACTTTCGAAAGAGCTGGTTTGAACTGAAGTCATAGACACAGTAGAAGTAGGGGACATCAACTAATGCCATTTTAGACCTTGAGTTTGGGGAGAAAAAAATGAGAAATCGTACCAGGAAGATTTTTCGTGTCCAAAATTTTGATCGTCTACAGGACTTGTGACGATGCCGTGAAAACATCAAAATTTCAAGCATGCCCGAATAATCGGCAGTTGACAGCAATTTCTGCGTCCTTACGGACCACATTTTCACACCTAACCTAGTATAAGTTTGCTGTAAAACTTGTAGTGCTGGTGGTTCTAGATTACAAATATTTTGACGAACTTAGGTGTCCAAAAACACTGCAGATCCCTCTTGTACATGTTGCATAAAACTACTCTGAATTAAGAACTGGTTTTTTCATATGCTTTACATGTGGAAGAACACGTGGATTTTAATAGAAGAAAAAAAGGAACTAACCGTATTTCACATTTTTTTTGTTCTTTACAACCTGTTGATAACCTCCGATGGCAAACTGGTGGATGGCCGTGGAGCATGCAGTTTTCATTGTGCATTCGACAATGACTTCTTGATGCTATTTAGATGCCATGGGAAGAGGCTCCAGCGTATTTTGTTGATGCTTGAACTTGTGCAAGAAATACTGCATAAGAATGGAAGCTTGAGCGAGTTGCTATGCATTCATCTTGGTAGGTAAGAGTGCAACCGAGACGACGACAAAGAAAACAAGCAAAGGCAGGCACTGTCTGTGTTTCTCTTCATTGTCTTGTATGCACTGTATCAACCAAGAACACCTACTGGTCACTATGTATGCAGTGTTGGAACATAGAAGCTGAAGTCACGACTGTAACTAGATAGAATCTTTATTGCTCGGTCACTTCTGCTTGGGAGCCTTTTTCTTCGGTTTTGTGGCTTGCTTCTTCGTCTTGGCGGTTTTCGTCTGAGGTGCCGGAAGTTTGACAGCCTTGAGTCGTCTGTTCTTGCGCGATTTCTTGTTCCGCATGGTGCTCTGAATGAGCAGTTTGCGGCACCTGGCCTTCTTGTCGAACCTATAGAAGAGGTGTCGATTTTACTCAAAGTTCCTCGGAACAAAGCAATTCCTTCCAGCACAACATTACATATATACACTCGGACCTAAACAGAATGGAGTCATGGATGCAAGTTGACTTTCCTGTTTTCGCTTCGTACTTCAGAGAAATGCATCCGTTCTTTCTTTTAAATCGACAAAACAATTTTACGACACTACTTCGACACAATGTATTTACGACAAAAAAAAAAAGCAAGTCAATTTTAAGTGGCCTAATTAAGCAATTAATTAGATCACAACAGTCCGGCTTACTCTAGGCAACAGTAAGGAACTTGCATTAGGTTGCGTCATCATTGAGTGTGTCGGCACATTTCTAAACTCTGGCTGCAATTAGCTGGGCAACCTGTTACAGCTAATTCATTGTCCCAAAGTTTTTTCAACAAGGTCAGACTAATCTCTCCCAGTACATTGCCATACTGGCAACATTTACGCAGCACTCACTTGTGTGAGGTCTCCTCGGCACTCTTTTCTTGGATCTCGAGCAAGCGCCTCAGTCTCCTGTCGCCGAGCGTCTCGTCTGTGAGGTCCTTAGCCGCCTTGTGAAGCGTCACTTGGCCCGAACGCTTGACCGTGACGCGAGCTCCCGGGATGGTTGTTAAGTCGCCCTCGACGTCGTAGTCCGGCTCCCGCGGCTTGGGTAGGCGAATCGCATTGCGCGAACCTGTACGGCAGCAGTAAAATGGTTGCAGATGTTAAAAAGACTGAAATGATATCGAGAAGCAATGTTGTATGTAATGCCAGACACACCTGAGTAAAGATGGGCTGATTAGTTCTACGCTCTCAAATAAGTGGGTAGTGCAGTGTGCTGCACGGTGCACTTCTCGTCGCATTCCAGGCTTATCTGGATCAACCTCCTCAAGTGCAATTATTGGATCTCATCCGTGCAGTCTGTGCAAAATGAATCGATGACAAACGAGACGCTCAGTCCCAAACTGACTCAATCATGGTGCAAATGCACCATGGGACACCAGTGCCAGATGGGGAGCCAAAGCTGCAATCATTCTAAAGAAGGCGACAAAAATTGAGATTCTTGGAAAGTGCAATGCACGACTGGGTGAACAAAGCTGTTTGAAGTGGCAAGCTTGGCACATAGGTAAACCTTTTCAAGTAACACCAGCGCCACAGACAGGAATGAAACGAAATAATTAACGAAGCGAAACAAGATAACCTTCTCCAGCACTTGTCCTAGTCTTGCTTCGTCCTTGTCAGTTTTTTTTTTTTTTTTCTGATCTTGTCTGAAAACATAGTTGTGGTCGGTTGCACTAGATGTGATGGCCTTGGTGACCTACCGAAAGACATATAGAGGGGAACACTGGGCGACTTCTGGGTCTTGATATGCAGTGAGAGGACATTCTGCCAACCTCCGGGCAAGCGGCAAGCCAGCGCCTCGCAGGCGGCCATCACATTCTCGGCTGCGTCGGCGTCGCTCATGGCCAGGTTGCACACCTTCACCGTGCTGCGCAGGATTTCGGCGTCAAGCGATAAGACGAAAGCGGGTAAACACTGAACAAATTCAGTTGCGCCAAATATTTAGAACACCCACCTCGCTGTTCCCTCTCCCCGAAGTGGAAGCTCGGTGGAGGACAATACCGTCTCAATGTCACGTCTGAGGTGCTTGGAGGACAGGTCGACGCGTCTTGGTAGCCTGAAAACAGGAGTGACACTCATTTTGTGGTTGTGTTCTAAAGTTTTACCGACATTCATTTAATCGCTGTTGCAGCTTGGTGGCTATGCTGTTGCACTGCAAAACTAGAGCGCTTTACAAATGGATTTATTAATATATATCTTTACAAATGGAGCCCCGCCGCGGTGGTCTAGTGGCTAAGGTACTCGGCTGCTGACCCGCAGGTCGCGGGTTCGTATCCCGGCTGCGGCGGCTGCATTTCCGATGGAGGCGGAAATGTTGTAGGCCCGTGTGCTCAGATTTGGGTGCACGTTAAAGAACCCCAGGTGGTCCAAATTTCCGGAGCCCTCCACTACGGCGTCTCTCATAATCAAATGGTGGTTTTGGGACGTTAAACCCTACACATCAATCAATCAATCTTTACAAATGGATTTACAACTGGATATTAAAGGAGCAGAAGCCGTTGTAGCTGAAGATCAGCTCGCTTCACCCTGCCATACACTCGCACGGTTTAAGCACTACAAGTGCAGCTGGGAGTGTACAGTTGATTAACCTAAATTCTATACAGTACAGCCCCGTCCCTGCTCACATCATTCGGATAAGTGAGCACCCTTGTGCAGGGCGCATATGTGGACAAGCCAGGTTCATGTTGGCAACAACCCAGCAGAGAAGCGAGAAGTCAAACATACTTGTTCTTGGCAAAGAACGTCTTTCCAAGCAGGCGGTGCAACAGGGGCAGGATCTTGCTGTCACCGAGGAAAACATCGTAGCTGGCGCAGAGGTTGCGTTTGCTCTCGTACGGCGTGTACTCCGTCCTAAGCTGACGCAGTGGTATGATCTGAAAAGGAAATGAGTTTGTACAATATCATAGACGTACTCCAACTCGATAACATTTATGGTGAGGACGCGATGGCTGCTTTTATATTAAGGCTCAACAAAAATGTAAAGAAGAGGAAAAACCTATAAACTGATACAATAAATAAACTATTTCCTGACACACAAATACGACAGGTATCGGCCAAGAGAACAACACTTAAGCATACAAGCAGATTGGGCGAGTCCTGTGTCTGAGCGCTATTTCATACCTTTATCACGCAGCCATGAGTAACTGCAATATCAGCTGCAGAATTTCGGCCATACACAAGTACAAAGTGCTGCTGCAAAAGCGCAACGTGCTGGAATGCTGCGACCAAGTCTCATCTTTCTATTCTCTATTTGTGTGTGTGTGTGTGTGTGTGTGGAACTCAGCCCCCCCCCCCCCTTTTTTTTTGTCAAAGAAGGCGGGGGGAGGGGGGTGAAGAGTGCTTACTTCAATGAACTTAGCTTCTATTAGCGCGGCACATATGAAAAGGAAAGAGGAAAGAATACAGAGACGTCAAGACAGGTAGGCGCTAAACTTCCAACTATTTATTTCATGCCCTTGACACCCATCTTATACATGCGTAGAAACACGACTCATCTTGCACGTGGTGACATCCCAAGGAACGTCATTTCCTTATCTGTCAAAGCAATCGAAGGTGAACTCACACACAAGTTTCCCATTTTTTCTATTGCCTCGGCTTCTTTGATCTCACGTGTCAGCTGATTGCGAGACCGGCTGATAACGGTGCAGCTATACAGATCAGGGGAGCACCCACACCCCTTGCAGTGCGCCGCCAAGAACCCTCCCGCTGAAAGTTTATTTCTCGCGTTGTAAGCATGTTCCCGCAGTCTATCATTAAGACACCGCTTAGTCTGTCCTATGTAATATCTTCCACACGATAACAAGAACACGTACACAACGCAACACACACAATCTACATATCTAACCTGATGTTTCTTATCACATACTAAGCGAATAGTACTAATTGGGCAGGTCAACTTGCAAAGCTTTATTTCAGAAAATGACACATGGCAAAAGTCAGTCGCTTTGTTTCTTCAAGCCAAGCTTGCTTGTTTACCCGTTAATGATCCTTTCTTGATTAGGAACTCCGTTCAGGTAATTGAATTCTTGAATAACCACACACATGACAGTTACCAAGCCTTCTCGGTGGACATAAAAGACTTGTATTACTCGATACCTCATGGTGCTCTGTTGTCTGCTATTGAACATGCCATAGATGATTACGGTGTCACGCGCTTTCAAAATGAAGCTTCATTATCGTTGAGTCACTTTTTAGAACTTTTATCTTTTTACCTTTCCTCTACTTTTATCTCATGGGACAACGCGTTGTATTTGCAAAAAAACGGTGTATGCATCGGCTCGTGCATAGCACCCATTCTTAGTGATCTGTTTTTATCCAGCCTTAGCACGTCCTTGTCCTCAACGTTAGACGACACTCCAGTGTGCAAATCTTTTCGTTTTGTCGATGATTTCCTGTTTTTGATGGACTGTACACCAGTTGACCTAGAAGCGAAGGTTGAAGAAGTATTACCAGCGATTAAGGAATGTCTCGCACCCCTTGATATTACTTGCGAGCTCCCCCAAGGTGCCTCTCTGCGGTTTTTGGATATCCGGTTGTTTTTTCTAGGAGATCACACTTGCTGGTCGTATGAGCCACGGGCAAATAAGCCTCTGCTTTCTTTTGTCTCGGCGCACTCTAAGCTTATAAAGAGAGGAATCGCAAACTTGTGTTTTAAAAACGCCCTAGCAAAATCGTGTCATCACAAAATGGCACACAGTTTCGTGACTCAGAGTAAGCGTCTCACCGAAGCAGGGTACCCTGTTCTGCTGCAGGTTTCTGTAGCTGAGCGTATCCTCAAAGCTTCACAGAAAGATAGGCAACAAGTGTTGGAGTGTTCGGGTAGCAGAATAGGCGTAATCCCATATATGCACACTGTCTCTCATAACTTGAAAAAGGTAGCCCAGCGGGCTCACGTACGTGTGGTGTCTTCAGCCCCCAAAAAACTAGGGGAGCTTTGCAAGTTGACCTGCCCAATTAGTACTATTCGCTTAGTATGTGATAAGAAACATCAGGTTAGATATGTAGATTGTGTGTGTTGCGTTGTGTACGTGTTCTTGTTATCGTGTGGAAGATATTACATAGGACAGACTAAGCGGTGTCTTAATGATAGACTGCGGGAACATGCTTACAACGCGAGAAATAAACTTTCAGCGGGAGGGTTCTTGGCGGCGCACTGCAAGGGGTGTGGGTGCTCCCCTGATCTGTATAGCTGCACCGTTATCAGCCGGTCTCGCAATCAGCTGACACGTGAGATCAAAGAAGCCGAGGCAATAGAAAAAATGGGAAACTTGTGTGTGAGTTCACCTTCGATTGCTTTGACAGATAAGGAAATGACGTTCCTTGGGATGTCACCACGTGCAAGATGAGTCGTGTTTCTACGCATGTATAAGATGGGTGTCAAGGGCATGAAATAAACAGTTGGAAGTTTAGCGCCTACCTGTCTTGACGTCTCTGTATTCTTTCCTCTTTCCTTTTCATATGTGCCGCGCTAATAGAAGCTAAGTTCATGGATAACCAACTCGCCCGAGCCACAACACTTTTGTGCTTACTTCAATGTTCCTAGTGACGCCAGCATCGGCCAGAACTTCCTTGTAGTGATCGACCGTCAGCTCACTGTCGGCTCGCCTGTCCTTTTTGTCGAGGTCACCAGTGAAGAGGCAGATCTCGGCCTTGTCATTCGTTAGGCTGTGCGGCAGATTTCTGAAATAGAAAAAAAGAAGTTCACAGCTGTTCTCGCAGGCTGTCATTCCACGCGAAGTAGGCACCGTTCTCACTCTTTCGCAGATCCCTCGAAAGCCTGCCTGACGGGACTCACATTTTGATCCATTGCGCACTTTTGTTGTAGGGAATCTTCTTGAGGGTGAACTGGAGGTATACGTCGTGCTCCAGCGCTGTGTCTTCGTCCAGAATATTCTTGACAGGCTTTTTGGTGAGGTGCTTGCGCTCTATGGTGCGAAGCGCCTTTATGGCCTCCACCACCTGAAAAAGACAGCAAAGAACGTCGGAACGCGACTAATAGAGCGCGATCGCTTTGAATGTAGGTATGGAGACACTTCTGATCCTGAGTAATGATCACTTATGGAAGCATCAGAAATAAAGCGACGCGTTATCTTGTTGTAAACATCACGTACCCGCTTGACATCCACGTGCGCTGCCATTACTGTGGACCAGAAAGAGCTTTGGATCATTTTGGATCTGGCTTGCTTTACGAAAGCGAAACAAGTTTCAATAGGTAGCAATCATTGCACTGAACCATCAACTGCACCCAAGCATTCCAATCGACGAACGCCAACTTTACTGTTAAACTTGCTGTACAATTAACGTTATATTGTACAGGTTATATAGTTAATGAGTTTGTCATGCGGTTTGGCATACAGCTTGATAGCACGGAACACCATGGTGATAGCACCGTGGCTTGATAGACACCACAAAAAACCCAATGACGTAACAGCCGCCATAGTGTGACGCAGTAGATTACTTGCGATCCAGTAACGATCCGGTACAATCCAGTCACCGGAATCCACTTCTCTTTCCCATCATCTGCAACTCTTTGGCGTGACGCGCTTGTGTGGAAGCTCGTGCTTTGTACGTGCGCGTACGCTTGCGAAGTAAACGCACGCGCCTAGAAGTTTTAGCCTTTTCGTTTCGTCACAGCGCAGTAGTCCGCCGCCATGCCCGAGAAACTGTCGGGCTACGAGTTTTGGACGAAAGTTCTGAAGAGCCCAAAGTTCGTCGTCGCACCGATGGTGGACCAGAGCGAGCTGGCCTGGCGTCTGCTGAGTCGAAGGCACGGCGCCCAACTCTGCTACACGCCCATGCTCCACGCGGCCGTCTTCCTGAAAGACCCCAAGTACCGCAAGGAAACCCTGGCCACCTGTGACGAAGACGGCCCGCTCATAGTTCAGGTGCGCGAAGAACGTGCAACGTCCCTTCCCACGACGTCGCGCTAAAATGAATGACCTGGAAATGACGCCGCGGCAAGGTTCCTTTTGGCGTTGCATAAGTTTGTTGCCAGACTTTGGGGTGGTTGTTGCGAGACTTATGCAACGCCAAAAGGAACCTTGCCGACGCCGCGATCCTATTCAGTTCGTCGGTCTTGTGCGTAGTGCCGCTCTAAGCTGATGTTTGTCTTTTTTGTAGTTCACTTGATACCCAAAACCACACTGAACGCGTTCTTGGTTTCGACTTGTTGACCATATTTAGCATTTCACGGTGTCGTTCGTCATCGTCAAGTTCAGTTGGCGTTGCCGTCATTTTGTGTGGGTCTATGCTCATTCGCATTGATTTTCAGTTTGATTTGTGCTGTATGTTACCATTAACGAAACACTGCGAGTAGAGGTCGGGCGTGGAAGAGTGGGCATTATAGACAGTTGATATTCTGTTTCAATAAGTGTTCAGTCTCGGAAATTCGTGCTGTGTACACAGATATCGGTAAATACAAATTGTACTTTAGTCTGACTCAATTGAAATGTTGTCAGATCGCCGATTCCTCTAGCAATAACAGTTAGTTTTTTTGGTAGTCATCATGAAAAATCAGTTTTACTGTCAGATTTATTTGACAATGCAGCACCGCAAGTTAGTGGATTAAGCTCAAGTGTGGTAACAAACATAACAGCGCCTTCGCCTGCTGCATGCCTTCGGGCTAAGCGGGGTAATCATTGAATAAAGAATAAAGAAACATCTACCATTCTTTACCAATAAAAAAGAATAACAATTCATTTGAAAGACATATTCGTTTAATTGTATACATTTTCTGCAAGTTTTTAGTGCATTGCACATCACTTTACTGTGTGGCACGTTTGTTGAAAACAAATACCCTCGTTGAAACGTTTACTATGAATTGGTGCATTCCTGGAAAGCTTGTTTAGCATTTGCGTAGCACCATGTGCCAGCCGAGCTGTCAGCCTCGGACACCTTGGCTCTTTTACCTCTATGTCTGCTCTACTTCTTATCCACCTCACATTGCTCGCTAATGTTCAAGCGTAAACATGCGGTTGGATTGTGGGTTATAGGCTTTGCTCCTTCTCTCAAGCAGTTCCGCTGTTTCTATGTCTTCCATTACTCAGTTGCCATTGCCAATTTCATGCCTGCCTTTAACCCTTGTGTGCATTATATACTTTAGTAAAACTTCATTCAAGCCTATTCGTTATAGTTCTGTGGTTAAAGTCACAGCGCAAACACGTGAGGCCCCCCACAACAATTAAGACACCACACTTGGCTTGTGTGTGTTGCGTCTTCTTCTTTGTGGGGTGTCTTGTGTGTTTTTGCTGTGCATTTAACCTCATTAGTGTGTCCTAAACACATAGTCAAGTGCTTGACAACAGTGCAGTTAGCTAACGGCCCTTTCCTTTAGCAACCAATCTTTCTTTTGCCAGGGCTTCTATTTGGCCGCTGTCAACAATGTTGTCTCCTTCTTCATCTTTTAGATTCTGACTATAGAGTTTCATGCCTTCTGCGCAGTTTTGTGCCAACGACCCCGACGTGCTGTTCGAGGCATCTCGCATGGTGGTGGGACAATGCTGCGCCGTCGATCTCAACCTTGGCTGCCCCCAGGCCATTGCCCGTGCCGGCCATTACGGGGCCTTCCTTCAGGACGAGTGGGATCTTCTCTCCAGGATGGGTACAGTGTAGCTTGGTTACCATTTGTTCGTTGTCACCGTAACATATATTGCAACTGTGATTACAATCTCATAAAAGGTAAAAAAAAAGTTTTTTTTCCTAGAATAAAATTTACCACTGTTTTCTATTACATTTTTAAAGGGAGGCTGTTCGGCAATTTTCACGTTTGCTTGGCTTAACTTAGCATAATGTCCACATGCTCATCATTTTGGCGCCATGGGTACTTGCAGTTTTCAGGCGCCGCTTGATTGACGAGCGAAATGTGCACGGCCTGAAAGTTATGGCTCGTTCGGAGAATGCCAATGGTGTGAAGTTGCAATAAAAATGACATTACGATTACGTCATACTGTCCCTGATGTACTGATCTCTGTCTTGCGAGAGAGTAAATTTATTCCAAGCTGGAAATATTGATAAACTAATGAATTTCAAGGAGTATGTGTGATATTATCAGTTTTTAAGCGTTAGACATGATGAATTAAACTGACATTGCTACCTGGTTGCTTTAATAGTTAATCATGGTTGCCTATTTTATCGAATAGACCTAGTCGGAAAACTTGTAGTTTTATTTGGACCCTTAAACTTTCTCATATTTCACAGTTATCAACAAGTCATGTTGCGATTGCAGCCGCCTTTTTTTTTTTGTTGTTGTGGTTCCACCTGTTGCACAGATCTAGTCACTGTTAACACTTGTATTACTGTCTTCTACATTTGCTGCAGCCATTTCCTATCCTAGGGAATAACAAATGGTCTTTTTTGCTTGCCTCAAAGTCATGTCTTCTGTCCTCAATTGCTCTTGCAGTGAACAAGTTGCACACAGAGCTTGAAATTCCTATCACGTGCAAAGTTCGGGTCTTCCCTGAAGTTGACAAGACCGTTGAGTACGCCAAAATGCTGGAAGCTGCTGGGTGTCAGGTATGTGTCGCATGCGTTTCTTGCTGTATTGTGGTACGACGAAACAATCGTTCCGGCAGTTCTCAAGTTCGAAATGTTATTAAGGTCTTTGTATGGGTCTCGTGCAAATGTGACCCTGAATGAAAAGCTGGCGTGGGGGAAGCAAGCGACACAGAACATATCGCATGACTGCACGAGCCGTGTGTCCACTTTTGTCATTGCATCCCTTTTAAAATGATGCAGTTCAACTAAAGGACGAGTCCACCCATCAGGTAAACCAGCAAAACCCAGCATCGGTGCAATGGCCACGACGGGTCAAATAAGCTGCATCAATCTAAACGCTCGCAGCATTGGCAGCAAAATGGATGCCCTTGAATCATTGCTCCTGCGCCTCAAACCACACTTCGCTGCCATAACTGAGACGTTGCTTACGAGCGACCTTGGAAGCGATGCGGTGTCGCCCCCTAATTATGCGATAATTAAACATCGTACTCACCAACTGAATTGCTGGAAAGGGCTGGCCTTCTTAGCCTTAAAAATAGTCAGACTAGCTTGATCAAAAATCCATGCATTAGCTATTACACAACCAAGTCAACATTGACACCACTACATATATTTCAGTAACCTCATCTAGACCTACACGTAACACGCACTCCATGACACTAATCAAATATACACACCCTTTTAACGGCTTTAAATACTCTTACCTCCCGCTTCGGAAAGCGATAACAGACTGGAATGAACTAGATCCATCAACTTCTAACACTCACTCACTAAACAAGCTTACTATGACAATAGAAGAAGCTTTACTAACACAGCACGGTTGAGTTATGTTATTACCTCATTTATTTATGAACATAACTATTTTTATGTACAGTTTTTTTTTTCTCTGTTACTCTTCTTTCCATTGGAATGATTTTTATATTGTGTAACCTGTAGTTATGTTTTCATTTATGTATTTTTAGTGTATTGTTGTACAGCTTAGTGTAAATTGTTTACTGTTTCTATGTACTCTGCTGTAACCCCCCTTTCTCTGCCTATATATCATTTGAGATGGGCATTACTTCTAAATAAAATAAATAAATAAATAATACATCTCCACTAATGCTTTTGCCCCCTTTGAGTCATCTGAGTGACAATGTAAGAGACCCTTAGAATTTTTTTCTTTTTCGTATTATTTTTTTGTGAGATGCTGCTGTTAGCAACAAAAAATATTTCGCATGGCTCTGACCTCAGCCCTTGAAATTTTCCCAAGGCTACAACATAAGAGTGTAGTCGTAGCGAAGTGATTATATCTGTTCCTGGTTTCAGGTGCTGACTGTCCACGGCCGAACGAGAGACCAGAAAGGGCCGTTCACGGGGCTTGCAAACTGGGAACACATCAGGGCAGTGAAGTGAGTGCCTTTGTTCTTCTCTTTCGCGCAAGATGCCGACTGCAGTAACCCAGTGCCCACGGCGTTGTGCTCCTGAGCATGAGGCCATGCGTTCGATCACAGCCACAGTGGCTGCATCCTAACAAAAAGAAAATGCAAAAATAATTGTGTACTGTGCATGATAAAAAAGTCGATACATCGAAACAGAACTCTCTGTAGCGTGAGCTTCGCCTTCTTCCGAGAAATGCTGTGACAAACTTTGACAGAAATTAGATGACTTTAATGCTATACTTCATTTGAATTTCATAGTCTATAAAATAGGCATGGCTCCTATTCCAGACTTATCGCAATAAATATGAGCAGAAATGTCATAAAGTAGGCTTGTGCAAATATTCAAATGCGTCAAATAATAAAGCGAATATTACTGTATTTGAACTTGCTTTAATTTAAATTTAAATTGTTAAATATTTCAAAGTATTTCCAGTAAAGTATTTAGTGAAAACGCATATCCAGGGGAAATCTACATTGCCGCGAAGTTCCACTTCAAGTTTAAATAAACATATTACCATCACGACGACTCATTGTTTTCAAGTTTATATGCTGAATATACCAGTTTATATGCATTAAGTATTATATGCAATAGGTATAGTGAATTTTAAAACATAATATTTTACAGATTATCAATTACATTCCACTGAAAGTAAAATGCTGCTACATTTCAAAGTTGTTTCTACTTTCTTTTAATTAAAAATAACGGCATTTGCACAGGCCTGACAAATATGTACATTTTTTTATAGTATGTGATATATACTATACGAATTCGATTTTCAATTCAAAATTATTTCATCAAAATTACTATTTGCTTCGAACCCTCGCAGAAGCCTACAAAAGGAGCTAAAAAAGCTTTGGCGCTGGTGAAGGGTGCAGCAAATATGATGACTATGACCTCGTGTAGAAAACATTTCAACGTTCGATGCCAATGGGTAGTAAATGAAACGGTTTTTCACATATTCACTTGCTCGCATCCGGGTGAATGTTGATAGTCGGATTCAGCCAACGCCGACACCAAAGACATCGTGGTCCTGCTACCAGGCGACGCAGCTACACAATTCGGCACAACTGGTGCCGAAAACGGAGGCGCACGTGCGAAGTGTACTAAACGGCCTGTTGGTTTGCTCATGTTACCGCTTTCGTACTCCTCATGGTGTTACTGTTACCTCAGTACTCAAATATGTTTTCACACTGAGATTTTGTGACTCCTGGCGGGCGTTTTTGAAATTTTCCTGTAAAGCTTTTGGTCTTAGAAAAACTTGTTGTTGGGCTAGTCGGTGCATAATTTTGAGGAAAAAGATTTTGGACACCTAAGCGCCACCAAAAGAAGGTGAAGCACAGTAAAAGAGTGTCAAACACTCTTTTTCCTGTGCTTTGTCGTTCCTCAGGTAGTGCTTGGGCACCTGAAGTTTCTTTCTCGAAGCTTTTGCTGTCTGCTCTTCTGTAAGTAAACAAGGGATCAAAGATAATACATAGCTCACTACTGCAGTCTTTTGTACTGACTCAAAATTTTGTTGGCAATATAACTTCTGGGATATATTTGTGGTGACACACGCCATCTACAAGTTATCAGTGGCTAATTAGCTTAGAACATACTTAAAGGCAACTTTAGAGTGCATGTCACACCAGTGTACGCAAAACGCCCCATGTCAAGACATGGACATCAACTTGATTTAAATGTAGATAGCCACCAGCCTCCTGCATAGCGAGTTTGTGTTGGCTGCCACAATAATTGCGAGCTCTCTCTGCTTGCAAATCTTGTCAACAGAAAGACGGAGCAGCACCTCCTTTGTGGAATTGCACGGCAGTACAAAATCTGACGTCCTTGGCTCATAAGTGCACTTTTGAGGGTTCACACACATTTACAATACCTTGAGGGAGCCTTCGTTGAAGAGATTTGTCAATGTGCTCTAGTGAATGAGGCTTTGTGGGCCCATGTAGCCAGCTATGCTTACATAAAACCCATTCTGGGTCCCACCTCACTCGGCGCTCTCTAAAACCAAAACTACGACGGGGCACTGTCAAACAGTCTCAGAATAATCAACCATTGTGTGCTCGAGCAAATGAGCGTTCCAGTTCAGTTGCTCGTGGGTCGTTAGCTACTTATTGCTACAGATTAAACGAGATAAAAAATTTTTGTGTCGGTGCTTTTTAATATTGGTGTCACAGTATGTGTCGAAACTCCGCAAATCAATTACCGAGCCACACTAGTGGCTTACTCACGTAAATGCCACTTTCGATTGGCACTTGTTCATTTGATCTGCATATAGCTTAGTAGAAAAGTCTTCTGTTAACATTGTTGCTCATAAACTTTGACACCTCCGGTGGCTAAGGCAAGTTTGTGATAACTAGCTGTGATAAAATGACGTGGTAACTATGACGTGTTCCAACCGTCCTCTCTCATCACTGATGGAGGACCCCACATTTCCAGGCTCGAAATCAAGTAAACTCGCATATGACAAATTATCGGATTTAACAAACTAAACCCCGAATTATTTTTGCCTCTTGTCAACATTCTATCAACACATGCTTACAATGGCCCGTGTGCTCAGATTTGGGTGCACGTTAAAGAACCCCAGGTGGTCAAAATTTCCGGAGCCCTCCACTACGGCGTCTCTCATAATCATATGGTGGTTTTGGGACGTTAAACCCCACAAATCAATCATATGCTTACAATGAATGTCAAATACAGTAGCCTTTCAATTAATGGTTCCTGAAGGGACCCAGAAAAGATATTTCATTTAACAAGAGTCCTATATAAGGGGAGGTGAAAAAAGGTGCGTAATACTTAAACCACACCTAGTATTAGAGGTAGTTGTTCCGTTTAACAGATTCTCGTTTACTGAGAGTCCATTGTATAAAAGAGGTGCACTTCTGCCAGGAAGGACTGTTGTGACATGGCTCCTTTGTGTTAATGCCTGAGCACCACTTCAATGACATTACTTTGAGTGGCGATAAGCGTCCTGTGCAATTTTCGTGACTTTCTGATTGTATGTCATTTCAGGCAGAACGTCAAGATCCCTGTCATTGCCAACGGAAACATCCAGTATTTGGAGGACGCTCTGCGATGCCTTGAGGAGACCGGAGTTGATGCAGTCATGTCAGCTGGTGAGGTGTTGATCCTCTGACTGGTTTGCTCTGTGTTTTTCCCAAGAGAATCAGCTTTGCCCAGCAAATTAGAGCTCGAGCAATCGTCTTGTGATGCAAGTAGCATATACCTTAATACCAAAACATTACATGCCCCATGAAGCAACAAATTCTGCATTCATTGGCGTAGACACTCGAACACAAGAAAACTCGTGTGCTTAAGTGATGGCGTCATGTGGGTTTTGGCTGCCGATTCGAAAATTTATTTGATACAATTTGAGCACATTACGAAGTGGTGGTGTCAGATGACCTAGTCATGTGATCATTTAAGAACCTAAGTTTAAGGGTCGCATAACCAAGTGATGGCATCAGGTGAGGGAGTGACCGGACAAGAATCTCAAGTAAGGTCGCTTGACAATGGTGTCGATATTGTACGGCATTCAATGCACTTAGGGATGCTTAGGTGGTTTGTAACGTTTTGAGCAAAGTGATATTCACTTTAGTGGTTATTTCAACTCATCTTATCTGCAGGCTGCCATCATTTTTGCCAGTAGTATCAATTCTAGAATGGCGAAAGTTAGGCAGAATTCACTTTTGTAACGATGGAGGCATTCTGGAAGCTTCAAATCATCTGCTGCTCCATTCAAAATGTTTTTTTGCATTGCTATGCGGTATCACTTACTCACAATGTGAGGCTGGGGTACGTGCATGACATTTTGATATGTGGTACCAGATTTATGCAGCATTTCCAGCCACACCTGTTGCTCTTTCATATAGGCGCTCATTCTACGGCAAAAGCTGTTACGAGATTACCACAAGGGTCTCGTGTGCCGTAGTTGTCCACTGCCGTTACCGGTGCCCGTAACCACTACCACGTCAAATAAGGAAAAAAATTACTAAGTAATGGCAAAACACCAAGGACACAATGGCACTCGAACGAGCCCAGGTCCCCAACGTGTCAGCCCAGTATTCTACCACAGAGCCACACCTGTGCTTCAAACTCTGTTGCAAACTGGCCTTAGGCAGGCTTTATGTAGGGAGAGTAATCGCATTACTATGAGTCATAATGTTTTAGGACAGCATTGAACAACCAGACCTCACACAATGGGAATTGTGCAACGAGTGGGTCATCGTATGCTCCAACCTATTACAGAAGCTTCAGGCTTGATTCTTCATCTTCGTCGGCCACAGCGTAAAGGATTGCACAAAATTTCTTGCAAGTATGTAGCGGGTGCCACACTTCTTCGAAAAATGTCGAAGGATGGCATAGTGAATGTCTCCTTACTGCACAAAATACCCTGCAAGTTTGCTTTCAGCAGTTACCCAAAGAGTTTTTAAGAAAAGGCTCTAAAAGGTTGTGCTCTTCCAGCTTATGCTATGACTGTGCTGCGCATTCCCTGCAGGCCTGGCAGTTTTTCAAGTGTGTGTGTTTGTGTGTGTGTGTGTGCGTGTGTGTGTGTGCATTCTCAGTGCTGCTCTCTTGGTATGTTTTCTATTGCAGCTATTTTCAATGCCCTACATATGGCAACGTTTTTCCTTTGCAGAGGGCAACCTTCACAATCCGTACTTGTTCACCGGCACTCAACGGCCTGTCTGGGACGCAGCACTGGAATATCTAGAGCTGGTCCGCCAATATCCGTGTCCAACCTCGTACATTAGAGGTCACTGCTTCAAGCTACTGCACCACTGGTAAGCCGGCTGTCAGTTCTGAACCGACAGCGATTGTCTTCATTATTGAGTGACTTGAGGTGGTGTCAACATCAGTACGAGTGACAAGAAAAATCATCATGATGTTATGCGGTCACCCTGCAATGTCATTATGACATTCCATAATGTGGTGTCGCATCATGATGTCGTCTGATGTCATTGTTGCTTGCTCAATGGTCAGCTAATCCAGCGCACACTGAAAAACCACGTGAAACGTGAAATAAAAAGACGGCTTTTGCCTTTGAGTTATTTTCGACAAATGTATAAGGGACTACATTTTTTTTCTGGTCAAAAAAATTTATTTTTTGGGCGGTCACTCAGTCGTATTGACTCTAGAAAGCCGTAACGCAATATTTTTGGCAGGTACCTGCGAGACGTGATTGTTGATTTGAGGCATCACATAAGTTCATAGTGTATTGACATTGTCTTGACAGTTGAATAGAGAAATCGCATCATATAATTTCCAAATACCAGATTCATGGCTGGCTGTGTTTTGTGTCTTGTCCAGACAGGACTTGACGTAAGTGGCAGTACCAAATGGCCAAGTAGTCGTCTCTAGGCGAGACGTGCCATTGCAGTTAATTGAGGCTGGCTGAATGCGTCCTATTATGAAGAGCTGCACCTTTGCAGTGGGAATGCTCGGCAATGCTTTCAGACTACTAAATACTGCGTAATGTTTCTTTGAACGTTGCACCAGTCACCCACGCTACAATGCGTGACACTCGTTCAGTAGAATGTTTGGGGAACGCAGCTCGCTCCGCACAAGCGTGGAGCCAGGTGAACAGAAGGCTGCTCGTAGCGGGTGGGGAATAACTCTTTACTGGTGATGGGGATAGTGATATGAGATGCCAGGACCCCCACATGGGTGCGTGTTTCGAGGTTGCAGGGCTAACTCTGCTACTCTGTGGTTCTCCGTCCTCTTTAGCATGACTATGCCTGAGAACGTCGACTTGAGGGAGAAACTCGCCAAGGCGAGCCTGGTCGAGACGTTTGAAGAGGTTGCCATGGCGCTGAGAGATCGTTTTCAGGTGCGTCCAGAGCGTGGCCCAACGTGTTGCTTATGGCGATTGCATCTTACCTCCTGTATTGAATGTTGCTGAGTGGCGTAACCTGCTGAACATCATGACTGATATTCATAATCATGTAATGCACAGTAGCATCGTACAACTTCGTAGCTTATTATTGATTTCGTTCTCGTAGAGTTTCTGCAAATTGGCACATTTTGCAGTGTACTTACACTCATACCTCGATATAACGAACCTGGATGCAATGAAATACCGTTTATAACCAAGTGAATTAAAAATGGTCTTGCAGTTTAGTGTTAGGAATATACCTCTATTACGAATTCTCAGATATAATGAACTTATTTTGCTGTAAGATCCAACTATTATAATGAGACTTAAGTGACTGTGATGTCTGATCCTATTGCTTGCCTGTTTTTCTCACAATTATGTAAAAGCACTTCTTTTCTGGTGAAAATGCTTGAGCCACGCGTTTTTAGATTTAGGTGCACATTAAACACCAGGTGTTCAGAGCTTATGGACTTTTCCACAATGGTGTCCCTCGTAATCATATAGTGGTTTTGGGACGTAAAGCCCCATCAATTTATTAAGCACTTTTTTTTTGGCAACTCTCGTACAAGGAGTATAAGAAACGTTGACATTCCTATAATGCAGCAGCAACGAAGTTTCTCGCAGTAACAGCAAAACGCTGCATTCATCGTGTTTTGCCCTAACATGAAAGGTGGCGCCAGTGCTTTGTCGCATATGAATCAACATTGTTCTGTGTGGTACCGCTGCAGATTGCACACACTATTTCTGGCTTATTTTGGACTAGGCACGTGCAAATATTGGAGCACTTTGAGTGTTTCAACGAATAATATAGTATTTGAATTCGCTTTGGCATGAATTTATAAAGTGTTCTAAATTTCAAATAACTCGAAATGAATGAAATGGCATATGACAAAACCACATGTAAAGGTGGTTGCACTGTAGCTCAAAAGTGCTGTGCGAAGAAAACACATGCTAAAAATAAAGTCCGCACTGCCATGAAGCGCCACTGCAAGGTTACGTGACTATATTGTCACCTAAGCATACTCGTAATATTGCCCTCACACAGATTAATCTCTTTGAAGTTTAAAAGCTTGTTATGTGGGAATATATGCTCTAAGTGTAGTAAATTTAGAGCTTGAAGTATTCACCAGTTATGAATTGCGCCCGGTGATCCTGCCACTGTTAAATGTTGCATTCATTTCACTTCGAACCAAAAGAGGATGATATTTGTACATGCTTTGTTTCAAATTAAAGAAAAATAAGATGTGTGGTTTAGCTGGGTCGTGACAGATATGGTCATTTTTCTTTATAATGTGTGATTATACTATTCAAACTATGCGCTTTGAATTTGCTTTGAACTTAAAATATACAGTTTGCACATTCCTATTCGGGACAAAAACTTCGTAACCTACAAAAGTTCAGAGGTACCCATTTATTCCAGACAAGCAATGCGTCCAAACGTGGCATCAATTCTAATGCACCATGAGGAGCTATCTCTATGCAAAATTTGAGGGTCCACTTCTGGCCTTTCTGCTTTTGGATGCTCTTTGATGCTGATATACCATTCAACGTTGCAAATGTGTTTCCTAATTGCAGGGCAAAACGTGGGACCCGGATCCCGACTCTCCGCAGGCCGACCTTCCTTTCCCACCTTGGATCTGCCAGCCGTACGTTAGGCCCAGGTGAGGTGCATATGCCGTAGGATGTTCACACAGTTGTTACAAAGTACAGGTGCGGGCGTTTCTGTTGAGACCACTCAAGGGACCGCTGGGAAAGGACGATCACGTGAAGCCAAGGGAAGCTCAGGAAAATCTACCCTCTGATTTTAAACCCAAGAACTAACAGAAAATGGTAACATAAAGAAAAAGTAATGCTGATAGAAAGACAGCTTTCTTACGATGTAAACTGGACTATCTAGATTATTCCAGATAAAGCTCCAGAATCAGCTGTCCTTCCACACATAAGCATCAAAGAGAGGAGAGAGAATATTTGAGTTACGGTTGGGAGACATCACTCAGTCAGTCACGAAGTGTATATGCACTCGTTTGGCAAAGAGTACAGTCATTGGGTAGTCTGTTCTTCCTGTGCTGCTCACAGTGGTCTCCGTCTTCTTCGTGCCCAGACGTTCGCACAAGTTAGCGGCAAGCATGCTGCATCTCTGTATAGTCTCCTCGATTTCCTCCACTTTCCTTTTCTCGCTCCGCTAGCCCCGAGGTGTCGCAGGAGACAAAGCGAGACCTGAACGCCGAGTACCAGAAGCTGCTGGAGATGACGGCGGTCATCAAGCGCCCTGCCGACCTGGACTTGCTCAGCCTGTCCCGGAAGCAGCTCAAGCGGCTGCGCAAGAACCCTCGCAAGGCGTTCGCCAATCGCGAGCAGTTCGTGCCCTGTGCCAAGTGCTCCAACCCAAGGGTAAGCATTGGCAGGAACCTTTTCTTTGTACATACAGTCGAGCCCGACTATATCGAACCCGTTTATATCAAATTATCCCGTATATCGAACAATTCCTAAACACGGTAAGTGTACATTGAGAATATATAGCAAAAGTTACTGTTTTATCGAAGGAAAATAGCAACGACAACTGATATATCAAACTCCATGTGCCTCAAAAGTGCCCCAGCAAGTTGGCTTTCCCTCGTGGTGGCGGGGAAAACTGCCGGCGCCACCATAGAAAAAGTTAATTAGACCCGGTTGTGCACGGGCGAACACCCCCCTCCAAGAAATGATCCAGGCCCGCTCGCAGCGCTTACAGCCAATCAGAGGCCGTCGTGCTCTCTCTGAGGGGCGGAGGCGGTAGAAGTGAGCGCCATTTTTTCTTTCTTTATGCTTGTGTGCCTGCTGCTGCCGATTCAGTGTGGGCTGTGGTGTTGCCTGTTGGTGCTCTGTGAACTGTATTGGCGCGCTGTCATCATGGCTTGCGCAAAAAGGCAAAATTTACCGTTCGCCGCAAAACTCGAAATCATCAATCTGGTTGAGCGCGGTGAAAAGAAGTCCGACGTCGCCGCCGCATAAGAAATTCCAAGGAGCACCTTGAGTACTATCCTGAAGAACAAGGCAGACATCAGGGCCAAGTTGGACAAAAGGCCAGGTGCCCGTGGCGCCCGACGTGTATGCGCTGCTGTGTACGAAGATGTTGAAGCGGCCGTTTACAAGTGGTTTGTGGACGTTCGGTCGCGAAACATCCCGGTGTCCGTCCCTATGATTAAGCAGAAAGCCAAGGACCTTGCTTTTCTGCTTGGCAGGAATGATTTCCAAGGCGGTTCAGGCTGGCTTAGCGGTTCAAAGAACGGCACGACATCATTGGCAAAGCTGTTACAGGTGAAAGCAGAGCGGCGAACCTGGACAGCGTAGAAAAATGGCTCGAGGAAAACTGGTGAGATATCGCAGCAAGATATAGAGCCCAAGATATCTTCAATGCAGATGAAACCGCTCTATTTTGGCAAATGTTGCCAAACAAGACACTTGCGTGTCTTGGCGACAAGACGAGCTGGCAGAGTTCCTGGGTGCTATCGACGGATCAACATTTGACGAGTTCGTCAGTGTGGACGATGATGTCCCCATCATGGGCCAATTAGAGGATGAGAATTACATTGCAGACGTCGTGCCGACTACGAGCCAAAGCGACAGCAATATGGAAATCGACGACGGCCCGTTGCCTACATCCTCCGAAGTGACTAGTGCACTTGCGTTGGTCTGGCGCTATTGCTTGAATGTGGAAGGTTGCGGCCTCAGCTGTTCTGACTCGTTGGACAACGTGGAGGCGTGCGTGCTGTCGGAGGCAGCGAAGTCGTTAACACAGAAAGAAATCCGGGACTCTCAGTAGGGCACGCAAGTAAGCCACCATATTAATAAAGTACTTCGAGTTTGTTATGTGCCTTTGTGTCAAAACCATTCTGGGCATATATCGAATTACGCCATATATCGAACTAATAAACGTTTTTTAGTGAGTTCGATATGCCCGGGTTCGACTGTACTAGAGCTGACTGGCATTGACACCGCACTCTAGGAGACGGTGTTAGTGTTTCGGTTCCAGGATTTTAACGACCCTCGAATTGTTTTCAATTTTCCATGAGCATTTCTACACACACACATGAACATACATAAAAAATAGTTAGATGTGACTCAGTTAAAGCAGAGTTTGTTTGTAGCACTCCAAGCTCGATATAACGAACCTGAATATAATGAAATATGGGTTATAACAAAATTTAAAATATTATTAAAATAGTGATAATGTCAGGGATGTACCTTTGTAAGAAATTTTCAGATAAAACAAACCTATTTTTTTGTAAGATGCAACTTTGTGATAATGGGGTTTGCAGAAAATAAATAAAATTGCATCCCACGCCGGACATATTAGCACACGTGTTCAGGCAAGATGAAGTGGGTTGACACTGATTCATAATGATAATTTTTAATTGTGACTAACAGGGTTTCTCCAATCTTAAAGGGGCCCTGAAACACTTTTTTGAAGTAACCATGGAATGGATTCACTGAAAGAGCTCATTGCCTCACGAATTCAATGCTGAAAAAATTTTAGGAATTTGTGCAGTACAAACGGAGTAACGAATATTTGTCGCACGTTGCAATTGCATTCTCCCTTTTCTCGTTGTGAGGAAAGCGTTGGAAGCTAAGCAGGGGGGGGGGGGGGGGGGTGGCATGGGCAAAGAAAATACGCGACGTGTGCCTCGTGACTTTGAGCCCTTTTTTCATTCTTTTTTCTTCGAATACGCAGCTTTTTCAGTGCGATCGCGCGTGGACAAGTTGCGGTCTGTTGAGGCAATTCCTGTAAAGATTGAGCGCACTATGTTCAAATCAGCCCATGGCTGATAGACCTTCTACGAGTAATTTTTGAGCTTCCTCCGTCATTTGTCGAGAGAAGGGAAAGCAATTTTTAGCCGACTGATAATTTGTTGTGGATTGGAAGCCGCGTTCTTCACTATATTTGGCTCGCGTGTTCTCGGGAGCCTCTACTACAGATCGTCAGCATTTTCTGACCATGCTCAAAAAGTGTTGCAGAGCCTTTTTAACAGTTCCGCCGTTAAAAATAGCGCATGTCGTCAGAATGAAAGTGGCGGGGATTAATGGAGGGCTCGTTACTTGTGAGACACAATCTAATGAAACAAGTGTTAGTTATCTGTATGTGTAATACGAGTTAAAATTCTGATTTTATATAAAAAAACAGCCAGTAGACAATGGCATTTAAGAAAGGTAGGGGTAACTTTCTCTATATCTGCTTCATTGTCTGTTTGTTTCATAAGGTAGGTTGTGAGAGTCGCTCAGTCTTGGAATGGCAATTTTCATTTTCTTGCAGTGTACAAAGTGTGTCTACGCTCTCTGCAAGCCGTGCTGTCGTAACCGAGTAAGGGAGAACTTTGAAAATTGCGAAGGTATGGTATTCACCGCTTCGCCACCTTTTCTTCGCGCGTCTCGAGTACTTTTGCTAGTCTTTACAGTGGAGCCCTGATTATGCGACTTTCTAGGAACCACGCAAAATCCTCGTATAATTAAGGCGTCATATAATCGAAAAACTAAAATTATAGGCAGGAACTCTCAGCCTTGCCAAAAAACGATGCAAACTGCCTGAATAAGCCCACGGCACGGCCTTGTGCCTCTCCAAGGAAGGCAGGTTATATTATTCTTGGCAGTGGCAGCTAATGACAGCATTACTTAGTTGAAGGAGGTGTCAGCTAATCTTTTTTCTCAACCATAAAAAAAATAGAATCCAATGCACATCTTTTTACCAATAAATAGTCTGAAAGCGTGCCTGCGGATGAAAATGAAACCAAAACCGACACACATTTTGCATTGCTGGTTTCAGGTCGAACAAAAGAAAAGGGAATTTCAAGGGAATGTTCCTCTTTGTTATATACAACATTAATGAGAATTAACGAGCAGCTAGTCCAAGGAAAGCACATTTGTGTTAAAAATGGAAAGAAAGTAAAATGGACAAAAATATAACTTGACGCTGCCAGTAACTGAACCTGCAGTGTTTGAAGAATGCATCCGATGCTCTATCAACTGACCGCTTGCAGCGGTCATTCTCCAGTCTACTTTATCAGCTGCATCTGTGCTTTTAAACTTGGGAGTGTTTGTTAGTGCTACATGTAACCACTAGAGTGAGTGTGGAACACTCCCTTTCTACCTGCTGGCGTTAGATAGCACGTGATGTTTTTACGAGCTCGCAGCTGACTAATAATCTCTTGTATTTCAATGCCTGGGAAATTTCATCTGGGATTCTGATGTCAGCACTCAGCCGAACATAATGTCATATGTAATAACCGTGCCACCTCAGCTTTCAACGTGCATTGTATTTACCTTGGTAAAGAATAAGTACAGTCGCCCAAATCCTTAACTATCTGCGCAAGAGGCAATGTTTTTTGTGTATCTTTGCCGTTTCACAGAACCAGGTCTCAAAAAAGGGTGAGGGCAAATGAATGTCTACTAACCAAGTTTCTGGCATTGACACAGAGAAAAGTTGCTACTGCGCACAGTAGTTGAAAATTTGGGAGACTGTACTGAATATTAGAGCAGAAACCAGCTTGCACGATCGTCTTCTAAAGATAAAGGGCAGGCTTGCTGCAGTTCTGTGGGCGGAGCTTACACTTTCTCGTAGGTTGCGAGTACAGTGCTATTGTTTGAGTAACTTTGGCAGTGCAGTGGTGGAGATAATTGTGAAAAATATTTCGAAGTTATTGAAAATCTTGCAAGGAAATAGCATTGAGGCATTGTGTTTTGTCAAGTGGATGTGACCCGTTTGTTTTTTTGTCATTACAGGTCACAGTTTTTTCTTTAAGCCCAGAACGGAAGAAGAGGAACTAAAAATGAGAAGAGTGAAGGACGCAAGGGAGAACGTGGCCGCAAACAGTGTGACGGGTAGTTCTTTAATAGAGATGGACTTCTCGGAGACGCCGACTTGACTTTCTTTGCAAGGAGGTCGGCCCCTTTCACCTGTACAAATCACAGAGTAATATATGTACATAATGACCAATTGGCTGTCTGGTCTCATTTCATTCACCTTTAGCTCCAGAGCAGTTTAAGGGACTGCCCTGTTGTCGTCTCGTGTTGGGTTACGCAGTTGAATGTTGGTGTCACAGAAGTCTCAAGTTCGATACACATAAACCGAGCAGGCAGAATGTTTGGAATGTCCGAGAGTGCTTGCCCACGAATACTAGTGTCGTCGTAGCGCTGATTTGTCTGTCTTAGCGCGTGGAGCAACATTGAAATGCCAACGTTGGGATATAAACGCAGATTTAGGGAACAGAAGAATTTAGAGTGAAGCACCAGTGCCAGGAGCTGAAATGTACTGTGCTCGAAGCACCAAGCTGTAGAAAAAGTGCGCACAGTTTAGAGAAACAGTAGAAAGAACACTGTTGAACAGAAAATAGATAATCACAAAACAAATCGCATAATCGCAGGATAGTAACAGAAAAAAGCGGATAAACACAGAAAAATTACGCAAAAGAACAGGACAGATCAATACATGTAAAACGTAGGCGAATCGATGCTCGACAGTTCATACAGGTGTCACGGGGGGCATAATCGGCTTTTATTTTTTAATTAACGTTTTTAGTTACAGGAGATGACCTTGTTCACCACTGTGGGTGCATAGCAAATCCTGCTAACTATGCTATTATAGGTTATTGACATTTTTATTGAGTGAAGTATTCGAAATTCATAACACATATGCTATACAAAACGGGAGGGTGAAGTTTGCTGTCTGTTATAGTAGAATCTCTTCATCGAATTTTCCAGTTCCAGTGTTCCTGATATTTTTACTAAGCAAAACTGCGTGGCATGAAAGTTAAATTGTATTTAACTTTTTCTCTTACAGTACGCTTCTCTCACTTTATTTAACATGTATGAACGAGGTTCCAATGTACCTCAGTGTCAATCAGAAATGTTTGGGACGTGTTGACCACTTTAATAACGCAGACATACACGTAAATGGTATAAATGTTTAAGAAAAAGAGTATGAGAATTTTTTTGTTGTTGTTGAGTGTCATGTAGCAGAACAGTGACAATAAATACGTAGGTAATGTCTAATATTGGGTTGTGTTGCAATCGAGATGAATTGAAGAACACAGTTCACTAACCTGTTTACATCACTAATCATTCTTTGGACCCAGTTTCCAAGTTCTTTTCATGCATTAGTAAGACTGCCTATGCAAAATACAGTTGACTTGCTGTTAATTAAAAAGAATTTATGCTGGTTTAATGAGTGCTCATTGGAAAATTTTACAGAGATGGTGGTATATCTATCTGTTTATGTATATCCAACCTCTTATGCTTGCTGGGCAGCTCGTAGTTGTGCCTGTGGAGCACTGGGCTGCTCTTTTGATGGGACCAGGTTCAAGAGCAACTGTTAGACCAACTTGAATCACAGCTACAACTCCGCAAATCTCATTCATGCTTTCACGGATAGCAGGGTTGGCACTGTTAGGCATATGGTGTTTATTTATTTATTTATTTATTTATTTATGGTACCCTCAGGGCCCGAAGGCATTACAGAGGGGAGTGGCAATACAAAATAATACAGCAAACGGCAAAACGTATAGGAAAAGAAGGGAAAATACAAAGTGGTTGGCAAAAACACACAGTAACAAAGAAATTAAATGTAGCAGCGGGAATACATGACAACGATTTTGATAAAAAAAAAAAAAAAAGCACGACATATATAACACGAAGCAAAATCAAACATCGAAAAACATGTTTTGCAAAAAGGCCCTAAAACGTGATGTATCGGTAATAGCCGTAGCTGATTGTGGTAGTAGATTCCATTTGGATGTGGTTCTTGGGATGAAGGCATGCGAATAGGTTACGGTTCTGCAGCGGGGAACATGAACTTTTTGCAGATGGTCCAATCTGGGTGATATGAATGAGGGGGGTTTAATAAACTGTTCACGAAGATTTTTGCTATGATAAAGTTTATGAAGAAGACTGAGTCGGGCTATTTTACGCCGAATGGCGAGTTCAGGAAGGTTGAGCTGGGACTTCATTAAGGTAACACTGGCCGTGCGGTTATAATTGGCTAAAATGAAGCGAACTGAACGATTCTGGACTGCTTCTAATTCATGTGTAAGTGTAGTGCCACCAGGATCCCAGACGGATGATGCGTATTCAAGTGATGGACGAATATAAGTAGTGTAAAGAAGTTTCTTAAGGGATGAGGGCGCCATGTAGAAGTTCCTGCGAAAATACCCGAGAGAACGGTTAGCCTTGGCGATGATGTGCTCCACATGGTGGTTCCATGACAGGTTACTGGAAATATGAACACCTAGGTATTTGTAAAATGAAACAGACTCGAGGTGGGTATCATTGAGATGATAATCTGGATACGCAAGTGAGGTGTGGCACACACGCATTGCTTTGCATTTTGAAATGTTTAGTTCCATGTTACATAATTGACACCAGGTAAATATGTTATTTAAATCCGTCTGGAGCGAGGTAACATCATTTTGGTTAGTTATTTTCCGATAAATTACACAGTCATCTGCGAATAGGCATACCTTTGATGAGACATTAGTTGGCAGGTCGTTCATGAAAATTAAGAACAGTAAGGGTCCCAACACAGAGCCTTGGGGAACACCCGAGAGCACCGGCTGGACGGGGGAATCAATATTGTTAGCAGAAACAAACTGTGTTCGGTTGGAAAGAAAGGCTCGAATCCAGTTAAACACGTTAGGGTCTAGGTTTAAGTGTTTCATCTTAAGAAGTAGTAACTGATGACTGACCTTATCGAATGCCTTAGAATAATCTAAAAAAATACAGTCAATGGTGAATCCAGAATCGAGTAGGACATGCAGGTCGTTTGTAAAGACTAAGAGCTGCGTTTCGCAAGAAAAATTCTTGCGGAAACCGTGTTGCGAGGGTGTGAAAAACTGGTTAGACTCGAGAAAGTTAACAAGGTGGGTGAAAATGATATGCTCAAGTATTTTGCACGGGACAGATGTCAGTGAAATTGGACGGAAGTTTGATGGATTGTGTGTTAGCCCTGATTTGTGAACTGGCACTATCTTACCGACCAGCCAGTCTTCCGGAAGGCTAGAATGCTGCAGGGACTGTGAAAAAATGCATGACAGGATAATAGAGGAGTATTCAACAGTGTTCTTCAGGAATTTAGCATTGATACCATCAACTCCACATGATGATGAGTTTTTGAGTTTCTTAATGACCGCACGAATACCTTCCGAGGTAACGAAGATAGCGTCCATAGGTAGGTAATGGGGTGACGGCAAGGAGATTTGGTTGTTGATGGTCGCCTGGTGAGAGAAAGCTTTTATGAATGTGTCATTTAGTACAGATGCGCATTCTACGTCGGGCACGGGATGCCCTTCAGCTGTCAGCAAGGCTATAGCGCGGCGCTCGCTGCCACGCACGAAATTCCAAAACTGTCTAGGGTTATTTTTCAGCATAACCGGTAGAGTGTGACTAAAAAAGGAAGACTTAGCTCGTTTCACTTCAGATAAATAGGTTGTGGCAGCAGATTTGTAAGTAGACCAACGTTTATCAGACGGGGATTTGACAGCAGCACGATAAAACCTTTTCTTACGGTTTGAAAGGCGGTTTATGTATCTGTTGTACCATGGAGCACGTGTATTGGAAAGAACTTGTTTTATAGGGATATGTTTAACGGTTAGCTCTGAAACTCTAGCTTTAAATAAGTCCCAGTTGCTCTGCACCGATCTTTCAGGGTAGTTGGGTAAGAACTCATCTAGGAATGTGCCCAAATCCTTGTTAATTGAGTCAAAGTCAGCCTTTCTGTAATCCCGTATAGTTTTAAGCTGCTTACGCATGCGTGAGAATGGCAGCAATATATTTGCTTGAATAATATCGTGATCACTGATACCAGGTACATTGGACACTGAAGATACAATATCTGGTTCTGATGTCAATATAAGATCAAGAATGGATGACGTAGTATCGGTAACGCGCGTAGGAAAATTAACAAGCTGCGTCAAACCAAAATCTGAACAGATGCGAATAAAATGCTCCGCTTTCGCTGAGTTAGGCAAGGAATATGAATAAGAATTTGACCACACAATGTTAGGGAAATTGAAATCGCCTAGTAGAATCACAGCTGCGCGAGGAAACAAAACCTTCACATGGCTCAGACAATCATGTAGGTCATTGCAAAAGTTTGCACTTCCTGAAGGTGGGCGGTAACATACGCCAATGACAATTTTTCTAAAAGCCACGTTGAGGCAACACCATGTTGCCTCCAAAACCGAGTCTATTGCAACAGCGTAGTTTTCAATGCTCTCATTCACCGCAAGAAGAACACCACCGCCACATCTATTAGGTCTGTCGCAGCGATATATTTTGTATTTTTTATCACAGCACAGCAGTTCTTCGTTTCGTATTTTGTCGCAAAGCCACGTTTCAGTTACCGCAATAATATCGGCGTTTGAATCATTAACTGCTGCACTCATTTCATCTTTCTTGGACAGGAGGCTGCGAACATTAGTAGACAGCACGATCAATTTTCTGTGGTCAACGCAAGTGCCACCACCCCTTGCTTCATCCTAGCTTCCCGAGGAAGCATTAAATTGTCGACCAGAACGAAGTTGCCGAGAAGAGGAGTTGGCGACACTAGCGTTATTAGTTACGCGTCTGGATGGCCCGATTTCATGCACTGTATCAGTAACGTAGTCGTAGCCATAACATTTCTCATTTGCAAAAAGTTTGTTATAGCGCACACTGAAAGGGCAATGAAGCTCTTTGGCGAAGTTGGTCAGCATTGCTCTAGTACGGCGAGTGTTAGCAGAAAAATCCTCCCGCATAACCACTTTGCTTCCTTTGAGCATGTGACGTTTTGAAAGAACTATTTCTTTCGTTTTGTAGGTGGAAAATTTTACTATAATCGGACGAACTTTATTAGTGGAAAAGCGGCCGATTCTATGTGCTATTCTATGTGCGGCGATTCTATGTGTTAATAAAGAGATGTCTTCATCTTTGACATAATGTCATCTTTTGTGTGCCAGGGCACGCACTGACTTGGCAATTGCGCCGCAGAATAGCACGTGTGCAAGGAGAAATGCTGAGCTCAGGAGGAGCCCAGATGTTGTCGTGTTTTGTTCATGGCTGCTCACGGAAAACAGGGATGTTCGGCTAGGCGGAACTTCAAGTCAGAAGAAAGCGGAGGCATCGGAACATTCTTGTGCAATGCACCATGTGATTTTCTTTTGCAAAAACTGGAATTAACTCCTAAATTGGAATGATCGGAAGCAAACTGTATGGTCTGTTTTTGTTGTCTGAGAAGCTGTTCGTAAATTCTAGATCAATTCGTCTAGATCACCCTTTCGAAGTCCCCCCCTTGTTTGCCCGTACTAATCTTCTTCGTCAATCCCCGTTGTTCTTGGCCATCTTTCATTGGAATCGATTTCCAGAAGATATTGCCACAATTTATAATCACAATTTGTTTGTAAGCCACTTGAAGCGATTTTTATTATCAGAGCCATGAACCATGTACTATGTGCGCTTGCTTTGTATTTCTTTTCCATTCATTTTGTTTGTTTGCTTTTCTACCATTTTCTGTTAAATGCCCGCTCTTGACTGTGTTTGCTCTTGAATTGAAATGTACTCAACACATTGTTCCCCCCCCCCCCCCCTATGTAATGCCCTTCGGGGCCTTTAGGGTATCTGAATAAAAAAAAAATTTTGGGCGAGTGAAACATTCTGGCATTGTACTACGTTTTGCAACTTGCCCGCGTCTAAAAAAAGATAAATGAATAAAAATTTTGTGCTAGTGTTCTTGTATAGGCTGTGGTGTAGCATTAAATCAAACTCTAATGTCCTTCTAGTATAGGTCATGGTGCAGTCGTACATCTTGCGCATGACTCAACTCCACTGCCATGAAGCTCTAGGAAGCGCGTTGCATGATCATCGGCAATCGCGCGCTTGGCGAGGTGGTGGCGCCCTCTCTCGCGTGGCGCCAGATACTTCAGGAGCGTTTTTAAATAAGTTATTGGGATTAATGCTTAGTTGTTTCTGTAGTTTAGATTATATTAGACGTTCTTGGTTGATTTAGCGCTGGTTTTGAGCATTGTTAGTCTTGCTTAGGCCTGTATTCACCACTGCGTTACCACGCAACATGAGACGGCACATGGACGAAAAGCCGCCGCTTAAAGTGCCACGCACTTTACAGTAATTACAACGACAACAAAAGTTCGGACTTAGGAATGAACGGCCGGAAAAGCCGGTCGGTTTCGTTTTCGCGTGACCCGCAGAAAAAAGATAACGCACATCCACATGTTCTAGAACGTTGCTGCACAAGTTACCGTAAGGGGACGCACGTCTCAAAGTTTTATCAAAAGGTCGCGTCATATCATATAAACGGCGAAGCGTGTTTCTTCGCTGCTGCAAAGGAGTTGCGCGGTTGTTTTCGTCATCACACGAGCTGCTAAACTACTTTGACGGTAGGAGGCGCAGCAGGCGCCATGGCGGCTTCCCTGTCGCTTGTTGTGCTCTACCCGAACGGTCACCGGCAGGTATTCCACGTCAACTCGAATGCCAGCATATTCCAGGTAAGTCACATTTATTGCGTGTAGCGTGCTCTTAGCACTGCGCGCTCAATTTGATGAGCGGCTGTTTATGTACTGCGTGGTAGCGCGAGAAAGTCTTGCCGCGAGGGTCGTTTTTTTGCCGAGTTGTTACGGCGCAAGTAATGGGCGATGCGTACCCCTTTTTCTCCTTAATTGGCGCGCTCTTTAAGTTTCGGTGTGCATAGTTTTGCGCCAATACTTAGCTTGGCACTGTCCTTCCATGTACCCGTAACTGCCGAGTGTATGGCGTCGTTTCTGAGGACCCAAGATGAAGGCGCCGCAGTCAACTCATCCCCCTGTGTAAACATCAGCTGGCTCTTTAAGTTTCGGTGTGCATAGTTTTGCGCCAGTACTTAGCTTGGCACTGTCCTTCCATGTACCCGTAACTGCCGAGTGTATGGCGTCGTTTCGTGTCGGTGCTTAGGACCCAAGATGAAGGCGCCGCAGTCAACTCATCCCCCTGTGTAAACATCAGCTGGCACTTTCAGTTTTGGTGTGCATAGTTTTGCGCTAATACTTAGCTTGGCACTGTCCTTCCATGTCCCCGCAACTGCCGAGTGTATGGCGTCGTTTCGTATCGGTGCTTAGGACCGAAGATGAAGGCGCAGCAGTCGACGCATCCCCCCGTGTAAACATCAGCTGATTCTTTAACTACGTGAGTTCGTCTTGGCGAACTCGCTGGTCAAAGAAACGCATCGTTTGCTGGGAAGCCGCGAGTTAATTTTTTTTCTGGTGTCAGCTGAGTTTCTTAAGACAATGTAGCAACACATTGTTTAATACATCGAGTCTTCCTTCTGGCTTTTTAGTGCGTCGCATGTGTTTCGGTGCTTAAAAAGGCGCTACCGGAATACTTGTGGTCATGCTAACTATTGAGCGTACGGTAGGAGTAAAAAACATTGCGCCAAAAACACCACCACGCAAGCAAACAAATGCACACCTACCACCTGTCTGTGCACCTCTGTTGCTGCGTGGTTATGCTTTAGGCGTCGTTTTTATTCGGACTGAACATTCACCAAGCAGCCCTACAAAGTGCTACTAGACGCTATTGAGCGTATGACATAATTTCTGATCTCTTGAGATGTATCGGTACTTGTGTTGCTAACTCCTCTCAAGTCACTTGCTGCACAGGTTACAGCAGTAATGAACTGTGCTCACTGGTTGCTCCTATTTTGGCCGGCGTGTTTCGCGTTCTGTTTCCTGCCTGCCGTACTTTATTGTTAGTTGCACAAATTGCACTCAAGGCATTGCGATTCAAGATCTGCTACGAATGAAACTCTGCTAGTCAGCGAGAATGCCGAGGTAAAAAAAAAAAAAGTTTCATCGCAACAGTTTGTTGTTTGTGAAGTGTTATCAAATGGAAATCGCTACATGTGAGACAACTTTGTATAGAGAACGACTAAAACTATGCGCTTACAAACTTGAACTTGTTGGTGAGCTATTGAAAACCAAACGGTACATGTATATTGCAGGACACGGGAAGGTAACACACAGAAGTGCTGACTTACTTGTGTCTGGTCACTAGTCGGCGCTGTTATATGTTCCGGTTACTGTCGTTTACATGCACTGTTCAGTACACACAATTGTACGTCGTATTAAATGTGGTTCATGTCCAAGAGGTATGCTTCCTTTGAGATCTCGGAGAGGCGTGCTTTCTGTTCCTGTTCCACTGTCGTAGGCAACTTGTTAGAAATTCTGTTTATCAATGCATTCATACTTACGACCACAATTACTCGCCACGAATAAAAATAATGCATGAAAGTTACTTGTTTACACTATAGCAGAAAGCACTACCTAAAAGACAAGCTACTTAATGAGAAGGTTTCTAGGCCTGACAGATTCGACAGCTGTAGTGGTTACGAGGTAAGTTAAACCTTGATACAATGAGGTTGATTGAATTTGCAATTGACCTCATAATATTGCGATTCTGTTAAATAGAAATTCTATCCTCATAAAGTAAAATGTAGTTAAAAAAAGGGTTCCTTCTCGCTCGGAAAGTTCCAGATCAATGGTAATGCAAACGAGTTCTGTGGAAACCTGCAAGGTGGTGGAAGGGCTAAGAAAGGGAAAGAAGGCGACCACCCATTTCGTTGTAGCATGAAGCCACAGGGAAATCCGTACAGATTTTTCTTAAAGAAAAGCCTCTTAGTTGCTAGAAACATCGTCCTGGTCCGGGGTTCGAACCTGGCACCAACGCCTATCCGGGGCAGTCGCTGTGCCAATTGATCTAACCAGGAAGCTAGCAATTGACAGCGTGAGGGCGAATTCATCGACAACTCGAAGCACATAGGCAAAGCAAATGAGGCTTTCTTGTGGCTTTATGCTTCAAACGGGTGGTTGTCCTCTTTCCCTTTTTTTGCCAGAAGAATGTTTGAATAATATGGCAATACAAACAATGCTTTAGTACTGTGAAAAACATTTTTTTCTTGATCTAGAGATTCATTGACTGTGGCTTTATGCTGTGAAGGCCTCGTCACAACGGCCATAATTCATGCGTGAGCCAAAGGGGAACACAGGCCAAACACATTGCGGGAAATACGAAGCTATTGTGCCCGTTCTGCTGGCTAACGATGGCTTGTCAAAACGAAAAGTCTTGTCCGGTGTAGTGCAACGCTGTTGCTATTATGTTCACTGAACCAAACCACTTGCTTTCCAGTCTTTTTGGCAAGCGTGTTGATAGTTTGTTGAATGGCACAAAACCGGAGGAGCTGCAGTCTAATATAGCATAAAAGAGAGCAACATACTGAATAGCTCATCTATTGTACCACTGGTCCTAGAAGAGGTTTCAATTTGTCATCTCTGTCTCTTTCTGTGGCATCAATAAAACTTCATTGCTATATTTACTGTAATGTAATGGCAGCTTTTTCCATACATTACCTGCCTGAAGTCGACCCTCACGTTAGGATCAAATATCGAAATTCAAGTTTTCTAAAAAGTGTAATGATGAACACAGTACCTTAATTTTTATTATATTTTCTTTCTTCCTGGAGAGCTGCCCCTCAAATTGCAAAGATTAATTAGGGTATATTCAAATCATGGCATGCTTCATTATGTTGAAGTTCGAAATGCATGTTGTACAGAGTTAAAATGCTTGGTTTTATCACGAATTTCGTTATAAGGAAATTTAACTGTGTTGCATGTGAATATGAGCAGCTGTGTTTTGGTTGACAAAAGCTCCAAAACATTAGCCTGAGATTAGTAATAGTATGACTTCTTAATGCTGGTTGATCGCTGAAAGCTGTAGAATGAATTGCAAACAAATGGGACATGTGCTGTCACACTTTATTTTGTTTTACTTATCAAGTTTAAAATAATAAGTCGGGAGTCTGCATACATCAGGTACACTTTATTCCATATCTGTAGATATGAACTTTTGCTATAGGCGTGTGCTATGGACATGGAATAAATTGTTCAGAAGGCACTATATAAGCTGCTGTTGAATCACGCCATGCATTGTCAGGAATTCGCAAGAATAATCGAGCCTAAACATCTGGTTCTTTGGCTTTTGTGCTCACTATAAGTCTTCGTTGAAGCTTTTCAAAACAAAAGTTTTTCGTAACTATTTACAAATACATAAATTGAATATACGTTTTTCTCGGCTGTATTCGCGTTCGCTACCTTTGCCGAGCGAGATTTTTAAAGTATGGTGCATTTTATCAGAACAGGGAGTTACTATTTCCCACAATTGTTCATTCTGTGCATTGTACAAGCACCAAGTTGTGCGCTTTCTAGTCTTTTGCACCACAGGTAAGCTTATCAAGGCACATTGCATAAACAAGTCATTGCATGCCTTGTAAGCAATGTAGCTCGCACATATGCCGTTTCATGAAGAAACATCTATGTTGTGCGAAGGTAGAATTTGTACGTGTATAGCTCGTCGCAGAAGTGGTGCCGTCGGGTTGCGTGCTCTATCACCCTGCCTTCAAGCAGCGCCATGCCGTATTGGACGGCCTGCACTCGGTCGTAGCACAATCTGACTGCTATGCCTTTCAAGCAATGTTCCACGCGCACTTGCGACTTCATGAAGAAACATCCATCTCGTGCGAAGGTAGGAACTTGTACGTGTATAGCTCGTCGCAGAAGTGGTGCTGTCCGGTTGCATGCTCTATCACCCTGCCTTCAAGCAGCGCCTTGCCGTATCGGGCAGCCTGCACTCGGTCATGGCACAATCCAACGGCTATGAGCCAGTCGACTAGATCCTTACCCACGAAGGCGAGGTGTAGCTCGGTGCCGTTGGGACCGGGTCGCGAACGACAAATGTCCGTGATGCAGGCATCCCTGTGATATACCTGGAACTGTGTGCATATCTGGCGGGTCTCTGGTGACAGGTCTTCGAACCTCGGGAGCACGAGGGCGGCCGTGTTCCTTGGCCTCTGCTGCCGACATGTGACGAAGTACCAAGCATTGGTCAGCGATCGGAAGAGCCACTTGGCGTCGAGTCCGAACACGAGAAATGTCAGCATTCCCTGTCCGTAGTTAATTATGATGTCCAAGAATTCCAGCTCAACCAAGATTCCCGTCGGTGTGTCGTAGATAAGAAGCTGCCAAAGCGAAACAGCAAGTCCAATGACCATGGAGACAGTGAGTAGAAGACAAAGCAAGGTGTGCCTGAAGACTTGGTGTGCATCGTCATCAACTGGAGGGACGCTGTCCAAGTCCAGCACTTCATCCACATTTTGCACCCGAATGGTGGTCTGCTGATTGTATGTGCCAACAAGGCCCATGCACTGCCGGACTTGCTGCTTGTCGCAGCTGAACTGTGGTCCACAGAGCTCGTCGAAAGACGTGCTTGGAACTTGTTGTGAGGGCGATATGTGGAATTCTGCCTTTCTCGAGTTCACCGATGCCAACAGCGCCGCGGAGGGGTTAGCAGACTTCGAGGACCTGTGCAGTCTCCGAGCGTTGTGCTTTGGCCTTGCGCCGCTCATGAGGTCTTCAAGATCCGGAACGTTGCCATGCTCTTCATGATCGGAGCAGTTATCGCAGTCCTCGCACTCTCCAGTGCATCCATCCGACTTGGTGCTCGTTCCTGCTTGCAAGACTGAGGCACGTGACCGAGAGCTCGATGACTGAATAAGAGGGTCGTGGTCTTCGGACCGAGGCGAGGTGGCCCGTTCGTCGTCGTCACTGCTGCCTTGAATGGGCACATAGTCCCTCATCCTCAGCCGGTACCTGTGCTGAAGAATGAGGCTGACCACCGTGAAGAGGAGGCTGGTGAGAAGAACAGTGACTGCCACGACCGCTTGTATGTCTCCGAACTGGAAGTTTGGGTCTGTGTCGCCTAGCCGGGATCCCCTCTTTGGGATGCTCAGGCAGAGAGACAGTGCCACCAGGACAGAGGATCCAAATCCAGCTATTGCGATGAGCCACTTAAGCCTGAGCACGAAGCAGAGCGAGCGCCAGTGCAACAGGGCTAGCACGCCTGCCAGGATTGCGGTCCAGATGCGAGATGCAAAGATGCCAGCTATAGATAACACCGACTGAGTGTACGCGACGGGAGACAGAGGATTGTCGATGCTCGTGGCGGCCCACAGTACTCCACCCAGGGCTGTGGCAAGCTGGCAGACGACCAAGTAGATAGTGACTCCGTGAGTTACGCTGTGTCGTCTGCGGAAAAGCACCACCAGAAGCCACAGGCAACAGGCAGTGCTGATGGCACTGGATGTGACCATAGTCTTGCCTATAATCACGGCAAAGTCCTTGAGACTGTGCCTCTTGATTTGGCTCACGGTCGCTGTGATGAAGATGAGAGGAGCCGAGAGGAAGGTGCCGAGCACCATTCCCGTGGAGACGGCGGCCGTTGGGAGATCGTACTGGGTGGCGAAGATAAATACGCTGGGCGCCATGGGTATCATGCCGTAGAGGAAGCCGAAGTTGCCGAAGTCCTTCAGGTCTCGCTCGTTGTCGGCGACGTTGAGAAAGTTGACCAGCTCGCGGATGACCAGCGGGCAGACGACGATCTTCACAGTCACCAGAAGGGCCGGGGTGAGGGCGGCATACTTGTCCATGCTTCCCACCTTGCCGACCATGCTTAGGCCGAGCAGGTAGAGCGCTGAAGCGATGAACGCGTCCCCGAAGGAGTCGCAGATCCGCTCGATCACCGACGGTAAGGGGGCGTTGGACGTGCTCACGTTCCAGACGATGCCCAGGGCGGGCGCAATCACAACGGGGTTCCTCACGATGCCCTTCAGTGTGGAGAGAACGCGGCTTGGCGTTGCCCCCGGCCTGTCTTGACGAGGGCGTCCATACTCCATCATGGTGAAACCTATCGGGTTCAGGAAGGCCAGCTGTACGGGCGCGACCAGGTAGAGGTAGTGGCTGAACGTCGGCTGTACTTTGTCGTAGAGGTGCACGATGAGCGGGTATCCCAAGCCGAAATCGTTGCTCTGCGACGAAGCGATGGCGTACAGTCCGGCCTTGGCGAAGCTCGCCGGCTGTCGGGACAGGAGCGCCAGCGTGACGGCGAAGACGACGAAGAAGACGACGCTCTTGCCAAGCGCCACGGCGGCCAGGAAGCGCCAGTTGACCTCGCCCAAGGCGATGACTGCGAGCGACTTGAAGGCGGTCGCCGGCAGCGAGAAGTAGGAGACGAACACGTTCAGGCTGCGGGTCTCGGCGGGACCTATGAGGCCCGCGCGGCCGGAGAAGTAGCCCAGCAGGATGATGGCGAAGCACTGGATTAGGACCGGCAGGAGTTCGTCGTAGACGACGTTCCCGTTACCGCCGGGTGCGGATGTCGTGGAGGCGATCGTCGAAGCCGGCGTGGGCGACTCCATTCCTACGGAGCGAGCGAACTCTGAGATCACAAACACACCGGAGCTTGCTCCTAAACGTGGGACTTGTAGTGCTCGCGGCAACACGCGCGCAGATTAGGTCCGCCGCGCCGTCAATTGCGCGGTCACGCCGTTAAGCCGTTCGCTAAAGCCAGATTAGACGGGTGCTTAGCGTCGCGTCGTTTCCAGGCGCCGGCGCCCCGGCTGGCACGGGCGCCGCCATGACGAGTCGAGCGTGGGTCACGTAATCACACATTTACACCGTCTGGCCAGGTGGGCCAGCTGTTCTTCTAATCTGACATCTCTCCGCCGTCTCCGAAGTCCGCAGTGCCCTTTCGTAGACAGAGAAAGAGAGGAAGCCTGTGGAAAAGAGGGGGAGAAAGTTGGTTTTCGACCTTTCCTTCCTCCGCGGTTTTCAATGACGTACGCCGTGACGGGACGCTCCTCCTCTCTGGTCGTCGTGTGGGCGGCGCTGCCGTCGCAATGGCGGGCTCATTTGAATCGGTCATTGTCCATTAGTGCTTTGTTTTGAACTTGTTCGAAAGCCGAAATTAAGGGATTGAATACCGCGGTTCCCTCTATATGGGTTTATGGTCCCTCGGCGCTTAATACAATAGTGCTTACACGCTGATTTTTAAGCCGAAATGACCCCGCGGTAGATGTATTCTAGAAATACACTGCAGCTCGTATCGCAGTATTGACGACGGCCGACCGACTGTCACGATAGAGACCGTTATGAAAGTGTTTGCTCCGTCCTGGCAGCCCCGACGAATTGCTTCCTGTGTAGTAGTTGTTTTTGTCCTGTCACTCGGCGACAGGACAGCTTCTGTATGTGTGTGTGCGCGGTAGCTTGTGACGAAGAAAACAAAAAATAAAGTGTCGTTTATTTTCGGATCTTCAATAATAATAGAAGCTGGCTCTATTGAAATTTGTCGGAGGTGCTTTTGAAGAGATTTGACAAAAAAAAAAAAAACCTGCACGGATTACGGACACAAAACGAGAAAGACCAGCTTTTATTCGCGAAGTGACGTCAACACATTGTTGGGATCGCTGCCGCTTACTGGTCGCTACCAGATCATCGGAACAAGCGTCTGCGGGAAACAGACACCAATATGACTTTTCTTCGGCTAAAATCAGTCGAACACATGCTAATATACTGCACCGAATTCGCCCGGGCGTCGCCTTCACTCGTCACTACACCCACCTAATCGGCCGTGCGGACAGCCCGAATTGTGAGCGCTGCAAAGTTCGCGAAACTTTAGCTTGGCTCACATATTTTGTGACTGCGCCTTATACGTGGCGCAAAGAAAAATGCTAACTGCATTGTTTGGCAAGCATCGGACGAACACCATCGAGTGAAATCCACATGTTTTCAGTAATGAACGACCAAACAGTGTGGAAAACTGCTACAAAGACTGTTTTAGACTTTATCAAAAGCACTGGACTAGATACTAGACTGTGGGGTACTATGCTAAGGGGCTACTGTACATAGGCACCGCGTCTTCTTGTCCCCATCATCATCCTTCATCTCTCTTTACCTTCCCTTATACCCCGTGTAGAGTAGCAGGCTAGAGCGAACTAGCTCAGGCCCGACCTCTCTGCCTTCTAATAGATACTCACTCACTCACACAAGCGTTTAATTCCGTCATTCAGGCCCCGCCGCGGTGGTCTAGTGGCTAAGGTACTCGGCTGCTGACCCGCAGGGCGCGGGTTCAAATCCCGGCTGCGGCGGCTGCATTTCCGATGGAGGCGGAAATGTTGTAGGCCCGTGTGCTCAGATTTCGGCGCACGTTAAAGAACCCCAGGTGGTCGAAATTTCCGGAGCCCTCCACTACGGCGTCTCTCATAATCATATGGTGGTTTTGGGACGTTAAACCCCACATATAAATCAATCAATCAATTCCGTCATTCATGTTACGTGCGTTAACTGTTGAACCTATTGGGGACCGTCTTTCGCGATGCAAGGCAGCTGATCCCAAAGTCGTCGCGGGTTGGATTCGGGCTGCGGCGGTCTCATTTGGAAGGAGGCGAAACGCTAGGGGACCGTCTACTATTGGAGCCCATTTTAGCCTCCACCGAAACTGCCTCCGGGATTTGACCCCGCGACCTTCGTGGTAAGCGGTCTAGCGTCATAACCACCCTGCTGCTGCCACGTAGTGTTGACGGATTAATATTCTTGAACTGCGGGTTTGTTGTGTTTGTGGGGAAACTCGAGCGGCCTTTTTTTTTTTTCTTTTTTCGCTTCTCGCGTATCTTCGTGATACAGTCCCGTGAAGATTTCCCCTGTACGGCTGGGGGACACGTCTCGTGATCTTATCTTAATTCCTCTTCCGCTCGCGGCTGCGTTTCATCTTGGCCGTCCGTTCTGTGGCTGTAAAACGCTGGTTATCTGTCTAACGCTGTATGCATGGCCGTCCCCACTCCACATCTTTTCTTTTATTGCGATAGCAATTATATGGTCAGTCTCGGCTGGTTTTTTGCCGTCGCCGCTGCCATTCACGTATATGTATATTTATTTGTATACATACGGGGAAGGAGCGCTAGCCTCCTCTTTCTGCGTAGTGTTGCTTGATGATTACCTTCTTTTTTTTTCCATAATGGGAGGTCCCGCCTGCGGTTCTTACCTTGGGACCTCCCAGTGAATCTGCACCCATGCACTTTTCTATGTTCACGCTTGATGATGATGAATAAATTGAAAAATTGAAATTGAACGTCGCCCTTCCGGCCGGGCTCATCTGCGCGCGCGCTTATCTCGCAAGCGAACAAGAGGGGGGGGGGGGGGGGCTTATGATTGCCGCGGAAACGATTAGCTCGAGCGCGCGCGCCTAGTGCCCTCACAGCAGCAGGTGGGAGCTTCTACGGGCTGCGTCCTCAACACGGGGAAAAAAAAAGGTGCCGAAAGTCTACCTGGAGCGGCCGTGTTCTCTTACACCAGCGTTTTGTAGAGTTGCGTGATATCGGATCTATATGAGTTGACTACCAGCCTCGCTCCGTATACCAGCGCTGTCACTATACGCACGAGCCTATAGTTGTTGGAAACTTGGTTACTTAACAAGCGCATGTTTACCACAGTCTATATTGCTCCTAAAAATGCTAGCCTTGCTTCGTAACACATTCGAATGTGTTGCTATCGCATTCATTGCTTCGCCCTTTTGGCGAAGCTGTTACTTTTTCTATAGTACCAACTGCTACTCGGCCATCTCTCTTCCTTACCAAAACGTCGATACACCCACCCTGTTAGCGGATCCCGATGGTCCAGATCGCAGTTTTTCGGTATAATAACTTGGCCGTATGACACAGTCGTCAATGACACACGTGCATATAGTCACAGCTAGTCATGTACTCCCGGTTACAGCGACAATCTGAGCGGGATGAGTACGACGACTCGTCTCATGTCGCTCACATTGCCATGATAGCCGGTAGTGTATGAATAGTTGCCCCCCCCCCCCCCCCCTACGCATGTTTGTCATGGCTTTTCGCGTGCGCAAACACGACAAACAGACGCGGTTCGGGCTCAGATAACTCTCAATTTCCGTTTCGAAGCGATGCCTCTGAGCTTTTTTCCACGAATTGTGAAGCGACGATTTCGTCGTGCACTGTGCATGACGACAGGAAGTTGGGGGCCGCTGCCATATTGCCGGCATTGATGAATTGTGATAAGTCGCCCGACGTGCTTCGTAAGATTGAGTTCGCTCTGGTGACAAAGTAAATTAGACAGCCTTAATAAAACCCAGCTGATAGGGAAGCCGAGAGCGATATGTATAAAGTGGTGCAATTACGGGCTTGCTGCGGTTGGCCACGTTTCTAGATTACGGCCGCCAAGTATGCGAATGTCTTGCCCCGCCGCGGTGGTCTAGTGGCTAAGGTACTCGGCTGCTGACCCGCAGGGCGCGAGTTCGAATCCCGGCTGCGGCGGCTGCATTTCCGATGGAGGCGGAAATGTTGTAGGCCCGTGTGCTCAGATTTGGGTGCACGTTAAAGAACCCCAGGTGGTCTAAATTTCCGGAGCCCTCCACTACGGCGTCTCTCATGATCATATAGTGGTTTTGGGACGTTAAACCCCACATATCAATCAATCAATCAAGTATGCGAATGTCTCTTGCCGTGGCATGGAACGTCACACTCGTTTTTTTTTTTTCGGCCATATAATTATCGCTGGCACGGTCGACTTGGAGAACAAGTGTGCCTGTGTAGTTTCTATAGATCGAATGACCATTTTCCCGGCGCTTTTCCTCAACTCCGTGCACGCCACATGTGCTTCTTACGTGGTCCTAATGACGTAAGCAGAGTTGTTTGTTGTCGTCCGGAATGAGATGTCATTACGTCCCCTTTTCCTGCTTAGAACGTCACGTCTCGGAGTATTAAATGGGAAGCAGCCTCCTGTCTCTCGCCCGGCGCGTGCTCTCTCAAAGTGAAACGCTGCACGTTTTTCCACGAGAAACACTTGTAGTCGTCAAAACGGAGAGGCGAGCAAGTTGGCACTGATCCGTAACAACGTAAATGTAGCGCGAAAAAAACACGGACAAGAAAGGGTACACCACAGGCCCTTGTGGTGTATACCCTTTCTCGTTCGCGTTTTTTTTCGGGCTACATTTTCGTTGTTATGGAATGTAGTCGTCGTTGATTTAGGTTTTTTTTGTTGTTCTTAGCTTATCGCGTTTACTTTATCGCTCCTTCGCTGACGCAGTTTTCGACAAAAATGGCGTCCGCGGATTTTTTTTTTTTTTTCAGAAGGGTGCATCGGCAAACTACGAAGGGTGGGGAGGGGGGGGGCACTAATTACAGGTAATCGAATTTCTGTTACTTGACCGTACAACGTGCAAAGTTGGCTATCAGTCCTGAACATACGAGTTGCGAGTGTGCTAATCAAACTGGGTAGCTTATCGCTACTGCATAGAAAAATATTATCCAAAACTCCAAGGCAGGCTACCCCCCCCCCCCCCCTCCCTTGGAACCTTCTCTGGACGCCCATGAAAAACACTCGTGGTTCTGTCTCTCTCTCTCTCTCTCTCTCTCTCTCTCTCTGTGTGTATTCAAGGATGCAGCTCGGAACCAAAATTTTGTGGTCCACGTGCGCTGCCTGCTTGGGCAAATGGGAAGAGAGAGAGAGAGCACATTTGGTTTCTCTGCATACGTAAGCCAAGTTGCCAGCAGCGCATGAGACAGGCGCCGGAAGTTCGCAGGTTTAAAATAAATTGCAGTGTCTATGCCTTGTTTACAACGCACACTTTAACTAAGGTTGCACGTTGCCCTACCTAAAATTTCATTCGAGTTCGAAAGATGGACTGGATCAAGGGCATCGTTTCTTTGTTAGACACAGCCTACGGAGAGCACAGGAGATTTTCATATTTT